CCAATACAATGGCTTTGAAATATTTTTCTTTGCAAAAGGTTGATTTGAAATAACTACAATTATATATTTTCATTGTTTTGTAGTAAGTCACTTTTCATAAATGGTAATGTGTTTGCTGTGACATTTAGTGTTTCGATTTCCTCAATCAATTTATCAATTTTTGATCTCTAAGGAATTTATCAATTTTTGATTTTTGTTTATTTAAATGATTAGTGATATTCTGAAGAGCAGACGACAATTCTTTGTTATTGATTATTTGTTTATTTGATTGTTCCAAGAATTGTTTCGAGTTCGTAGCGAGATTTGTTGGATGATCATATATTTCTTTAGCATCTTCGGAGTCCATGTTTCCAGTAACGAATATAACAGTGCTTCCTAGAAAGTTAATTAACCCTCACTTAATTCAATGGAAACGTGGTTTTATGGTCTTTGTATTGTGGCGTAAGACTAAATAAAATCAGGGTTGTCTTTATAATTGTTGACATTTTGTTTATATTTTCTATAATGATTTTGTAAACATCGACAATTTCTCTTAAATTTGTAATATGCTAAATTCTTGTGTAATGATCTACCATAGACTGCTCTTCCAACTTTAGTAGAGTAAACTTATATTCAGTATAAATAGGAGTTACTTCTAGATTTTGCTAGTATTATTACTAGTGACTATTTTTTATATTTTGTTGAATTTTTGGCTATTTGCTTTTTCCTATCTATATTATCTGCTAGTTGGAAACCCTTATCCGTTTTTGCATTCAATTTTTCTAGCCTGATTAATTTTTAATTTCCATATTTATTTTTCAAATTTTGGATGTCAGTTTTATCAAAATTTTTTGTTGTAAAATCTATAGGAATAAGTTTCGTTGTCGAATGAATTGTGTAGTTATAACATTGTATTATTTTGTAAAGAGCATCATCTAGATCATCTTTATCACGTTCGGCGCTCATGATCCTTGAATGCTCGTTAAGGGTACCATGACGCCTCTCGATATCACTATTACCCGTTTTTTTCCGGTGTTTACATCTATCACCGTCTGACACCAATTTTTTCATTTTTCCTAAAGTTTGTATTCTTTGCTTGATACAGTTCAAAATTGAGATCGAGTTTCTGTCGTTTAGTTTTTGTAAAGTTGCGTATTTTAAAAATTTGTCAATGGTAGTTAGATACATTTCATTTCCTTCTGGATATTAAACGTCCATGTGAAGTATAACGATAAAATGATGTGGTACATAGGAAATTTGAAAGGGTATTTTTGGTGGATTTCCGTCGTGTTTAGCTACTTTACATGTATCACAGTTATTATTTACTTTTGTAATTATCGTTAAAAAGTTTAGACAATAATATTTACTTTTTATCTCGGAAAATACTTCCGCTACACCACTGTGATTTTTATACAAATGGTCTGGTGTAATAGTTTTTAATAGTTTTTCTCTATCGGTCATTTTAATTAATGGTATTGAAGATTTCAAAATTTTTAGATATTTATTGGATGAAAAATATTTTACATATAAATCATGGAAATTGATAAAAAGTTAATTATCTTCACAATAAACGCACATTAGACCTTTGTCTAAAAGTACTTTTCTCATTAGCTCTAGTAAATTGCTCTTATTGTTACTAATGTTTATAGAATTTTTTACTTTATTAATAATTTTCATTCAAAAAATTTTGGTTTTATCCCCTCTTTAGAAATATTTGATATTTAAATATTTTCGAATGTGTAAATATAATCTACTGGATCCTCGTGATGGATCTTTATTAAGAGTATCGAGAGATCTACCGAATCCTCGATATTGGATGGATCTTTATTAAGAGTATTGAGAGATCTACCGGATCCTCGATATTGGATGAATCTTTATTAAAAATGAACAATTGATCTAAATGTTTATTTATGGTTCTAGAAATATATGAAATTGGATGATTACTTTAAATATTTTGATTATGCTACATCATCTGTTGTTATAACGAAAGGGTTTTCGAAGCCAGGATAAGGTAAAATTGGTTTACTTATCAAGAGGTCTTTTAATATATTAAAGGTATTTATATATTCATTACATTTTAAATTAATTTTTGCGCCTTTTTTCAAATATTTTGTTAAAGGATAAGCAATTTTTGCATTATCCCTAATGAACTTTCGGTAATATCCCGTAATACCTAACAATTTCTCAATTTCTTTGTTCATAACAAACATCGGTTTTAGGCAAACCCATGTTTGAGATAGATTCGAATTTTGTCGGATTAGGTTTTATACCTTCGTTAGTTATAACGTGACCAAGAAACTCTGTTTGTTTACATAAAAAAGCACATTAGTTTATTTGGATCTTTAAGTTTATTTCGGTTAACTTTCTTAAAATTTTTTGGACGGATTTGAATAAATTAGAATGTCATCCATATGTACTCTGCTAATTTTATTAATAAATTCTTTCAAGACATCGTTCATTAAACGCTGAAAGGTCGAGGGCACGTTTCTTAGCCCAAATGGCATTGTTATAAACTCGTAATGCCCAGTTGATGTGGAAAAAGCAATTCTGGGTGTATTTTTAGGCTCTACCTCGACTTGGTGAGATCCTTTACCCAAATGCAAGGTAGTTGAATAATTAGGGTTTTCAATAACTATTTCTTTCAATTTTCGATAATCAATGACAATGCGTCATTTTGGTGTGCCACTTTTATCAGCAATTTAGATACAATTTAGAGTACACAGGGTTTTCATTTTTTTTTAAATAGAGTGCTTAATGTGGCTTATGAAGGTTGAAGGTTAAATTAACATCTTCCTTATAACAAATTTTCTTATTTTTTAAAGTTCATTTATGTAAAAGCCTAATTTCTTCATCATTCAAATGTGATGCTTAAATGTAATCGAATAAGTATAATTTCTCTTGAAAGCAGTTCAATCATATTTTCGTTAAAAAAACTTTTCCTGTAATTTTCTTCGTCTTGGTATAAATAAAGGGGAATTATTGAGTTTGAAGTTTTCAATATTCGATCTTTATAAAGTATAGTAGCGATCTCAATAAATTATATAGTAGCATTTAAAGCGCACAAAATATTTCCTATGAGACCGTAAAATTCTTCTTGGAATTTAAATTCTAAAAATTCGACAAACATATTTGTTTCGTTAAAAATTTCGAAAAGAGGAAATCTACAATTAATATTTGTATGAATATTGTGGCCTAAGGCTTTATTAAACAGTGTGTTTTTCCCTCAATGATGCTGAATTCTGCTCCAGTATCAATTGTGAACGTCAAGCTTTTGATGGAATTTTTTACTACTATATAGGGAAGCTGTTTTTGGCTCGTTCCCGAAAATTTGTAGAGGATTCGTTATTTCAAATGTCTATCGGTTCTGGTTCATTATTTTTTTTTATAACTATGAGAAAATTGTCTACTCTTACGATTTCTGTTGTAACCTGAATTAGTTTTTGCTTGATTTACTTGAAATTTCATATATAAGCTTTGCTCGACCGTCCGTGAAAATTCCTAACTTTTGGAAGAAATCAGGCATCAGCAACTGGACTTTTACTACGGGCCAAATATACATTTTTGTATATAAACAATGAATCTGTAAATTTATTGGAAAGATCAGAGCTCACAAACTGATCTAGGGGTCAATTTTACATTTTTTATCATATCTACGGAACGAATTGATTGAATTTCTTGGAATTTCTCTGGTTGTTAAGTGAAGTTACTGGAGAGTTTTTCGTATAATTCGGATGGCACAAAATGAAACTCTACTAAGAGCCGAATTCACATTTTTCCTGGTATGTTAACTAAAAGCCTATTAATGCCCTTAAATGTGTAAAGAAGTGTTTAAAACGCATTTTCATAGTCATCTGGAATATTTTTACTAATCTAGACAATATACATTGCTGTCGGTTATGTGCTGATTACATCAGATTTTTTTATTATTTTTCAGTTCTTGAACTATAGATAACCTATAAAACAATACTGTTTCTGTATTGGACCTTTTTTTGAAACCGTATTGCTTTTTTGATAACAGGTTATTTGTTTGAAAGAGCGAAGACAGGGGATATGTTTGTAAACATTTTAAACGAATCTATTGAGTTAGACGTCTTGAGAGAATTGAACGTATTGAAAAACTGTTGTTAAGAAACTAGTTGAATTTCATACGATTTTTTTGTTTTCACTTGTGTGTAATATAATTTATTAATATACCGTGTCTTCAATAATGCTTTAAAAAAGATTTAAGTACGTATTAATACGGTTGTAGTACCGTCTCAGAGCTTTCAATACCTTAACATTGTAGAAAAACTACTAAAGCTTTTCGTACATTTTGGAATACAATTTTTACCATATCAATATAACTTTCACGTTTATTTGAAAATTTCAATTTAAAGTTCTGTTCAAATGTTAATTTTTATAAAACGTTACCACATCATTAAAAACATAGCATTTTCATTAGGAAAACAAAATTGATAACTAGAACTTTATTGCTGAAAATATATGCTAGTTTATTTCATCGGTTATTTCTGGTAACATTTATATGACAAGGTATAAGAAAGGCGTGCTCGATTTTTTTCGACACCCGATTTACTTTTATTTTACGTCTCTACTACGTATAAAACGCATTTAGGAAAAGTGTGCAATGTCAAGAGCTTTTACTAAACTTTTTGGAACTTGATACTTTGTAAAATTTACGTTGTGAGCGCATTGAAGTCACGGATACTTTTCAGCTAACTTTTTACCCATAATAGCAAAATACCTACATATATGGCTCATTGATTTTTTATTAACTGATACATTTGTTAAACCCCGTAAAATTCAACTCCGTTTTTCAACCTATTACGACCATAGAGATTTTCAGCTACAGGGTTTTTGAAAAGGACTGATTTTCACTTAATTTGTTTACATAATAGTTATTCATAATTTACATATGCAATAATTATATTATAAATACAAACACTTAAATTAATATGTATTGTAAATGCAGAAAAATTGTGTTAAACTTATGATTAATTTTTTTTTTACTTTTATTTCCATAGAGAAGCTGTAACGCGATTGGCTATCAACCATTTCCTGCTTCATCTTTGGTGTTATATAAATATGCAAATTTAATAGCAAATTCAGATGTAAATCATCCTTTATTGCCAATTTTTGGACAAAAGTTTTTTCTTCTATATTTAGCACGAATAAATTTAAATTCAGAGGAAGTCAGGTAAAGCAAATATTTTTCTTAGGAAATAATATGACATATTCTTATTACAAAGTAGTCGATTGCTTCTTAAAAAAACCTCAAAATTAATATTAATATTATAGAAAATTAATATTAATATTATACAGTGGTAAATAGTTTAATATAATTTTGATATTTTTTTGTATCGTATAATATACGTGTATATATATATATGTATGTGGAATCGCATAAGGCGGCAAATAATTTCTTTGATTCATTAAAATATGTATGAATGCCGTTGGTGCAAATATACTCTTTTTCGAACTACACATGTTGAAAAAAAATAATCAGATTTTTCCTGCATTGTTATATGGGTTAACTTTTAGATTTCATTGTGGCGCAACCAAAAAAAAACACAAAATTTCGAGAAATTTCAGGATTTAAAAAAAACAAAAATTCTAACTTTGACGAGCTTTATCCCGAAAACTGTGGCTTAAATCAAATTAATTGTTGGACCGAAAATAAATAGCAATGCATTGTCTGTAAAACAAGCCACAGTTCGTTACTGTATATCGCATGGTTCCGAAAATCTTTCACCATTTTTTTTAACTTGTTGTAGCTTGATAACAAGTACATCGACATCCTTCCTCCTGCTAGACTACCCACACAATTTTTTGCTCATTTGATCAAAGAATTATTCCTGAAATTATTTGCCACCTTATGCCAAACACCTTGTTAATTATTTGTTTTATAATGCTTGAAATACCAATAAAACAATAAAAATAATAAAAAAATAAAACAATAAAAAATATAATACAGAAATAGCACATGAATGCATTCCAGAATGCTAACATTCCATCATCAGCATCATGACTAAATTTTTTAATAAACATTTGCTTGTTTCATTTAATTTCAATTTTATTTATTTACATATAAGCAAGAAAGAAGATGCGATTCAATGTTGCCATTATCTAAATTGATTGTGTTTACGTTTTTTTCGTATCTTTATCAAAAAGCATATAATCACTTTTATCATGAATCCAAATCATACCATTAAAGTTCATAGAAATTACTAAAGTACTCCGAAACTTTTGCTTTAGCTTTTTTTTTCATACAAATATTTTTTGATATAAACTCATTATTGGTTTGCTCAATGAACCCTGATTGTCAATATTCTGTCCATTTATTCTATCTTCTGCATGGCATCAAAAGCCATTAACTTAGTTTTTTATTTATTTAAGCACACAAAAAGTTTTATTACTATTGCTGAAGTAGTGTGATCCTCAACTGGTATTCAATCTATTGGAAGTTGATGATTTAGATTATATTTTATTTTTATAAATTCGTATTAGTTGAAATTTGAACAATGTGTTGTTCGCAATTTTTTTTCCTCCATTAACAAATTTTCATAACGGTAATGCATACAGTTTATTATGACACGTATTGCATACATGTAAGTCTCTTTGAGAGTTTTTGAAAGCTGCTTAAACATAAAATTTTAATTATAAAACTGGAAAATTTTTGAAAAATCTTAATAATGTCAAAAACAAATCGCTTCTTTTTACCAACCGAATTGCATACAATAAGGGAGGTTATGTGATGGCAACAAATTTTGCATATTGAGTTTTCGGCGGGAACGCACGTCTTCGTCGTAGGGAAGCATAAATAAACTATTTTTAGAGAGGTGTCGGTTTATCTGTTTGTCTCTCTGTGTGTACACGCGTGTATTTCAAGTTCGGCTGAACCGATTTTCATGAAATTGTGTATATGGGTTTGTTTTGGCTATGTCACGGGTTGATCAACTTTTGGGATATATCAGGCCTTAAGAACTGGACTTTTTTTGGGCCAATTTTAGACTTTTGCCCATATAAAGAGAAGTAATTAAACAATTTCCTTCAAATTTAATATTTAAATTTTTAATACAATGAACACATTAATGTTTTGGAACTCTCGGGGCTCGGAAACCTAACTGGGGAATGATTTTACATTTGTTACCATATGTACGGAATGGATTGATGGAAATTCTTGAAATTTTATATTTGAGCTCTGGTTGTTATCGAGCTTTTCAGAGAATTCGAATGACACAAAGCGAAACTCTACTAAGAGGCAAATCTACATTTTACTAGGTATGTTAACTAAAAGCTTACTAACGCCCTGAAAATTGGAAAGAAGTATTTAACAGGCATTTTTATAATATTCTGTAACACTTTCACTTAACTATACAATACATATTGCGGTTGGCTATATGCTGATCACATCAGATTTTTTCATATTTTCCATACGTTCGTAATATTTTACAACTTAACCGCATTTTTTACATACATCACTATCTTACAGTTTGTCAGGTAAATTGATAATATATGTGACAAAACCGACTGTTCTAAAGCAAAATAAATTGTATCGATTTTTATAACAAAAAAAAAACAATATAAATAATACATAAGTTATCACATTACTTAAAACGATACCTATGACATTAAAATCGGGATTTTCCATAATTCAGATATGCGCTTTAAGTTGTAACTTAAATCTTAACTTTTTTGTAACACTCCAGATCTACGGGAACAAGAAAAATGATTTAGAACTTCAAGCGTGCTCTGATTTTCGAACGGGCTTCTTTTATATTAAAGATTTATAAATTTTTCTATATATTGTAGCTTTGATTTAGCAAACATGTTGTATATTAAGTTATAAGTTAAATCTTAATTTCGAAAATTTCTAGTTAAATATGTCCAATTTGTAGTGATTGATGTACCGCAACGAAAAAACAATAATAGAAAAAAGATAGATTAGAGATAATTAACGTTTTTTGAAAAGACAATTTTTTTTTTTTTTGAGAACAATTTTGGCAATATAATTTTCTTCAACCCTACAAAGCTAGCCCCTGGCGTTCGAATTCTGTTTCCACTCCTAATACGAACAACTTGTTTTTCCTAAAATAATGCAAGGAAATACCTCATGCGAGCTTTAGTACCAGTTCCGGATAACCCTGTTTATTTAAATTTTGTATGCATCATACGTTAATCACAAACGATACATTTTATTTTTAAGGTTTCACAGTTTTTACGCTGTCTCAGACAAATTTTATGAATTTAATATTCCATTGATGAAGAAAATGAAATTAAGAATGAAATCAGCGGAAGAAAACTATGCAAAATTATCTTCAGAAAATGCTGGCAATGAAGTCCTATTGTATTTTTACACGCAATGTGCAAAGTAAAAAACTCTACTAATGTATTGCTCGTGTATTATTAATCTACTAATAATTTAAATTTAATTTTTTTTTAGAATTATGAAAACATTTTTATTATGGCTGGAAGAGACAGACTTACAAAAAATATCAAAACAGCAACGAATCGATTTACCTCCGCAGTACAACACAGAAAAGCTAATGGACATTATAAATGGAAATGAGGCATGTACAAACTTATAAAAATTCACAATTGCTTTGTCTTTAAAATACTTAAATTTATTTATTTCAATAGAAATTAGAATTTAAATGAAAAAGTCTTTTGTCAAAGCCTTTTTTACCAACCTCATTGTATACAATAAGGTAGGTGATGTGATGGTACCAAATTCTTAATGTCGAGTTTTGGCTGGGAACGCACTTCCCCATAGTAAGGAAGCGTAAATAAACTACATTTAGAGAGATCTCTGTTGGTCTGTCGGTCTGTGTGTGCACACGTATATCTCGAGTTCGGCTGAACCGATTTTGATTAAATTTTATATGTCAGTTTATTTTGGCTATGGCACGGATTGATCAATTTTTGCAATATATCAGACCTCTGGATATCGACCTTTTTGCGGGCCGTTTTTACATATTTGCCTATATGAAGAGCAATAATGAACAAATTTCCTTGAAATTTAATATTTAAATTCGGGGTGTGAAAACAATGAATCTAAAAATTTTTTGGAAAAATCAGGGCTCGTAAACCAAATTGGGGGCAGATCTTATATTTTTTGCCATATCTACGGAACGGATTAATGGAATTTCTTGAAATTTGATATTTGAGTTCTGGTTGTTATTGACACTAACTGGTGAACTTTTATACAAAATTGAAATTAATAATTACCTACTCGTATTATTAACAAATTAAACTTAAGTCATAGTAATAGAAAAGAAATAAATAAAAACGAGAAAAAAATAGAGTTGACCTTGTCAACTCTGTGATACGAATTTGTCATCCTATGTGCGAATAAATATGCCGTAACTGACTATGGGACAGACTATGACTTTGAGTTGTCGTATTACCAGATTAATTTATGCAAAATTTCGTACTGTGCTTTTCAAAATACTGTGTGCCAAACTACTATTGAAGTTGTATGGCAGCTACCAGAAGGAGCCGAGCAATTCCAACGGCTTTTATCAAACACATTGGCCCTACTAATATATATGCTTGTATGAAATTTCAATACCATAGCTTTTATAGTTTCTGAGATATAGCCAAATAACTTTTGAAGTTGTATGGCAGGTACCAGAAGGAACCAACTAATTTCAACGAATTTTTTGAGACATATTGGCCCTACTAATATGTTCGTTTGTGTGAAATTTCAATACCACAGCTTTAATAGTTTCTGAGATATAGCCAAACAAATTTTGAAGTTTTATGGCAGCTACCCGAACCGGTATCCCAATCATTTCCAATTTAAATAGGGTTCTGGCACTGAATACAATAAATCATTTGTGTAAATTTGGTGAACTTAGCTCAATTGGTTTTTGAGTTATCGTTGGGATGGACGGACAGACAAAGCTAAATCAACTCAGAATTTGACGCTGATCAAAAACATACAGTCTATATCTAAGACCGTTATTTCTTAGCGTTACAAACGGTAAGGCAAATTTAGTATACTCTTCGAACATACGTTCGTACGAGTATAAAAAACTTAATCTAGTTGCCAAGTTTATAAAGGTGCGTCTTTAAAGTGTCTTTCGTTATTGTGAAATCTAAATTGTCTTTATATTTATTCCCAAGACGCAGCATTCTGTTTACCGCCTCGTGCATACCATAATTATGCTCCCAGATCCTTAGTAGCAAAAACCGTTGTCAGCACGTTAACTTACATTTAACTTTAAATTGCTAAAGGAGCACCATTCATAGAAGTTATTTAAGTCATTTTGAAGTACTTGGGATTCAGCTAATGAAGAAATCCTTTTAAAAAATGTCATATCATCAGCATAGGACCCCACTGTCTCCTAACTTCAAAACCACATTGTTCAACTTACCACATACATATTCATTTGCGCTTTAAGTATTAACGATTCTTTTTTCAAATTATTCGGGGAAAACTTGATTTCATATTATGTATGTCAAAGATTGAGCTCGAAAATAAGCGCAAGAATATTTATTCTAATACTCATATGTATATATTTATTTAATAACGTATTCCATACAATCGCAATGTGCATTATATTGTAATCAAATCAAAATTGCATGTATGACACAGAAAAAAATAAACAAATAATTAATAACTTTTAAAATGTTTCAGCAACATTGGACAGAATTTATATATCTTCGAAAGATTCGCGATCAACAAAAACAAGCGTCCAGTCAGTGGCTCCGATTTTGTTTTAGGCTTCAAGAAGTGAAGCCCATATCTAACGACATATTACAAACAAAAAAGCAAATAAATGCGATAGAACGCATTAAAAACCATTTAAAGTCTTACGAAAAGCCTTTGGAACCACCTTGCTATCAAAAGATACCACTATTATTTAATCCGTTAGCAATCAAATCGATTGATTCGCGTATCCTGGAAGAACTGAGAAGAGAATTAAAATATGTTGATGAATTCACTGAGTAAATTAATGTTTTTTTGCTTTTTAAGAAAAAGCTTTATAGTAGATTGCAATAGCTCTAGATTTTTTAACAAAACTTTCTTTTAGAAACTTCAATTTCAAATTCAAGGAAATGGAGTCTTTGAATACGAATTTTAAGGAACAAATTCAACTCTTATATAAAAATGTACCTTATTTAAAGGAAGTATATCGAGATTGTTCAAGTATAACAAGGTTTAATAAAACATGTATCGGTCCAGCAGCAATTACTCTAAAAGTATAATACATAATAAATTATCACATACTCATTATATTGATTCTATAAGTATTTTTGATTTCAGCTGAAACGTCCTCAAAAAATAGAAAGTGTACAAAGAAAAGTAGACGATAACAGAGAAAAGTATGAAAAATATATTCAAGAAATATCCCAAAGCAATATTAACGCTCTAGTGTATTCTATCCAAAATATGGAACATATTGTTAGGTAAGTTTATTAAATTTTAGCCTTTATCCTCAATAGAAATATTTTTTGTATGCATCATTTTACAAATTTTTCTAGACTTATCATTTCTAAAGCATAATTTTATACGAATAATTACTTTATTTTAAGATGTCTTCTAATAGCACAAGCCGAAATCACAGAGAAGACCCAAAGTGGCAATGTTCAAGTATCACGTGTTGCAATTGACTTTTTTTATGATATTTTGAAAAGCTACAATCAGACCAATACTCAAACTGTTGAACCATGCAATGAAAGTTTTTCATGTATTGTCCGTGAATTAGGTGTAAGAGATAAATTAATAAGAAAATAAGCACAATCGATATTAACTTTTAATTTCATTACAGATTTTCATTCAAAACAACCAAATAACAGAAGGGCCTAGAATATTAGATATGAGTTTAAAAAGACCTGATTTATTACCGTTACTTTCTGAGCTTCTTATCCCTTTGAAAGCAAGTCCTGAAGTGTTTTTAAAAATGTACAGACTTTTAATAGACGCCTATTTGAATAACTATGATGGTGAAACGCTTTTTATTTTACTATCAAAATTTAATGTAAACGATAGATTAAAATCTTCAAATTCGGAAATGACCCTACTACCTCAATTGTTAAAACTGATATTTAACGGTTTGGAAAATTGGAACAAACCAGAAAGCGGTTCAATTCAGGATTTATTTAGACAACATTTAGTTTGTATTTTCAATAATGATTTCCCCCGAAATTGTTTGGAAGTTTTGCAGATAATTTTAAATAAAATTGCAGAACAAAAAATTTGCACTGTCGTACTTTTAGATTTGTTAAACTCTTTGTTTAAAAAAGTGGGATGCAACAGCTTAACTTTAGAGTCATCGAAAACGAATATTGAAGATGAATGCATAAAATTCGCAAATCGACAGAATTTTTTTGATTTCAAAACTGTAAGCTAAATATAATCTATAACAGTTTTATGATACTTTTTCGAAGTATTTTATACTTTAAAATATATAACTTTTTTTTTTATTAGATAAATGACATTTTTAAACTATTTTCCCAACATTTTCAAAACGAAAGATTTAATAACGGCTTACATGGGTTATATCCAAAATACAAAAATTATTGTTTATCATTGTCGATGTGGTTTACTTTGATAGATAGATCGATAATATCTTCAGCTATTTCAATTTACCCTGGAATTCTGGGAAATCAAAGTAACTTTTAAGTACATATTTAATACATTTAAAATTAACAAAATATTTATTTTTAGTATGTGATTCAATATTTGCTCCTATCATTGATTTATATTCCCCTTGGCTTACAATATATAAGCAAGATGATTTACAACACTTAGATTCAGTTTGGTCAAAAAATTTTTCCGGAAATGGTAAAGATTTATTGCCCTGGGATGCATCTTACTTGGATGTTAGTGAAATTATGATTCACTCATTTGTCAACACTTTGCAGTACATTTTGAAATATCTACCTGGTGAGTTGATGTTCTTTTAACAACCCATGAATTATTACCAAAAAAATTTGTTTTCAAGTGTCAAATGCAATTCTGGGTCATGTATACAGTTGGTACCAACATCACTTTGTAGATGGGGATCTGTCGAAAGATGAAATTCGCTTAATAATACAAAAAAAACTCATGCAGCTAAATTGGGAAAAATTTAGTCCAGAAACAACTCACATTGATTTTTTCTATCGGACTCTTAACAAAGTAAAAATATCCCAAAAAAAATGATAACACTCTAAATTTATATTAAAAGTATATATTTTTAAGGGTTCTCCGACATGTAAGGCTTTTCTTTGTCACATTTTCGGCCGAATTGAGTGGTCAATATGGATGAAAGAAAATTATAGTTTTTGGGACTTAAAACGACAATCTTATACAATTAATTTATTGTTACCAATTTTTGTCAAAATCAGTTTTGAGCCTACTTTAAATTCTAACTCACAAGCTAAAATTTTATATGAGTCCTTAGAATATCCTTGGGAAACACTTGATGTTAAAAATATTGAAGAAGTGTTAAACTGGCTTACTTTGTCTTCAGATTCATTACTAAATAAAGACTCAGGAAATAATGCTATCAACGAGGCTATACTTAAGTAAAATTTTGATTCATTTGTATAACATAAATGTAATAGATAAGTTTTTCTTAGGTTGCTAGAAAAAATTTGTGGAATGACAAGTGATAGCGATAATAGCGTAAAATATAAAAGAGTTTTATACATTAGAACTATGGTAAAAATTTTATATTCGTGTTCATCCAAAAACAACAAATTGCTAAAAAATGTGGAGGCCTTAAAATATCATCACAATGCTCTAGTGGCAATTCTCAATAATTTGGATGAGTTATTATTAAACGAACGATCTTTAAAAGATCAAGAAATAGAGGGGCAAAACTTATTGTTTGAAATAATTGGTCCTTTACAAAACACAAATCAAACTTTGTCAAAGTAAGTAACTGAGTTTATAACCCCTATATTTATTCAAAAAAATTTTTTTCAATGGTTGATAATTTTTCCGAAATATAATTCTTTTTTTATTGGTATGAAAAGAAAACTTCCTTTTATTCGGAATAAAATACTTTTTTATTTTTTGCTAATATATTTCGTACGCTACATACGCACTTTATCAAAGCTGATTTTCTTCCAAAGCTGATTGAGAAGAAAATCAGCTTTGGTAGAGTGCGTATGTAGCGCACAAAATATATTAGCAAAAAATAAAAAAGTATTTTATTCCGAATAAAAGGAAGTTTTCTTTTCATACCAATAAAAAAAGAACCCTATATTTATATTATACTTATGTACATACATAAGTATGCATATCGAATTTTGATTAAATTTCTACAACACAGACCCTTGGTTGATGCAATTACATATTGGCAATCAGTATCTAACCCCAAAAGTATCGCTTTACCTTTAATCTTAAACAGTTTTGGTCTTTGTAAAACATTCAACTATAATATGTATTTATTATTAGAAGAAACCTTATACACATATTTTAAAAGTCATAATACAGGTAAAATCAAAATATTTTAATAATATAATTTTAATTGAAAAATATATGTATGTATACATTTAAAGATACTAAAACACAGTCCTGGGCGGACATTTTCAAACGTTTGTCGCATGTCATCAACAATTTCGACTATCAGATTTTGCTTCAAGGACAATTTTTCCTCGTATTACATTTATTTATCTTATACAAAATACAAAATATGAATAATCCGGCGGAGAAAATTACGTTTTTGCAAGACTTAAGTCAAATTTTAGGAAATTTAAAAATTAAGTAAGCATTCTTTATTTTCATACACTAAATCAGGCAAGTCAAACTCATTTATCATCACGGGTCTTTTTAGGGTTCCCGTCCATTACATCGGGCACGATAAAAAAACTTAAGCTTCTAAATTATACTCAAATTTTGTTTTTACTATCAACATAAAAAAATATGAAATATCCAAATAATACAGTCACACAAAAAAATATAAAATCATTTTTTTTAAAGAAAATTAGCAACGTTTTCCTGTTGCAAATCTTCGAAATTTGCTCGAATTTAATTCATAGTCTTAATTTTTAATATTTTTGATATTGGTTGATCTGTTAATTTTAATCTTTACGCCGTTTTATTATGTTTTAATATCGAAAACAATTGTTCACAGAAATATGTGCTTCCGATCATTGCTAAAAGACGCTTAATTGATATATAAATAATTGCCAAATTTAGATATTTCTACTTCTCTAAATTTTTGCTTTAATACAGAATCGCACAGCATTTCGATTTCAATTGTTGATTTGCCTCAAGTGCTTCAATATCAACAGAAAAGTAAATAAATTAAATTCATTCTGACATCTATTAAAATCTAAAAATCTTTCAAATTCGATTTTTAATCATTAATTCCAACTAGAATATATGGAAAATTTCGAATTTACTTTACTGGTTTACTGTTTACAAAATTCAAGAAAATGACATGAAAACTAATTCAACTATATAAGTATTTGATTTAAAGAACAGTCGCTTTCCATTTCTGGAATAAAACTAACGTGAAAATTCGGTTCCGTCTACATTTTACATACAGTTGTATGGTTTTTTCAAATGCTTTTGTTTGGTTTTGTATGTGTGAAAATCCCCTACAAAACCTTCACACTGGTTTAAACACTTTCTTTATAAGTGATCTAAATCAATATTTGTAACAAAATTTTAAGAATTAAAGTTTAAAACTTTCAAAAATTATAACTGGCCGCAGGATCAAGAACTGCGGGTCGCGTGTTTGATATGCCTGCTCTAAATAAATTTTAGTATTTTATTTTAATATACCAATCTGTGTTAATGTAGTGAGATAAATGAATCTAGATTGATTCTTTTATGGGGAGCTGTGATAACTTGTGGTTGTAAAATGCTAGTTTTAACCGAGAATGCTAAAAAACCTCTTTTAATGATGGCAAGACAACTTTTTATCTTTGCCAAACAATGTGAGGGATGGAGTGATAGTTTATTGGGAGCTATAGGATTACGACGAGATAGTGGTCTTTATAAGTGAGGAAGTTTTAATATTTGCAATAATATTTTTAACGATTGTAATTTTTCCAGGCGCAAAATTTTGTTCAGATGCTTATCAAGTATTGTATTCAGCTTATTTCCTGATCAAAGGTATTATTGATTAATATATTTCCAATTAAAAGATTTATATTTCAGTATTTGTAATAAACTGTTAATTTATATTTAAAGCGGTGCAGAAACCAAGGAATCACAAGAATTTGTTTTATCTCTGGATGAACTAATTAATGAAAGTCTAAATAAATCCACAAATTATAAGCAGCAAATTTCTCAAGCCATTGAAATAATAACAAATTGTAAGAATTCGGAGCCGGAAAACGTTACGGAATCTGTTTTCATATTAATAAATCTGTTTTATAACGAAAATTTTATGCAAAGTGCACAACATGTGTGGAAAATCTAAGTGACCTTATTTTAATTGACATTTCCTAATTCCAAATATTAATTGCAAACTTTTTTTTATTATTTTTTTATACAAGTCAAAAAAACAAAATGTTGGTATAAGTTAGTAGTAAATACGTACTGTAGTATTGTACAGTTATTGCTAGTAGTATGAAATGCGAATATAAAAAAGGAATGAAGTTCATATAAATATGCAGTCCAACGCAAAAGTATTCGTCCCTTAATAAAATTGAAAAAGGAGTATTAATAATTAAAATTAAAAGAGTAAAGAAAAATATAATTTACAATGAAAATTCAAAGATAAATCAACTCAAAGGTAATTTATTTCGTAAAGAATGTTTTTCTAAACAAAAGATCACAAACTTAAGTATGTGATCTTAACTTATTAAGTTACTATTTTGGTAACTACTTCTACAAAAACTACTTCTCTTTGATATAATTATGTAAATGAGATTTACAAAATAAGAAAATATAGAAATGCTATTATCTTTTATTAACAAATTGTAAGTAAAGACACAAAATTTCTTATTAGACTTGAATCTTGCATTGTTGTTCTAGTATAACGGTTCGTTCTTATTTATTTATTTTTTTCTTATTGCTTTCTCTTGTATTGTTCTTACTTTTTTTGTATCTGGTGGTGTTATTAGTCCTTAAGTTTTTTTTATATTTTTATTTGTGCTCGATTGTTTGATAATATTTCAAAATACAATGACATATTATTCTTTGTCTGTAAGATTTCAGAATATAATTAATGTGTTTTTACTGTAATAACATCACCATGTTTTCAAACCGTTATAAGTAAGCCATTTATTACATCAGAAGGTATCTGCAATACACGTGTAGGTTTTTTTATTTGTTGTCTCTTTCAACTTTAGTTCAAATTGTTCTTTAAACAATTTTTTAAATAAACATCTTTATCTTTTGAATATCCTTTAAGAGTTTTACTATGTATTCATTTAAGGGTTTAGTTTAAATCCCAAAATCATTTGAACTCATTATTTATATAAAGAATTTGAATCTTATGCTTATACTAATGTCTTAATATGTAACAAGTCCAATTTTTTTACGAAATATTTCGATTTGTTGCCTTCTTTCCTGTTTTATTGTTTAAATTTCATTGATCGTGTCTTCTTCGATATTTCTTATTATTTTTCTTTTCTTTTTACGTAAAAAATTTTAATATTTCGAAAAATCTCAGGATATTATTCACGTTTTTTAAAAGCTTCCCATTTCAATTCTATTGAACGAAAAAAAAAAGGTAGGAAGAAAGAAAAAATGAAAAAAATTTTTGAGGAAGGATGTATGATTTTTCGTGTACATTTTTTATTTTTCAATAAGGTAAGTTTAGTAGTGTCGGCTAACAAAAATGGTAATGAAAATAATATGATGTGGTAAATTTTAATAATTTGAGTTATTAGTTCATTTTAGTTATTTGGAAGACATTTATAGAATTGTTTCAATTAATTTCAATTAGTTTTTAAGTTATTATTAATATAAAAAATCGTTGCTATTGAGATTAAAAAAAAAAAACAACATTTGAAATTATTAAAAAAGTAAACAAGTGGAAATATGTTTCCATCGAGTGCCAATTTATTCTATTTTGATGAGTACACCAGTAATAGTAGTGAAGACGAAGAAAATGCAAATATTGGAAGGATTTGTATAAAGGATCTATCAAACCTATTGGCCTTACCAGAAACTGAGTCAATATAATTGGTTTTTTATTAGAAGTCCTAGAGCGTTTAACTCCACAGCAAGGTTCGCCGACCTTTCCTTCAATATACTTTTATTTCTTCAAATTTAAATCTATCACGAGCTGCCTCCTTTTTTTTGATTACTTTCATTAGTTCTACTAATTTTGCGAACTGCTCCTGATGTTTTTTAAACTAAAAGTTTATGAGTTTATATATACTAACACAACTACATGTAATAATAAATATGTATATACTCAATATGTATACATCAACGAAAAAATAGTTGTATAAATATATGTACATATATATTTATACAACTATGGATAAATAGTAAAACAAACATTTTTATTATATACAATAGATGCTACATAGATATTATTTATTACAAAAATTTAGTTTAATTACATTTACCTTATTATAGATATTTAAAAATTAAAATTTATTTTACAACTAATGTTTTACCCTTTTTCACAATAACCCCATCATAAAGTCTCAAAGTAATATAAACTACCAACTGAAAATCACAAAATTTTAAATATTACTTCCAGCCACCTAACGCCTAATTTTGACGTTTCTCTCGAAATAATTTTATTTCCATAATACCATTTAGACGAATTCGAGAACAAAGACATTCGCTTCGCAAAACCATAATAACCCCATATACATACATATTTTTAATATTGAATTAATAAATTACCTTTGAGTTGATTGATTTTTGGTTCTTATTCGAAATTATTTCAATACTCTTTAATTTTATTAAATGTACGAATATTTTTGCGGCTGGGGTGCATATTATATAGAAATAAGGCATTACTTTTCTTATTTTATATTTTCGCTTTATGATCGTTTTATTGAAATATTTTACATTATTATTTTTATTTTTATATGTACATACATAAGATTTTATTGCTATAGGGACTTATTGTAATGTACATAAAAGTACATATATTTGTATGTACATATGTACATATATATTAATAACAAAGCGTCTAATTTTGTTTCTATGCATATGTTCATAAAATAAATAATAAGAAATTTATTGAAGTCGTTTTGATATTTTTACAAATAAGAACAAACACTAAAAGCCATATTGTTAATTTAATTAAAAGAAAAACTACCTTTTAATCCGAAAAAGAAAATTGTAATTTGCCAAATGCATATGAGCATTGTATGCATGTGCGTATATTTCATGCCAGCTTCTATCAAAGCCTACTTTTTTTGTTTCTTGAGAAGAAAATTGACTAATTAAATGGCGCACAAATTATACATGCATGTATGTATGTCTGTATGAAGTTAGAAAAAGAAAATTACATTTTTCAAATTAAATAAATTTCTACATTTCTTTTTTGAAATGTTTTTGGAAAATATTCGAAAAATAATTTTTTTGAATTTGCAAAATTCTTCATTTTATTTTATTGCTCAAGGACTAATGCAATTAACGATCCGAATAAAATAAGACTTGTGTCCTTATCAACACCTCAATTTTAAATCATAAATTTAACTTTGTTTTTACACCTATTGATTTTTTAAATAAATGCACATACATTACATATATTGAATACTGTATTGACCATATTTAGCATCTGTTCTAAACTGCATACACGTGTACATACATATGTACATATATGTTTTTTATATGTACAAATAATGAGCCTTATTCTAGTTGTCGAAGTAGAGCGACAATTGTCGTCACGACTTGAATTTGCTATTCTAAATGGCGATTACAGTGACACGTGTCGTGGAATAGCGGGAAAATGTGTTTCAGGTATATTCCAGTTGTCGTTGTAGAGCGACACATGTCGTAGTGAAACGACGTTTTTTGTCGAAAAGTATTTACCAAGTGACAAGCGAGATGGATACACCAAAAATGTAAGTTTAAACAAAACAATTTAATAAAAATATAAAAAATAATAAATTTTGTAATTTAATACATAAATTAAACCCTATAATATATTATTTAATTTTTATTTTTAGCGTAAAAGTAACAACAAGGAAGCAATTTGAAGAATTGGGGAATTTTATGACGGAGAACGCCTTTATTGCGAAAGGCCTTAAATTTGCTGAGAATAGCTGCATAAGCAAATGCGAGTTTGATGCAAAATGGAACCAGCTAACAGAAAAGCTTAATAGCTTGGGTCCGCCCATTAGAAGTACTACAGGATGGCAGAAGGTAATTTTAACTTAAGTTTCATTTAAAATTTAATTAATTTATGTAAATTTCAGGTTTGGTGTGACTACAAATTGAAGTTAAAAAAAAAACTGGCGCACAACAAAAAGGAGTTAAATTCAACTGGCGGTGGTTTATTTAAATTAGCGCAACTAACTGCCATGGATGAAGGAATCATCAATTTACTGTCTTTACAGAAAACAGTTCCACATGACGCCGTAGTGTTTGGCATTGACGAAAACTCAAATTTTGCTCCCAAAGAAAGGAATTTAATAGATACGCCAGTAAATATACATGAAGTTGAAGAACAAGAACAAGACCAACAACAACAGTCAACAAGTGCTCAACAACCATCAACTTCAAAAAGACGCCGCCAAGAATCCTATAAAGAAGATTTATTGGTTTCACAAACCGAAATGTTAAGTAAAATATGTGATTTCCTTGCAAATTTCTAAAATGTGATTTTTAATGCTGTGACAATAATATGTGTGATAAACTTTAAAGTAAATGTATTCACTATAAGTGATATTAATTAAGTTAACAAATGCAAGTACAAAAAAAAGTCTGTTATGTTAATAATTTAATAATACTATGTATTTATGTTACTGCTAATAAAAACTTTATTTATAAATTAAAAATGGAGTTCATAATATTTGTTCTTATTAAAGAGGCATCTTCTTCATCCTGCTCTAAATCTTCATCGTTTTCATCATTTTCATCTTCTATTTCCACAGGTTCATCTTGCACGTTATATTTGATTTTTAAGTTGTGCAAAGCACAGCACACGTTCACAATTTGTGTGGCTTTCTCTGGTGTATAATGAAGCTCCCGAGCGTTCAACAGGCAGCGGAATGTATTTTTGAGAACTCCATTAGTTCTCTCAATTATATTTCGTACCTTGGAATGAAGCTCATTAAATCTTCCTTTTTGACTGCTGTCACCTCTGTTTATATATGTTCTGAACGGCGTGATCAAGTATGGTTTAAGTGGGTACCCTGCGTCCCCTAAAAAACAATTTTTGTTTATGAAATTAACATAAAAGTAAAAAAAAATCAAACTTTTACCTAAAATCCAGGTATTTCGTGTACCGTTGATATTTTCTCTTGAAAGTATTGCATTTAACCTGCTGTAATTCCAAATAAAAGAATCATGAGATGATCCCGGATTATTAGCATCAACATACCTGATGCGCATTTTATGATCGCAAACCTTTAAGTCACATTATATTAAAATATTTACAAATATTTAACAAGCAATGTTATACATACCAACATAACGTTTAAGCTATGATAACCCTTCCGGTTATAATATAAATGCTGATGATTTTTTGACGGAGTTATAATTCTAACGTGTGTTCCGTCTACACAGCCGATCACTCCAGGAAACCCAAATTTTTCATAGAATGCTAATTTAATCTCATTTCTTTCATTCTCTTCTGGAAACTTTATCAAACTGCTGCAAATTTCAGCTTCTAAAGTTGCTAAAACTTCTTTTAATATTTTAGAGAACGTAGGCTGCGCTAAACCTGTATATAAATCGTTAGCAACACCTTTTTGATAGCTGCCCTCAGATAGGAAGCGTAAAACAGCTCCTAATTTAATTATAGGTGAGACTCCAAAACACCTTTTAGGGGTACTTGTTTTTCCCTCAAATATATTTAGTAAATATAGAAAGGCCTCCTTTGAAAGTCTGTAATAGCTTATAAATCTGTGAATAAAATAAAATGTTTGTAACTAATGTATTTGAAAAAATTATTATCTTACACTCCATTTGGCAAATCCAATGGATTAGAGTTGTCCCTAATCTTAAATCTTTTGATCCTTAATTGTTGTTTTTTTTCGATTTCATCACTCTCGGAATCTGATGAATCCGTAAACCATAATGCAAATGACGACATTTTTTATTTCCCTTTTATTTCAAAAAATAAATATACATATACACCGAATTTTTTTTTTAGTTTGAACTTTACTCGCCAAAATTTCTTTTTAAAATGTATCAATTTCACTTGAAACGTTTCATTTTCGTTTATTTCTCGCAGTCACGTCACTCGACAACTAGAATACCACATTTCAAGTGACGTGACAACGACAACGACAAATGTCACGTAAGTGACGCGACAACTAGAATAAGGCTCAATATATTATATAATTTTCCCTAAAAAATTTGAAGCGTTTACCAAAGAATGTCATATAGACTTACCAACGCATGTTTTTTGAACACGTTTAATACGTTTTACTAGTAAAACAATAAGATACAGAGAGAAATTTTATATGGATTAACTTCTAGAGATCGTATCGAAAAACACAAAAAAAAAATTATAACAAAAATTTTCGAGAAATTTCGATTTTTGTACAAAAAGTTAAAAAAATAAAAATTTTGTCTCTGACGAGGCTCAAATCAAATTAATTATTAGACCAAAAATAAAGAACTATCTATCGCCTGTAAAACAAGTTCCTAATGATAACTCTATGTTAACATAATTATATGGTTACGAAATTATAAGCATTTATTTATATGCGGGAAAAGTCCGGGTTGAGTTTCAATGGGATGTAGCTCGAAAACTGCAAATTGATCAAAGAATTATCTCTGAAATTATTTGCCACCTTATGTGAAACACCCTGTATAATTATTAAATATAATTATTATCCAGCTTCAACATCACCTACATAGATGTCAATTAATTTAAAATAAATTTTTTATGTACATACATACATACATATTTATTTTTCAAATACTTGACTACCATTAGAGCATGGTTTCTTAACCTGTGGTTCATTAACCCCTTGGGGGTCCATGGATCATATTTTGGGGGTTCGCCGACTGCTCCTAATTTCTGCTCCCAATTTTTAAAATTTCTTTAAAAAATTTTTTTTTGTCAAAATTTGAAAATTTGAAACACTGAGTAGCCTTTGATTTTTATTTCACTTAGAATAAAGTGCGTTAGAATCAGTTCAGTTCCACAAAGTTCTTGCAAATTCTTAAAGCGAAATATTTGTTCGTAAAGTATTGTATTTACTAGTATTTTTTTTTCGAGTGCTTTTTTGTACATAGTTTTTTCTAGTGTTTTTTTTGTGTTGACAACGGTGTTTTCAAATAAAGGTGAGTTCAGTCATGTGGTGAGTTATAATAATTGACGTTTAAACAATTTTTTTTCACAGAGGGGTTCGTGAGATATTTAAAATTTTTAAAGGGGTCCATTGCACCAAAAAGGTTAAGAAACCCTGCATTAGAGTAATAATAATTCACAAAACAAGAAATTTAAAGTGATTTTAAAAAAATTAAAGTTAAAACAATCTGGCATTTTGGGCAAGAAATCTGGTCATCTGTTAGATCTTTGAAAATTCTGAAAAATCAGATAAAAAAAAACACAGTCGCGGTAACTAAGGCCACCACGTAGAGAGAGCAACTCTCATTTTCGTTTTATAGTTTCTAAAAAAAGTAAAGAGTTTATATGAGGAAAATATATTTTCACCATACTTTTACTTAATTTAAAATCATTTGCATCTAAAATTACCCATAAAGATTTTAATATAAGGAAATGTTTGAGTTTTAATTTAATATTTGCAAAAAAGAAATGCCAAAAAAGGTAAGTTTTCATTCAAAATAAATTTTATTAAACAACAATTTCCTAAAATTTATAAAATATTCAATCGATACAGACCTTCCTCATTGCCATTTAAAAGGGTACTGAGTAGTCATGTGTCGTTCGCGAACGAACTAAACTTAAAAAACGAATCACTTTACTGAACTTAGCTCATTAGTTCACTTCTTCAAAAATGAATCGTTCGTCGTTCACTAAGAATTTCAATTTTCTTTTTTAGTTATTAAAAAATATGACTGTATATATGTACATTAGTAATTGATATACAAGTTATCACGGTGTCAAGTAACATATTCAAGAGGCATCAAATTACATCTTTAGTACAATACTAATTTCTGTTCACATGTAAATTGCTGGCACAGTGTCTGCAATCGAACATGTTTAACCATAGAAAAATCATGAAATTATCGTTCCCACCAAAAGTGCATAAATACCGTTAGATTTTAAGATATCTTTAAGTTTTAATTTGGTATTAATAACAGTAGCATGAAATAAATTAAACTGTTAATTAGAATCTCGATTAAATTTAAAATCTATTTTTTAAGTATAGTAATTGTAATTGTGTGAAATAAAATTTATTTTTTTAAAATCGAGTGAACGCAGTTTAATAACTTACATTTTATATTCCTTATTTCCTTCTGTATTAATATTACACAATACAAATAAAATTGAACGACATACTAAATCCAATACTCATAAAAACGAACGATATACTCCCACATACTTATATGGAATATTGATAAAAGCAAATGAGAAGTAAAATAAATGAAATGCTATACACAACAGTGACCGAATCACTTGCCAATATAAAAATAATACAAGTAAAATTGAACGATACGCATTTGGACAAAAAATTAAACGCTGATGTCAAAACATAGATTCAATTATCGAATTTACTTTAAATTAAATACAGAGCGGAAATGAATTAACAAGAATGAGTTTCTTGAAGATTCGCCGAAATTATATGGTTCGCGAAGAGTAGAATTCGCTAAGAAAAAATCGTTGCAATCGAGATTGCAAAAAAAATTATATTTAAAATTATTAATAAAGTAAACAAAGTGAATAAATAATATAGGCTACAAAGTGAAAATATGTTTTCAATCGAGTGCTGATTTATTCTATTGTGATGAGCAGACCAGTAATAGTAATTACTAGTGAAGAAGACAAAAAGGCATGGCATGATCATGAAAAAAGGCATTAAACAGAACATTTTAGAGGTAAACAAAAAAAGTCGTAAAATGAAAAGTAGGTCCGAGTGTACTTTTATTCAGTTCTAACTTACTCTACCACGAGCTACGTTCGGATTGCTTTATATTAGTTCTAATAAATTTGCGAACTGCTCCCGATTTATTTTTGTTAAATTAAAAATTTATGAATTAGTATATGCATATAAAAGCGCTATTTTTTTTCAATAAAAAGAAATATGTATGGATCTTTATTACATCCATTAGGTACTGCATAGCTTTATTTATTTAAAAGTTTTTTTAATTACATTTACCTTATTATAGATATTTAAAAATTAAAATTTATTTTTCTACTAATGTCTTACATTTTTTCACAATAACCCCATTATAAAGTCTTAAAATAATATTAACTATCACAACAAAGTTTTGGAAATTAACGTAGTTCAAGTCAAATTACATTTTTATTCGTCTAGTCTTAACATTTCTATCGAAATAATTTTATTCGCTTAGTATAATACCTTTTAAAAGATGTATTTGTTCTTTGATGTTCTTACTTACTATTACAACGCAATTAACGTTTATAATATTATTAAACAACAAATTTATTCTTAATGTAACCCTGGGTAATGTCTTTATATCTAACAAGTCCCAATACTCAATTTTTTTTACGAAATATTACGAATTTTTGGCTTCGTTCCTGTTTTTTTCTTTAAATGCCACTGATCGTGTCATATTTCTTATTATTTTTTTCTTTTTTTTACGTAAAAAAGAGTTTAATTTTTTTAAAAATCTCAGGATATTATACACATTTTTTAAAAAGCTTCCCATTTAAATTCTATTGCACGAAAAAGAAAGAAAGGTAGGAGGAAAGAAAAAATGATAAAAAATTTGAAATTCATATTTCAGTATTGTTTCAAATGTTAATGAGGAAGGATGTATGTTTTTTCGTGCACATTTTGTATTTCCCAATAAGGTAAGTTAAGTAGTGTCGGATAACAAAAATGTTAGTAAAAGTAATATAGGTTGACACATTTCAACAATTTGAATTATCTCATTTCGGTTATTTATACGTTACTTATAAAATTGCTTCAAATAATTTCAGTTAGTTTTTAAGTTATTACTCGTAAGAATAAATATGTATGTATCTACTTCCAATCAATTTTTTTTTTAAATAATTATTTTAAAACTATTTCAAACATGTTATATTGAGTGCTTTAAAAATTTTGTTGTGCTCTTCTTTCATATTTTATTAGCAGGTAAACAAGAGCAATCTATTTATAAAATTGCCCTGCCTGTGTATGAATCTTAATAGTAAACGCAAACGGACAAAAATTTACCTGTCATTTTACAATCGGACTTTTTGAGTCATTTGCTAAGATAATATTTATTTCAAAAATAAAAAAGATATTCGAATCCGGTCATAAAAATATATTATTGTTTTTTCCAAACATTTTAAATATTTTTTTACTTAGGTAATATATTAAGTTTTAAAAATTTTTCTCACAAATAGAGGTAAAATTTGAAGTGTATATAAAATTTGTATTTAAAAAATAATATTTGATTGTATTTTAGATATTATTTTCTAATTCCCTTTAAAAATTTTTTCTATACTACGTATTTATATCAATATTTAATAATTATCTTTCATTAATTATATTTTCAACTTGACACCACAGTTACTTCCCATATCTTGAGTTAACTTACCCTATGAGAAAAAAAAGCTGGTCACTTAAAAATAATGAAATGCTTTCAGTAACATATAAAACATTGAAGGCGAAGGTTGTGCTTGTTGTTTTTCCGCTGTTTCAAGAATTTTAAAATAATTTTGAATGAAAATATTAATATATTTTCTTGATTTTTCAAATATATTTTTAGAATTTTACCTGCTTTATAATAAGTATGAATTTATTTTAATATTTCTTCTCGAAAAATAGCCACTTCGATTTAAAAAAAAACCCATATAAAATAAGGTCGTGCTTTCAAGTTTCTCTCTGAGCATTGGGACTTGTTAGATATAAAGACATTATTACCCTGGGTTGAAAACTAGGCACTACAAAAAATCAAGGCCTGGACACTGCTTTGTTTGAGAATGAATTTGTTAAAATTACGTGTGTATTTTTGGCGAAATGACATTTCTAAAGAATTATTTTTTTTATTTGGAAAAATTATGATTTTTGCATAATTTCATTTCGAGTTTTCTATACGAAAAGTTGACTTAAACCTAAAAATTTTTATTCTAAAATTAAATTTGGAGTTTTCAGAACAACATATAAAAAATTCAAATTTCAACTCAAAATTTTAACTATAATTTTGTCTAAATATATTTTCCGAGTTTTTTCCACATTTTTTTGTACCGCCATGTCAGACAACATATGTATGTATGTATGTATCTAACAGAACTGAGGATAAAAAATTATAATACACTGAATAAAAAAAATTTATGCTATATTTTAATCTAGAATACACGACTTAAAGTAAAGTTAATAAACATTTCATTAGATTTTAATTTGGAATATAATTTTCTAATTATTTGATTTTAAATTTTATAATTATGATAGTGCTTTTTAAAATTTTATAATCATTATAAAAAATGCGTCGTTCCAAGTTGTCCCTTATAAAAAAAAAAAAAAACAATAAAAATATTGTAACTTGTAAAAGTTTTAAGGTTCTTGTACGGTAGTTTGGGTAAATCACTGAATTAGAACTTAATGTGAAAGTGTTTCCTAATATAACTAAAATCACATGCATATGTACATATCTAAAAAAAATTACATATGTATGACTTTTATACAGGGTTGTTCGCATAAAGTGGGTGGGGGCATACATACTCGTTTTCGAGCTACAGCCTGTTGAAAAAAAACAACACATTTTTCTGCATAAAAATAAATGTGGACTTTGGAACCACGCGTAATAGAGTAATCATCTTTAAATTATTTTACAGGTGATTGATTGCTCTTTATTTTCGGCCATACAATCAATTTGATCCAGCCATAAATTTCGAGATATAGCTCGTCAAAATCAGAATTGTTTTTTTGAAATTTTTTTTGCAAAACTTGAAATTTCTCGAAAATTTTTATTATTTTTTCAATGCACTACGATGAGATCTAAAAGTTAACCCATATAACATTTTACTCTATCTCTCATATTTTTGCCAGTAAAACGTGTTAAATGTATTTAAAAACATGCGAAAAATGCATTTTTCACACATTTTCATCTGTCAGCCGTCGTTAAAAACAACATACAGTAATTTATCAATGACTATTTATTATATAATTTTATAATTATTTAAAATAATTTAAAAAAAACTAATATATAGATATGTACACGAATTTTTCCGAAAGTACAATATTCTAAACCGAAAATAATTTTGGCTCACTAGTTTCTAAGTTCATTTTTACAACTTTACATTCAAATATTTCACTAAAGCTATCTAACAACTTTGGTATAACCATATCAATAGTAATATTCCGATTTAATTCTCTAGACAAAGAAGTCATATATTTGTCCTCAATACCACATGGAATTATGTGCTCAAACCATTTTAAATCAGTATTGCAATTTAAAGCAATTCCGTGACTAGTTTTATATTGGGAAACATGAATCCCTATAGCACATATTTTTTTGTTACTTCCTATCCATATTCCAGTATGTTCAGTTCTTATTGCTTTTATCCCAAATTTGTTGCACGTACTTATTACAGTTTCTTCCAAACTATTTACGTACCACCTAACACTAGGTTTGAATAGTTTAAGATGTAATATGGGATATAAAATTAACTGACCAGGCCCATGAAATGTGATTAATCCACCACGGTCCGTTTTGTAAAACTCTGCTCCAAAACTTTTTAGCTTTTCTTCATCTTTTATTGTATAATTCTTGGATCTAATACCAATAGTGTAAACGGGTTTATGTTCAGCTAATATTAAGATGTTTTTAAATGTTTTAAAATCCGCTGAATTATTATAAACTGAAATAAAATATTTTTGTATGTTTAACCCGTTTTGATAACTTATTAAACCAGTGCGAAATACTTCCACAATTTTCTTCATGACACATATTGTATTATTTTTTGTTGTGATAAACACGGCTGCCATTTGACAGCTATATATACTTCGTCTATATCATGGTAAGAAGGCCATAAACTATGTTCATAAAAAAAAACTTTTTGTGACGTCATCTGTTTCAAATACGTAAACAGTATGAGCAATATATAAAGAAATAATAAGAAATTCATGTTTATTTGCAAACTTTTCGAATCTTTTTAGTTTTACAATTGCTTTTACAATTTTACTGTATATTATATTTTACATTTTGATTTAATTCTCTTATTCGAAAATACATTCTGCAACGAAAAAATATGTATCGATTTTTTCCGTACTTCTGGGTTTTCTAGAAATCTATGGAATTGCACCTTATTTGTATTGCTATTAGTTTAGTAAGATTGTATTTTGTAAATTGGATTCATCGTTTTAATATTTTTTTTAAATATTTTTCTTTTAAAAGGAGTATAGTTCTAAATTGTTATTCTTATTTACAAAAGAAAATAGTTTCTTTACACCATTTACATGTGAATATTTTTTATTTCAATAATTAAAAGAAATGTTTATTCAATAGCGCTTTGATTAATTCATAATTTGTAATTTTTCTAATTCATAATTGTAACGAAGATCGCTGTTTCTGATCCTGTTTGTCGAAAAGAGACAATAGTAACTTCGATTGAGAAAGTTAAGAATACAAAAAGTTGTTCTGAATTTAAGCTACTGAATAATATTTTTTTCGTAGGAAAAATCTTAGAAAAGATAGTGAATGGCCAGTTGGAGAATTACGTACATACATGAGAATAATCTTTGTCTGTCTTCCAATTGAATAACGTGATTGTAGCTGTAGCTTTTTAGATTTTAAAAGAGGGTTTGAGACGAGTGATCGATGTGTATTGGTGCAGTATCTGCGATTGATCGATGTGTAATGGTGCATATATTTCTATGGATAAGAGGAAAGGAAATTGGATGGTTTTTATTTTAATTAAATTTAATTAAAATTTAGGTCGTATTTGAATGAGAGAATGCAGCGAACAAAAGTGAATGGGGCTATATTATGTTGTGTTATGTATGGGGCGAATTGAATCAGCACCTCGACCATATAGATATTTTGTGCATCTCCGCGCCAGATCATTAGAGCTCAAGATTCAAGCTCCCGATAAATTTTAACAAGCCCACCATGCACAACGATTCATAAAAATCCAAGTCCAAGGCCGCGAAAAATCCGTATCTAGAGCGGGCCAAGTCATCACACTCAAGTGGGACATGAGTGAAGTCCTCCCTTCCGCGGTCGCAGAATCTACATCGCTGTGTATTTGATCTGCCAATTTTTTGTAAATATGAGTTAAAGGGCCCATGCCCAATGAAAAACCGTAATAGAACCCTCAGTAAAGAGCGGCTCTGTCTTACAATGTCAGGAGTACCACAGCTCCGAAGCGCGCTTTTCCACCCAGGCAGCCACGACCTGGTCAAAACACTTCATAGAATCACCCACGCTCGAACCAGGTATGATAAAGGAGGCATATGCCCCCAACTTCGCCAAATAATCGGTCTCCTCATTTCCAGGCCAGGAGCTCCAGGATGGAGTTGTGTCCCGTCAAGACACGTCCTATATATTCTAAGAGCTTTAGTCATGCAGTCCTGGACCCCGCAACGCCGCCAACATGCAAATGCAAGAGAATAAGTTTCAGCATCCTCTCAAAGCGCTGCCGTTCGCGAGGGCCTCAGAGCACCAGTGGCGCTCAGACAAGCTAACCGTTGTACCCTGTTAATGGCAATTTGTGCTCCCGCCTGCCGCGTCTTGGGCATTCATACAGAGGGGGACTTCCATCAGTTGAGGACTCAAGCCCCAGATCTTCCCGAATAAGGACTTCTAAGCAAAGAAGGCCTTGATAGCTTTGGTCTCCACTTTGGAAATCTGTCCAACATCACCCCTAAAAATTTGACGTCCCCAGCCATCAGGACATGAATACCGCAATGATGTTCCTTGACCTTCTATGAATCACGGTGCATGGAAGGTTCGCCCCTTGTGTTAGTGAAAAGTATTCACGTTACTTTTTGCGCATTCACATTTAAATCCGGGCTCTTACACCAGTCCCCAATAGCAGCCAGAACCAGCTAATGCATCAGGATTCTGATCTCAAAAGTAGCTGGTTCACAAAAGTCCAGAATCCACAAAAGTGGGGAAAGAACCCACCCTGTGGGCAGCTCCTAGTGGCCGCGACCATGAAAGAGTCAGTACCAACTACCGCCTCGATTCTTCTACCCTTGTTCTCGACGTAATCGGTTGCTCAGTGACTCCAAAACTGGTGCTGTCGCAAGCACCCGAAATATCTATGAAAGTATCCGCCAGTATCTATAACGCAACATACTTACAACCTTTTTGACAAGCTGATGAAGAGCGGTGTCCGTGGATTTTCCGGCATATTGGCCGGGATGTATTGGATGTGTAACAACATTGGATGTATCTGATTTCTAAAGCTAACGCCCTTTCCATAGGCTTGGTAGATAATATGTCAAGCTGATAGGCCTGCATGAATCAGCCTCGGCTTCCTCATAATGGGGCTAAGTCAGAGTCGAAAATTGTAAAATTGGGCGTTTCACAGGGTTCAACTCTTGAGGCTTCTCTTTGTTTTCTATGTTAATGATACGGAAGGGGTAACTGAAAAATTTAACTTGGCGTTATTCGCGGATGATACAATATTGTAATGTCTTTACATCTAACAAGTCCCTATACTCAATTTTACGAAATATTACGAATTTTTGGCTTCGTTCCTGTTTTTTTCTTTGAATGCCACTGATCGTGTCATATTCCTTATTATTTTTTTCTTTTTTTAAGTAAAAAAAAGTTTAATATTTTAAAAAATCTCAGGATATTATACACATTTTTTAAAAAATTTCCCATTCAAATTCTATTGCACGAAAAAGAAAGAAAGGGAGGAGGAAAGAAAAAATGATAAAAAATTTCAAATTCATATTTCAGTATGGTTTCAAATGTTAATGAGGAAGGATGTATGTTTTTTCGTGCACATTTTGTATTTCCCAATAAGGTAAGTTGAGTAGTGTCGGATAACAAAAATGTTAGTAAAAGTAATATAGGTTGACACATTTCAACAATTTGAATTACCTCATTTCGGTTATTTACACGTTACTTATAAAAATGTTTCAAATAACTTCAGTTAGTTTTTAAGTTATTAAAAATAAATATGTATGTACGAGTACCTACTTCCAATCAATTTTTTTTTAAATAATTATTTTAAAACTATTACAAACGTGTTATATTGAGCGCTTCAAAAATTTTGTTGTGCTCTTCTTTCATATTTTATTAGCAGGTAAACAAGAGCAGTCTATTTATAAAATGGCCCTGCCTGTGTATGAATCTTAATAGTAAACGCAAACGGACAAAAATTTTTTGACAACCTATTACTTGATAATCGGAGTTTTTGAGTCACTTGCTAAGATACTATTTATTTCAAAAATAAAAAAGATATTCCAATCCGGTCATAAAAATATATTATTGTCTTTCCCAAAACCTTCTAAATATTTTTTTACTTAGGTAATATATTAAGTTTTAAAAATTTTTCTCACAAATAGAGGTAAAATTTAGAAGTGTTTATAAAATTTGTATTTAAAAAATAATATTTGATTGTATTTTAGATATTATTTTCTAATTCCCTCTTCAAATTTTTTCTTTACTACGTATTTATATCAATATTTAATAATTATCTTTCATTAATTATATTTTCAACTTGACACCACAGTTACTTCCCATATCTTGAGTTAACTTACCCTATGAGAAAAAAAAGCTGTTCACTTAAAAATAATGAAATGCTTTCAGTAACATATAAAACGTTGAAGGCGAAGGTTGTGTTTGTTGTTTTTCCGCTGTTTCTAGAATTTTAAAATAATTATGAATGAAAATATTAATATATTTTCTTGATTTTTCAAATATATTTTCGAAATTTTACTTGCTTTATAATAAGTGTGAATTTAATTTAATATTTCTTCTCAAAAAATAGCCACTTCGATTTAAAAAAACCCATATAAAATAAGGTCGTGCTTTCAAATTTCTCTCCTAGCATTGGGACTTGTTAAATATAAAGACATTAACTATTGAATAAAGTTAATGAGGATGTGCATGTATGTGTAACAAAAATGAATGATTTAAAAAAGTTAAATAGGTGCCTGTCTAAAATTGAATGTGCTAAAAACGAAATGTATGGTAATGAACGCGTGTGTGAGCCCTGATTTATTAATAGATAATGAGAAGATCGAGGTAGTTAATAGTTTAAATAATGTCTTTATATCTAACAAGTCCCAATGCTCAGAGAGAAACTTGAAAGCACACCTTATTTGATATGGGTTTTTTTAAATCGAAGTGTCTATTTTTTGAGAAGAAATATTAAAATAAATTCATACTTATTATAAAGCATTAAAATTCTAAAAATATATTTGAAAAATCAAAAAAATATATTAATATTTTCATTGATAATTATTTTAAAATTTAAAAAAAAGCGGAAAAACAACAAGCACATCCTTCGCCTTCAACGTTTTATATGTAACTGAAAGCTTTTCATTATTTTTAAGTGAACAGCTTTTTTCTCTTATAGGGTAAGCTAACTCAAGATATGGGAAGTAACTGTGGTGTCAAGTTGAAAATATAATTAATGAAAGATAATTCTTAAATATTGATATAAATACGTAGTAAAGAAAAAATTTGAAGAGGGAATTAGAAAATAATATCTAAAATACAATCAAATATTATTTTTTAAATACAAATTTTATATACACTTCTAAATTTTACCTCTATTTGTGAGAAAATTTTTTACCTAAGTAAAAAAATATTTAAAAGGTTTTGGAAAAAACAATAATATATTTTATGACCGGATTCGAATATCTTTTTTACTTTTTAAATAAATAGTATCTTAGCAAATGACTCAAAAACTCCGTTTGAAAAACGACAGGTAGTAGGTACTGATGTAAATTTTTGTCCGTTTGCGTTTACTATTAAGATTCATAAACAGGCAGGGTCATTTTATAAATAAGTTGCTCTTGTTTACCTGCTAATAAAATGTGAAAGAAGAACACAACAAAATTTTTGAAGCACCCAATATAACATGTTTGAAATAGTTTTAAAATAATTATTTAAAAAAAATTAATTGGAAGTAGATACATACATATATATTCTTAATAACTTAAGAACTAACTGAAATTATTTAAAACAATTTTATAAGTAACGTATAAATAACCGAAGTGAGATAATTCAAATTGTTGAAATACTTTGAATAACATTTTTGTTGGCCGACACTACTCAACTTACCTTATTGGGAAATACAAAATGTACACGAAAAATCATACGTTCCTCATTAACATTTGAAACCATACTGAAATATGAATTTGAAATTTTTTTTCATTTTTTCTTTCCTCCTACCTTTCTTTCTTTTTCGTGCAATAGAATTTAAACGGGAAGCTTTTTAAAAAATGTGTATAATATCCTGAGATTTTTTAAAAAATTAAACTCTTTTTTACGTAAAAAAAAGAAAAAAATAATAAGAAATATGACACGATCAGTGGCATTTAAAGAAAAAAACAGGAACGAAGCCAAAAATTCGTAATATTTCGTAAAAAAAATTGAGTATTGGGACTTGTTAGATATAAAGACATTTAGTTTAAAGTATCTAGGTGTAATAATACGTAGACAATTGGTTGAAATTCAATCAACACGTAAATTTCTTATGTAAAAAAATTGCAAAAAAACTGAATTTTTTTAGGCATATTAAAATAGGATGTCTCTTTCAAGCTCAATCAAGGTCTATAATGTTCTGGTGGCCTACTATGTAGTGCTATTTTCGCTAAACGACTGACGTAAATCGAATTTCGCAACTTTTCATTCACTTGCCATTTTGTTTATGAATCTTATTGCGAAAATCTAAGTTTTTGAAAAAATGAAATTAAATAATTTAAGTATTACATTTGTTTTGCTTCATTAAATTGAAAAATCTTGCATTTCAAATTTACTTCCCAGTTACACTTTTATGGGACTTAACTTTTTATCTATAGCCTAACAAATTTTAGTTATAATAAGTAGAATAATTTGCTGCGCAAGAGTAATATTTAAATCTTAACCTGCTTAAAAGTTTTTTGCCATCCATATTTGTTTAAAAAATTAACAATAATTTATTTAAAAGGGAACTGCATAGTTATATATTATTTATTAGCTATGTATTATCTATGGGGAACTGAGTTAAATTACGATTTTCGAAAAAAAATCAAGTTAATTTTAAAATGAAAAATTTTCATGAGGTAAATTTACCAAACTCTTAGTATTTTTCCTCTTATTAGAGAATTTTACTGAAAGATCTTTATACTGAAGAAAATATTAGACATTTTAAATAATCAGTGCTAACTTAAGATTGATACAAAATATTTCCGACAAATTAAAACTTTAAATCTGCAAAATAGAATGTTTGATAGAAAAAGTACATAGCATGTCTAATATTAAAAATTTGGTTGTACTCGTATGCAACAAAATATTTCAAATTTGAAAAAAACAGCATCGAAACAATAATTTGTTATTGGTTACATTTTTTATATACAAATAACTAAAATCATTTAACCAATAAATCTGCAAAAGTAAAATTTTTAATAATTAAAGATCAGCTACAATTATGCAAAAAGTTATTTTTAAAATATTAGTTGGAAGAGAACAAAAAGCCTTCACAATTAAAACGCCTTTAATTGTTTAAAGCATGCCTTGTAATAATATACGAAAATAGAAATAAAATAAACGAAAAAGATTTAATATCAAGCAAACGAAAAAGACCTACTTCTTCAATTTTAATGCAATGAGATGGGCCTTGTACTTACACGGGCAGTGGTTATTTTGTTAAAATTTAATTCTATTTCAAATACGAAATGAATGAAATTTTACGTCCCTTATTTGAAGGAAAAATGACATTTTCGAAAACTTCGGTAGTTAAGTGGAGGTTGATCCAGTTTTTTCAGAGAGAAAAAAGAAGTTCCGCAAGAATATAGAAAATGAGGGAAATTCAAATTTTCATAAAAGATTTATGCGCGCGCATTACTTCGGTGCACGTAATACTAATTAATGAATTCACTTCAAGGGTCCTTTTAAATTAAATAGGACGGCAGCCCTAGCAGCTATATTGCTTTTGATTTGTTATTCCAAACGTCAGCTATTTAGTGAAATGTCACAAAAATTTTGTGTCTGCCATTTTGAATTTCTTTTATTACTGAAAGGGTTGGTGTCATCCTTTCTTAAAATAAAATAAAAAATTCTTTAAAAGTTTTTGGGCAACAAAAATCGCTACAATAAAGCAGAAATACGAGTTATAAAAAATGTCTAGGTATTTGCAAAGGCCAGAAAATGCGCTCAAGAGAGCCAATGGTAAGTTTGTAGTCCACGCGACAAAATTTTATTTCAATATGGACGGCGGAATCTAATAATAGATCGGAATCTTTCAGAATTTATCGACGTTGGGAAACCGGCTAGAGCATTAGATACCTTGCAAGAAGTTTTTCGAAGTAAAAAATGGACTTATAATTGGTCGGAGTCGGTTATTGAACCGATTATGTTCAAATATTTATATTTATGTGTAGAATTGAAAAAATCTCACATTGCGAAAGAAGGTCTGTTTCAATATAGAAACATGTTTCAGTTGGTCAATGTAGGTTCACTAGAAAATGTTATACGTGGATATTTAAAAATGGCAGAGGAACGAACGGAAGCTGCGCAACAGCAATCCTCTCAAGCAGTTTTAGATATTGTCGACGATTTAGATAATATTGCTACTCCTGAAAGCATATTAATGAGTGCTGTTTGTGGTGAGGATGCTCAAGATCGGTCTGACAGAACAATTTTGTTACCTTGGGTAAAGTTTTTGTGGGAATCATATTGTCAGTGTTTAGAATTACTACGTGTTAACACACATTGTGAAAACTTGTATCATGATATCGCACGGATGGCATTTGGATTTTGCCTAAAATACAACCGCAAAAGTGAATTTAGAAGATTATGTGACAAACTGAGAAAACACCTTGAGGATATTTGTAAAATATCAACCCAATCTACTGGTGTTAGCATAACCAAGTTGGAGACTCAACAACTCAATTTAGATACCAGACTCTATCAGTTGGATAGTGCCATTCAAATGGAATTATGGCAGGAAGCATATAAAGCAATAGAAGATATTCATGGACTTATGACTTTGTCAAAAAAAACACCTGTAGCTAAAACTATGGCTAATTATTACCAAAAACTTGCAATGGTTTTTTGGAAAGCTGGTAATCAACTGTTCCATGCTGCGGCTCTTCTTAAGCTTTTTCAATTGACTAGAGAAATGAAGAAGAACATTACAAAAGATGAGTTGCAGCGAATGGCGTCGCATGTTCTTATTGCAACTTTATCAATTCCTTTGCCTTCGGCTCATCCCGAATTCGATCGTTTCATTGAAACTGATAAAAGTCCTTTAGAAAAAGCACAAAAATTGGCTGTTTTGTTAGGTCTCAATCAACCACCTACAAGAGCTTCTCTACTTAAAGATGTGGTAATTGTTTAAACTTATTAATTTCATTTTAATATTTTTGTTTTACTTGACTTTTTTTATGTTTTTGTAACTTTTTTTTATAATTTTTTCAAGTAACATTATGCTTTACTCTCGCAGGTTCGTCTCAATGTAACTCAACTAGCGTCAGAACACTTTACTAATCTTTATACGTGGCTTGAAGTGGATTTTGATCCATTAAGTTTATGTAAACGTGTACAATCTGTTATCGATTTTATTGAAATTGATGAAAACAGTATTTTAAAACAGTACACTCAATCTTTAAAAGATGTTACTTTGATGAGGCTCATTCGGCAAGTTTCGCAAGTCTATCAAAGTATTGAATTTACTCGTCTAGTTGAATTGGGACATTTTAGCGATATATTTTATTTGGAACGCATTCTTGTTGATTGTGTTCGACACAATGACATGCAAATTCGAATAGACCATCAAAAACGATGCGTTCATTTTGGTACAGATCTTACAGAATCACAAAGAGAAGATCATCCAGATGGCCCCACACTTCAATCCATGCCTTCTGAGCAAATTCGGTCTCAGCTCGTCAACATGTCTATTGTTTTGCATCGTGCTATTGCTGCCATCTATCCTAATCGTAAAAAAGCGGAGCGTGAAAAGTTACGTACTCAAATGGTTGAACATTATCACGACATCAAAGACAGAGAACATCAACGTATCTTACAACGTCAAAAAATTATTGAAGATCGTAAGGAATTTATTGAAAGAATGAATATAGCAAGAGAAGAGGAGGAGTTAAGACGTCAGGAAGAAGCACAAAAATTACAGAAACAAGCAGAACAAAAACGATTGGAGCAGGAAATTGAAGAAAGAGAGCGGATAAGGCATAAAAACGAAATCCAGGCAATTAAAGAAAAAAGTTTAAAGGAAAAAATGCAGCAAATATCACAAACTTCACATGGGAAAAAAATGCTAATGAAACTTGATGAAGAAGGACTAAAAAAACTAGATGCTGAGCAAATCGCTGCGAAAGAAACGGAAGAGTTAATAAAAGAAAGGAAAGAACTTCAAGCAAAACTAAAGTCTCAAGAAAAGAAGGTAGATTATTTTGAACGTGCGAAACGTCTAGAAGAAATTCCGTTGATAGAAAAATTTTTAGTAGAAAAACAAGCCCAAAACAAAGAATTTTGGGAAAAAATAGAAGCTGATAGAATTGAAAAAGCAATAGCTGAAAGAAAATCGCTTGTAGCTCAAAAGGAGCGCTTATCTCGTATGCATGAAGATCGGGATATCTTTATTTCAAGGTTACGTCAAGAACGTGCATCTATGTTTGCTGAAAAAGTTAAAAAGTTTGAACATATGTTAGAAGAAGAACGCAAAAAAAGACTAGCGAAGAGAATTGTGCAACGACGAGAAGAAAGGCGTCAGAAATGGATACAAGAAAAAGAAGAGGAAAGGAGGCAAGCAGAAGAAGAAATCCGAAAAGTTAAAGAAGAAGAAGAAAAAATAGAACAAGAAAAGAAACGAAAAGAGCGAGAAGCTGAAGAAGAAAGAAAGAGAATTTCTTTCGAGAAGCAGCGTTTAAAAAATTTAGAGGTTGAGAAAAAAATACAAGAAGAAAGAGAGCGTTTACGATCAGAAACTAAAGAAGAAGAGAAACCTCGAGACGTATGGAGATCAGAAAGAGGGGGACCACCGAGCGTTGACAAAGATGGCGGTTGGAGAAGTGTAGGTCGTTCTAATGCGACTGAAAATCGGGATGAGAACAGAGAGAGAAGGGTAGATGACAGGAGTGTCAGCGGCTGGAGAAGTGCTGGTCGCCCCAATGCTTCTGAAAATCGGGAGGATAATAGAGACAAACGTGCGGATGAGCGAGATATTACGCGTGAAAAGGGATCTTCCGACTCTTCATGGCGAGCTCGTGATGGAGCTTCACGTCAACCAAATTCTGCGAATCCATCTGGAAGAGAAGACAAGTCATGGCGTCGCGATGAGCGTCCTCCACGTCGAGATGACGACCGTCCCCCTCGTCGAGATGATGATCGTCCTCCACGTCGGGATGAAGAACGTCCACCGCGTCGAGATGATGAACGTCCCCAACGACGAGATGATGAACGGCCTCCACGCCGAGATGATGAACGTTCTACACGCCGTGATGATGAACGTCCTGCACGCCGAGAAGATGAACGTCTTCCACGTCGGGATGATGACCGTCCTCCACGGCGAGATGACGATCGTCCTCCTCGTCGTGATGATGATCGTCGACGAGATGATGGACCTATTTCTAGAGATTTTCGTGGAAAAGATGATCGTGATTTTCGAAGAGAGGAACGTGGTCCGCGAAGAGATATACCCCGTGAAAACAGAAATGAAAGAGAGAATAGGGGAGGTGCAGTTTCTGGAGCAGATACTGGAAATTGGAGACGATCTGATGATAGGGAAAACAGAGAAAACCGAAGGCCAACGGATAGAGGAGAAAGAGATCGAGGAAACGATCGTCGAGGTGGTCAAAGAGATCAAGCAAGTAAAGACGCAAATGCTAATTGGCGCACTGAAACTCGACAAAGAAACGACAGAGATGACGACAGAAAAGATCGTAACACAGCTAGAGCAGATAAAGGTACTTAAAAACGTTTGATTTCATGAATTCATGTCTCAATTATTTTTTCTTTTGTAGCTGATGATGGTGGAGAATGGACTAATGTAAAACGACGTTAGACTTTTTTATAGTGTTATGTAATAATTTGTTAAAATTCGATATTTTTAATCAAACATTGCAAAATTCTTACTAATAATTATAATAACAATAAAAATTAAAATTTGAGTGAAATTTTGTTTGGACTTAAATTTATTTAAATTTCAAATAAAATTTATTACACTCATTAAAAAGTGTGTTTCCTTTAAATTGAAGGGTGTCTCGCCATTAATACTTTTAGTATTACTTAGATGTAAAATTAAATATTTTAATGAAATATTTATGTATAATAGATATACATTTTAATACATTTTTGATAATTAAAACAAAATAGCCAGATTTCATAAGCTGTTTATGTAGGGCACGAAAGACATCAATATATGTACGTAGATGTTTTTTTAAGCACTAGTAGACTTTTTGGAAGTGGAAGGAGTTTTCCTTTAAAATATTCCAAAATTTGGTGATTCGAAAAAGTATCAACAAATGTACATATTTATGTATTATGTATATATTTAGCAAATATTTTCAATGAACATACTCAATAATTACAATGGTTTATATGTACTTTTTTCGTAAAAAAGATTTTTCTTTGGTTTTGAACATTGGAAGGTTTTGTGGCTTTAATTAATTGAAAATGATCTATTTATTAAGATCTGTGTTAGAACTGAATTTTCGAAAATTTCCTGTTTTTAGTCTAGTCATCTTATAAATAACAAAGTTAAGTCCAGAGATACACCAATAAAATATAACCCTATATAATTGCGGAAATATCTAAAGAGTATCACCGCTAATAAGTCCGGTTTCACTACAAAGTTTCTAGTACATTTACATAAAAATAAGAAAAAAATTTTAAAAAACTTGTAATTTTTTTGTTTTGATATTAATACATATAAATTATGTAGTTTGAGCTTATGATTAGATATACATATTTGTAAAACTCAGTAATACTCCTTAACTTATTTGAAAAAATTTTGTTATTTGCTAAAAAAAATCTTCTGAATTATTAAGTTTTTTTGTAATTGCCTTTTATAACTTTTTTTTCTTTTGGTAATTCTTTAGTACAAATTTAATATCGCTCTCTAAACATGATAGATACGCTTAGTTTTGGTAAATACATTTGAATTCATTATATGGATGCTTTTCACAACACTTTTCCATAAAATTAAAGTCATTTTTATACTTTAAGCGCATATTTTTAATTTTATTAACATATCTCATGCATATTTTAAATGTTAACACCATTTTAACATATAAGATGTCTTACATGAATTGACAAAAACAAAACTATTATAATAAAAATAAGTATTCTTTTTTCCAACTTTTATCAAAAAAATTTTTTTATATTCTAGAATATAATTTTAAATTACATATTTATACATCCATTTAAAATTTTGTATTTTAATTCAAAAGTATGTTAATTTAAATTACATATTCTTAAAGAAGTTTGAAAATTTTTATTTACGTATTCATACATAATTTATTCAACTCCAATCTTAATACATATGTACGCTAATTTTAAATTTCCATAATTTTAATCGCCATGTATAAAAATTATGATTAATTATATAATTTACAGAAAATAATATTTAAAATAATTAAAAAATAGTATTTACAAATTTTTTTTTCATATTATGGTTTCATATTAGCTTAATAACTAGTATGTATCGGTAGCCTTACAAGTCCGTATATGGCTAAATTATTTTTTGTTTTTCTCTAAATCTACAAGCGTAAAAAAATATCAACAATCAAAAATTTTTCATATCAGTATTTTTCGATTTATCAATTATATATGTACTTAGTTACTGTTATATTTTAAAATATGTTTTTGATGTTAAATAAATATCCTACAAATTTCCTCTATAGAAAGTATTGTTAAAAGACAATAAGATAGGGTAGAATTCAAATTTTTTCTAAAATTTTCAGGATAACACATGACTTTTTTGTTATAAAATATGTATGTCAAATATTTTGGGAGGATGATTTTGAGGAGCACAATTTTTGTTGAACTTTTTTTAATAATGACTCAAACGAATCGTCTTCATCATTATTTGACAACAAACTATTCCGGCTACTCGGTATTGAGCCATATGAATACAACTGAAACGTGTTGGTTGCCGCACCATCTATGATTTTGTATCGAATTAAGATATGTATGTTATCATAAAGTGCAAATATTTTACCTAAATCCGCATAAGATTGTCGACAAAATGCTCGTCTGCCACCGAAACTTATGTCATACATGTTTATTTTAACATCCGAAGTACCATTATCTATGGCTTTGAAAGCGTCTTCAGCTTTTTCAAATGTGACAAAGCCATATTTCATTCTATTTTGAGAAAAATATTTATTTTTAAAGAAAAAATACAATTTATTTTTTGGTATTACCCTGTATCTTTGTAGTGTAAAGTTATTTGTTTTATTGGACCATATCCTATGAATTTCTTTTTAAGATCCTCCTTAGTTGTTTCAGTTTCAATTCGCCCGACATATACAATTCTACGCTCTTCAACAGCTGTAATTCAATTGTACAGTATTAACATGTATTAATAATATGCAAATATATTTAATACATATATCATATATGTACATATTACATTACGATAATGTGTTTTTAAATTATATTCATACCTGGAGAATTTTCTGTGTGGCAACCTTTATTTTTAGTTTTCCTGTAATTTTTATGGTTTGATTTTGATCTACGCCCCTTTCTCATATTGCTCCTGTTACTTCTCGATTCTGATCTATCACTGTAGCTGCTTGATCTACTTCTATAACTGCTACTTGTCGACTGATCGCTGGCACTGTAATTTCTAGTTCTGTAAATTTTTGCTCGGATTTTGCGTCTGGAACGATTATGATTCCTATTCAAATCATATAAATCAGACTTAAATTTCGAATCTGGGCAACTATAGTTATAGTTATAATCAGTGGGAGACATTTGACTTAACCCACCACTTGTGGATCTGCTATGTGACCTGTAATTATTTGAACGAATGTTGGTATACTCGGCATCAGTTTCTCTGTCAGAATTTGATGAGAGCGATGAGTATTTAGTTTTACATTTCTTTTTTCGATTCCTATTTTGTGTCTTTACAGTTTTTGGAATCATTAATTCTAATGATGGAAATTCAGGTAAAAGTTCCGTTTGGGTGGCCACATTTTCCATTTTGTTTCTTATACGATTTTTCGGTAAATGCATAATTATCTTATCTTCGCCATGTTCTTCTGTAGGGTTTTTATCTTGATCTAAATTATTTTTGTTTTGCTGCCGTAAATCAAAGAAAGTTTTATTAATTTTTTCAATATATTTAACTCATATAACTTACCGTTTCTAATTGGCTCCCATAATTTATTATTTTAATCCCATTTTTTTCATTATCCTCTACAGTTTTTTGCAAAACTACGTTTTTTATGCTTGTTATTAAGGAATTATTTGAAATTTTTAAATTTTCCTTATGCCTCACCTTTTCTATTGTATTGCTAATATTATACAGTAATGAATTTGAAGTATTATTATGGACAGAAATTTTATCAAATTTCGGCGGGATTTTAATATCTGTATTACAACTCACTGAAACGATTATAATTTCCTCATATTCAATTTGAACTTTAGAATTACCGGGTGTAAGTTTTTCTTTATTAATTTTTTTAAAATTCGGTTTAATTATTTCTTCAAGTGGCAATATTTTTGTTACCGGCCCCACTTTAGAAGAAACAGTTATATCAATCAAACGCTTTTGTGCTGCACGTCTTTTCATTTCCTGCATTCTCAGCACTTTGTTTTTAGCCTCAGTTATAGGATCTAAATTTGTAGAATTTTTTTTAAATATTTCCTTAGGAATAAGCAATGAGTTTGAGTTTGATAAATTTCTAAAAGAAAAATGTTCTTTTTCTTTTGGAGGCTCCTTAATATTAGGTGCTGGTGCAGTTTTACTTTTAAATAGAGTAGCTGAATTTGTCATAGATACTTTTTTGAATATGTCTTTTTGATCACTTTGTCGCATTCTATAATATTCTTCCAAGTTCAGTTTCTTTTTTGCTGGAGCTCCTAGTTTTGCATTTAAAAGCAGCTTTCCATCAGTTTCTCCATCTTTCTGACTTTCAATGTCAAGTGAATTTTTTTCATGTTTTTCTGAACATTCAAGTAGTTCTGAAGGGTTTGGCGTAATTGGTAAATCATTGATTTCTCCGCATTTGCGAACCAAATCATGAGAATGCTGCTTAAATTTTGCTGTGTTTTTTGCATCACTTTTTAGTATTTTAATGTTTTTTTTTCTAAACAAATTATTAGTTGTTTTAATATCTTTCATTAGATTTTTATTAATATTGTTCTCTTTATTTTTATTATTTGCCTTTTCATTCGGTTTTTCTGTACAATTTTTATTTTTTTTTTCATAACTTGGATCCCATGAAGGATCACCTTTAATATCATCCTCTTCAAATATAAGATTTATATGTGAGGTTCTTTTATGTTTATCCGAGTCATTTTTTGTTAATGATGTTTTATTTTTTGAAGTTGCAGTTTCCTTAGTTCGATCGTCAATCGTTTCTATATCAATCATTTCTTCGGATTCATAACCATAGCTACAACATAAAGATTTATCATTCGAGAATGAAGAATTTTCTGAAAGTTTTGTTTGAATAAAATTGTCTTCTGTAATAAAAGTAGCTAGATCAAAAGTTTCTGTATCTATTTCTATAGATTGATTTGAATTATTTGTGGCTACCATAATACTGCTTCCAACAAAGTCAATATGACTTATTGCTGTATCATTCCTACAACTTGAATCATTTCCTACATTTTGCACACTTTTTTTATTTTCGTTCTCAACATATATAGGCTGATGAATTAAATTAAAATCATACTTGTTTGAATGTTCAACTTCGCTTTCGTCACTTGTGTGACTCTCATAATCTCCTATTGAAGAACTTTCAGTTCTACTTCTAAATGATATTTGACTTTTATTTTCATTATCAGTATCAATTTCACGGTAATTGTTATTTTCTTGCTCATCTTTTTCATATTCACTACTATCAAATTCTGCATCATCAAAATCTGCATTCGGATCAACCGCAATAATTTCAATATTTGAATCAATTTCTGAGAAACTGAAATTCTATAAGTAAAATTCACTTTATTTCTGCATATAAATTAAAGTATTCTGTTCGATAAAGATTATTTCTTTTGGTACAAACCTGGCTTTTTTGATTTTTGATATTTGTGTCATTTACTTCCGCGATACTATTGGAATAATTATAATCCTGTAAATCACCGTCAAAGCATGTAATTTTTTCGTCTACCGGAGATATAGGCAAAATCCCATTTAAATTGTTCGAAAGTTGAGTCTCGAAATTTTCGCTAAAAATGGGAAAGATATTCTGAAATTCAGGTTTTCATGAACCAAAAGATGTTAATTTCAAACCAGTTAATTATGTTCCAGTAATTTTCATCAAATTTACTTCCACTACAGTCAAACTGATCATCACGAAAAACGCTTAATAACTCAGAATCCATTATACAACTAAGTAAAAAAACAAGTTTGCTGTTTTAAAATAGTTACAAAACATATAATTTTTTATAATTCTTGATTTGTCAATTTTTTTTTAAGTGTAAATTTTTCATTCATTTTGATGTGTTAGCTATCAGAATTCGTGGAATATGCATGCAACCACGTTTTATTAATCATTCGTCTTTTTGTATTCCACTTAATTTCGAAGAATGCAAAGTAATATATTTTAAATGTGCTTACTTATAAAATATTTCACGTCCTCAGAATTTTTCAAGCTAAAATATACATTTTTATACTATTTGTAAGTAAAACCAGACGACAACGTGTACATTTCTTACCTTTTAAAAAACAGAATGATTTGAAAGTAATACAACGCTATAAATTAACATGCTCTAAAAGCATTCTTATTGAAGATAGTTCTGTTTTATTTTTAATAATTTTGACTTGGAAATTATGTATTTAAATTTAACAAGTTAAAAAGTTTTTCTTTATTTCACTTTTAAGAGAACACATGGTTTAGGTTTTTTATTACACCGAACCGGACGAATTTTGACACATATCTCATATACACAATAAAATCATCAAAAGGAGCAAGCAAATACAAATAAGATTTAAGCAATCGATTATGTAAATTCGATTATTTTCGCGATAATTTTTTAGGCGAAGTGCCTAAACTAAAATAAAGTATTGACACCATATAACAATTAAAAATTAATTACAATATGAAAGTATTTATGTATGTATATTGCATATAATTGAAAATAATGTCACCTATAAGTAAAAGTTTTATGAATAGTATATACATAATTCTGAAATCGGTTCGAAGCCATGAATCTTTGAGATGAAATTCAAAAATTGGTAAAATTCAACGAATAAGAAATACTAAAGGAAGCAGCATCTTTGTCATCTCGCTTAGTGTAAGCAACATCTCGCTTACACCCCTAAAAAATCGTATCTTAAAAAAACACAGGTAAGCCTCCAAAATCTTGAAACCAAAAATTTCAGGTAAGCCTCCTTCTTTGCTCCGAGTTTTGTCAAACTAAAATTAACATCAAATGCCAAATGTTGTTTTTTTTTTCTTAGAAAGTTACGCGCCGCTATATAAATAGTTAACAAAGAAGAGTTTGTTATTTTGTTTATAAAAATAGTGCAGTTTGTAAATAAGAACTTATAAAATATTTAATAATAAGTGTTAAAAAAAGAATACTCTTTTATAAAAACTTATAAAAAAAATATAACAAGTGAAAAAAAGAAAAAAATCTGTTGAAAAAGAAAAAGCTGTATAGTTCTAAATTGTTATTCCCATTTCTAAAAACAAATAGTTTTATTATACCATATACATGTGTATATTATTCAATTCAATAATTAAAACAAATGTTTATTCAATAGTGCTTTGACTAATTCATACTTTGTAATTTTATTATGCTTTTAATTTTGCAAAGAAAGTATCTGTTTTTGTTTTGTTTAAAATTAAAATTACTTGGAATGACATAATTATACCAGGATCGAATTTTTTTTCTATGCAAAATTAGTTTGTGTTTAGAAAATATAGCATACGTACAATATTTTAATTTGGTCCGTTTTTATATGATTTCAGTTTTCTTAGAAATAATGAAATGAAAAGAAAGTGGATTGCAATTATTAATAAAGAAGTTTGCATTTCAAATATTTTACCACATTTTATAAATTTATAACTCATAAAATAAATTTATTCAAAATGAAAAAAAAATTAGTTTTGTTTAAATTTGATTTTTTTTTTTACAGATATTTAAAATGAAAAATTATTTTGAAATATTTTTTAGTTTTAAAAAAAATGTTACGGTATCCTTCTTGCAAATCACACATATTTTATAGTAGAGGCTTGATAAGAAAATAAAATAAATACGCTCTTGATACGACTTTGACAATGCTCGGAGCAAAGAGAAAAAGTACTAGAAAAAATTTAGCTTCACTGTTTTTCAAGATGCTTTTTCCTTTAGTATTTCTAATTCGTTGGTAAAATTCTTGTTCATGTACTAAAATTTTACCATTTATATTCTAAACATATTTGTGTACAAATATAAGGTGCTTTTCCACATTAGATTAAAATCTCAGTTACTCTTCACATATACAACAAAATCTACGATTTAATATGAGTCTGATGAAAGTCGTGTATATAGCCTTGTTTGACGCTAACAATATAAATTACTATATTTTCATCAAATTTGTTGTCAACTTTATTAAAAGTAAAATGTCGAAGATCAAAATTTTACGAAAGTTTTAATCTAACCAAAAAGAAAGCAGTGATCAGCTGCATAGAATACAAATATTATAGAATACAAATATTTAACACATTGTTGTCAAAAGTTTGACATTAAGGTATAAAATGAATCTGATGTGTAAATGCTCATCACATTTTATGTTAGATTAAATAGTAGATTTAGTTTGATTTTTAGATTGGTGTATAAGACTAAAGTGCTCAACTAATTAACTAAAAGTGTTTAAGTAAATCTAATGTCAATGTTTATTCAGGTATCCGGAGATTGGGGAGGTGTCTCTACAACTTTCGAAAATTATAAAGTAACCCTTTTTTATAAGCAGTGTGCTTGGAATCATTATCTAAATAAAATTTGCAACTTTCTTTGAGCGCTCAGCACTTTCTTTTAAATTTATTTTAAAGATGTCAATATATTTATCTTGGTTCATAATACCTTTCTATTATAGCCAATTTTCCTATTCCAGGTGTTGGAAATACCCCCACACCATCACTGAACGTCCACCATGTTTTACAGTTGGTTATAAATTTGTAGGCAAAGTTCTGAATTAGGTTTTCTCCAAACAATTTGTCTGCTATTAGAACCAAAAACATTAAATTTACTTTCGTTGGTAAAAATTACGTGCTTTTAAAACTCAAAATCTTGTTTTTTTGTGCTGGCTTGCAAATTCTAAGCGATTCATTCTGTTTTTCTTATTATGAAAAGGTTTTAACTTGCAATTGTAACCATGATTTCTAGTAGTCCATCGAATTGTTTCTTACCTTACATTTTGAAAGTTAAGTCTTTACTATTTCTACTAGCCTGTTTTTAGGTTATTTTTAATTTCTCTGATGTGTTTATAACGGTTGCTTAATAGCTTTCATTTTAAATTTCGTGGCTTATTCTGTATTCTATTTCCATCGGTATAACGTTTTACATTATACATAGTTGTAGAATGACTACTATCCACTAAAGTGCTATTCTCTAAAAGCGATTTGCCATTTTTATAATAGGCTACGATCAATTACCGTAGCTCTGTTAAAGTTTCTTTCGATTTTCTGCCCATAGTTTAATAAACGCAATAAAAATTATGTATTCAAACACTTTTAATTACTGATCGAAACTAAGAAAAATTATAAACAATTATCAAAACTTGCATAATCTATTTCCAAGAATTTTGGTGCCTTTATATAACTGTACGAATATGACTGTGAGCATTTTTTTACTTTTCTTGAATAATTTTTTTTTTTGTTTTGATTTAATTTTAATGATAAATAACCAATTTTGTAAAAAAATTAAAAATTTACGTCGTAGGGATACGTCAAAAAATTAAGAAAAATTTGTACGAATTCATTTGCAAAAAAATTTCTAATTGTATATTTTGCTTCGTTGTACGAATACGAGTGGGAGCCACTGTATATTTATTTTATAAGCAATTCAACACTGTGTTTAATTCAGACTAATGCAATCACTTGCCAATATTTGTATACAAAAAATTACCTTAGCTATAAGAGTTAAGTAGTATATACCTTCTTATTTCCATTTATATACACATTGGAATTTTTAGATGTATTTTTAAAGGTTAAATTATTATTTTCGTATATAAAGTACAAGAGAAATTATTTAGCATTTCAAAGGCGCACAAGAGCATAAGTAATTTATTTAGGTAAAAGTTGCAAAAGAAGTGTTATGAAAAAAAATCACGTTAAAATAAAATTGAGTGTTGAAATAAAAAAAAATAATTATAATTTCAAAAAAACAATAAAAGTAAATTGTAAAAACAGAAACAACATTAAAAATAATTTTAAATTTGTAAGTAAAATTTGTCAATAGATAGTTGAAAAAGATTTGCTTATTGAAACTTTAATCTTTTCTTTATAAATTTAAAACACATATTTCCTATTTACATACATACACACACGTATTGGTAATAAAAGCTTTAAAATTATTCAAGCGCTTCAAGCAATTTTTTTCTGAATGCTTATTTCTTTAATCACTTGACTTAAGCGATTTAAAAATTTTAAAGCAAAAGTGATTTAAAAATTGACTTAAGCGATTTAAAAATTTTGAAGCAAAAAAAGTATGCTTCTTTATGCAGTGGTTTAATTTTGACATTTCCACGTCATATATGTATATATAATTTGTATTATTACAAAACATAAGTACCTTTTATTACTTACTATCTTCATTCTCCATTCTGTTTGTCTTTTTTAAAATTTAAAAATAAGGAAATATAAAATTGACAGCATTTAAGTATACCAAATGTCATACTTTTTCAAAACAAAAATAAAGTGTTGCAAACCGTTCAAAGGAGCTCTGCAGTGATAATCAACTAAACGCTGTAATTCATAAAAGCGCTTAAGTTGGCTGAACATACCCATTTTACCTTTATATACCTTCGGAGTATTTCTATTTATATAAACGTACTCCAATACATTATTATATTTTATTAAAATATTCGTACAATTAAAACTTTAAAAAATACACCAAATCTTACCAATTTATTAAGTTCATTATTTGTTATAAATAAACTAGTATTATTTTTTTAAAATCCACCCTTGTTTTATACTAAATATTACGAACAAAAGACAAAATATGATTAATATAAATTATAAATCTTCATTTTATTTAATAATACAAATAATTAATATAATTATTTACTAAATTAAAATTAAATTTTAAACCACAAATAAATTATTTTGCCGCTTAGCGATGTAACCTTCCCGTACGAAATTTATATGTGGACTAAAGAAAATTTGTTTACGAAATACTATAGTCTCCTTATTTGTAATATAAAAACTTATCCTATACACACAAATGCAAAAATATTAAGTTGGCTTGTACATTATAGGAGTTTGTGGCTAAACAAACAGAAGTAAAAAACTAATTGTTAAAAAATGAGAAAAGAGAGAGAGAGAGCGAAATAACAAAATAAACACATAATGACATAAGACTAAAAATATATTTATGCTCTGCCAATGTGAGAATTGATTTTTGTACTCATACGAACGTATGTTAGTAGGTAATGTCTTTATATCTAACACGTCCCAATGCTCAGAGAGAAACTTGAAACCACGACCTTATTTTATATGGGTTTTTTTAAATCGAAGTGGCTATTTGTTGAGAAGAAATATTAAAATAAATTCACACTTATTATAAAGCAGGTAAAATTTAGAAAATATATTTGAAAAATCAAAAAAATATATTAATATTTTCATTGATAATTATTTTAAAATTTAAAAAAAGCGGAAAAACAACCAGCACAACCTTCGCCTTCAACGTTTTATATGTTACTGAAAGCATTTCATTATTTTTAAGTGAACAGCTTTTTTCTCTTATAGGGTAAGCTAACTCAAGATATGGGAAGTAACTGTGGTGTCAAGTTGAAAATATAATTAATGAAAGATAATTATTAAATATTGATATGAATACATAGTAAAGAAAAAATTTGAAAAGGTAATTAGAAAATAATATCTAAAATGCAATCAAATATTATTTTTTAAATACAAATTTTATATAAACTTCAAAATTTTATCTCTATTTTTATTTGAAAAAAATATTAAAAACTTACTATCATTTATATCAATTACCTAAGAAAAAAAATATTTAAAATGTTTGGAAAAAACAATCATATATTTTTATGACCGGATTTGAATATTTTTCTATTTTTGAAATAAATGGTATTTTACCAAATGACTCAAAAATTCCGACTGTAAAATAACAGGTTTTTTAAATTTTTTGTTCTTTATGTAATATTCTTTCCGTTTAGAATTAAGATAGGTCATACATACAAATCCCGGGACATTTTATAAATAGATTGCTCTTTTTTACCTGCTAATAAAATATGAAAAAAAAAGAACACAGCAAAATTTTTGAAGCACTCAATATAACATGTTTGAAATAGTTTTAAAATAATTATTTGAAAAAAATTTATTGGAAGTAGGTACATACATATTTATTTTTAATAACTTAAAAATTAACTGAAATTATTTGAAACAATTTTATAAGTAACGTATAAATAACCGAAATGAGATAATTCAAATTGTTGAAATGTGTCAACCTATATTACTTTTAAAAACATTTTTGGTAGCCGACACTACTCAACTTACCTTATTGGGAAATACAAAATGTGCATGAAAAATCATACATCCTTCCTGATTAACATTTGAAACCAACATTTATTACTCTATTATTTACATATTAACATTTTAAGCTCTTTTTTACGTAAAAAAAAGGAAAAAATAATAAAAAATATGACACGATCAGTGGCATTTAAAGAAAAAACCAGCAACGAAGCCAAAAATTCGTAATATTTCGTAAAAAAAATTGAGTATTGGGACTTGTTAGATATAAAGACATTATAGTAGGATATACTAAATTTGCCTTACCGTTTGTAACGCTAGGAAATAATGCTCTGAGATATAGACTCAATAATACGTTTTTGATCAGCGTCGAATTCTGAGTCGATTTAGCTTTCTCTATCCGTCCGTCCGTCCGTCCGTGCCAGCGATAACTCAAAAACTAATTAAGCTAAGTTCACCAAATTTTCACAAATAATTTATTGTGTGAAGTGCCAGAACCCTATTTAAATTGGACATGATCGGGATACTGGTTCGAGTAGCCGCCATACAAAATTTATTTGGCTATATCTCCGAAACTATAAAAGCTGTGGTATTGGAATTTCGTGCAAGTAAATATATTAGTAGGGCCAATGTGTCTGATAATCATTGAAATTGCTTGGTTCCTTTTAAGTTATTGAAACTATAATATAGAAATCTCGTGAAAACAAGTGTATTATTAGGGCTGTTATGTGTAATAAAAATCATTGAAATTTCTTGACTCGTTTCACATAGAAAATATTCAAAAAACACAGTACTGAAATTTTGCATAAATGAATATGGTAATATGACAAGTTAAAATCATAGTCTGTCCTATTGTCAGTTATGGCATATTTATTCGCACAGAGGATAAAAAATTCGTATGGGTATCACAGAGTTGACGTTCAACTCTATTTTTTCTCGTTTAAGCAAAAATTTATTTTGTGGGAACATCATTGTTTTTAAAATGCAATGTCCTGAAAATTTTCTAATAGGAGTAATTGTCGAAAATCATTTAACCGTAAAGCTTTTTTATTTTACTTTACTATAATAAAGTAAAATTTTTAAATAAGTTAAATTTTATTCTACATTTTTTTTAAAATCAATTTTTTCACATGGATATTGATATTTTTACATTTAAAGTGTTAAGTTGTGTACAGAAAATTTAATATTTATTTCATTTTCTATATACTTAACATTTGATTTTATCGTTATGCTTTTAGGTAGGTACTAAAGCTTTTTGCAAATTACAAGTTTATAACTTGTAACTTGTTATGTTAATTCTTTTTCTTTATTTACTTTTGTAAACTCATGTACATAATTGTTTTACTCATGCACATAAATTTTAAATACTTTGTTAAATTTTTATAATATTGAATTTATCTTCAGAGATAAATGATTTTAAATGGATAGTCTTGTCAGGAAACTATGATAGAATTAGTCCTGCAATGCTCAAAATTCCATATTTCGAGAAGAAAATCAGCTTTGATAAAGTGCGTATGTAGCGCACGAAATATATTAGCGAAAAATAAAAGTATTTTATTCCGAATAAAAGGAAGTTTTCTTTTCACACCAATTAAAAAAAATTATATTTCGGAAAAATTATCAACCATTGAAAAAAAAATTTTTTTGCATATTTCGTTATTAAAATGCATGTGAAAAGAATTAGTGATAAAGAAAATATTACCCTTTTTAAAGAACGTATTGCTAAGAAGTACTTTAACTGCAATTATCAAACTTTGTGTAATAAGGAAATTAAGCAAATGATATTAAATTACTTATGTTGTTCTTTCTACCCAATGTGTAACTGCAGCTGATTTGTTATACAAGTTAGTAGCTGATTTGTTATACAAGATACATAGATATAAGAATTGATATAAATATAAAATAAAATTTGTCTAATACCCCACATTTACTATTTACTATTTATATATAAATTGTATTAAGATACAGCTATGCAACACTAGTGAATTTCTCACTACTGCATAGTTTATATTTTTGTTTTCTATTTTATTTTAATTTTCATTCAGATTTTAATATTTTTTTGTAACAATATAATATTGTGTAATTTTAAATTTTGTATTAAATTTTGAAATAATTATAAGTTAATAATAAATTGTTATATTATACATATATTATAGCATACTTTTATTAGACCTTAAATATTATAATCTTGAATACATATTGTAAATTTGAATAAAATAAAAAATAAATAAAATAAAATAAAAAAAAATAATAAAATTATGGGTACTTGAAAAAAGTAGCATAAACTAGAACGAGGTGAAGAGTTTAGATTTCAAGTGGATTCTGTGTATGTAAACGATAAAGGGATAAATCTAGAATATATGACTTAATCTGAGTTTTAAAAAAGTCATATACATATTCGAATATTGTTTGATAGCAGACTTTATCGGACGGTAAATAATAGAAATTACGTACTCTATTTTCACCAGATTTATTTCATCTGATGATAATCTCACTGCCGTAAATTTAAGTTTATAACAATCTAGAGGTTCTCAGAATGAAAATCTTTCATACATGAATGAAATCTGATATGTAACTTTTAAAAGACTAGCGCAGAATTCATTTGTTTATTTTTTTTTGTTTGCGTGGAGTGTTAATCATACTCCGCCAATCATATCTGTATGTTTTTTAAACTGATAAGTTTAAGGTGAACACACCTTATGTATTTATTTTGGTATTAATAGGGAATAAAATCGATTAAGTTAAATATTAGTGGTATTAATAAAACGTCAATATATGTTATTGTTTTTACATCTCTATTAATTTTGGTTAGTTTAGTTTGTCGTCTATTTTGTCAATGTAAAAAAATAAAGTGCTGTCCTTAAATTAAATTTTTTGTAAATCAAGGTGAAATTAAGATGTGAAATTATTTTTGTGTTATTGCTTATTAATTTCTTAATATGTTTGAACTGAAATATACTAAGAAAATTTAAGAAAGACAACTTAAAACTAAAATTAAATTTTGTGAATTTGTCAGTAATTGTTTCTCCATTTGACATTTCGGAAAATTAATCAGCATAAAGCTTAAGCGAGCGTAAAATTTTATTTTTATTTACAAAATTTGAAAGCATCGCCCACGTGTGATGTCGAACATAAACAAACACTTGTTTTGAAATAAATGTATATTAATTTGTTTCTTTACAAACAAAAACAGCTGATTTCGTTTATATTTTTCTTAGGTATACAAAACAATAATGTTAAGTGTACCCATAGAGGAATTTCCGGGTAAGTTTTTCATTTGGAATATTCTTTGTTTTTTTTCCGCTGTGTTTGTTTTGAATTTTTAAAAAAAGGGTTCTATTTCTGTTATAGATAATATGTATTTTCGTTATAAATACTGTACAAACTTGTGCTTAGACTAAATCATAAAGTAATGATTCATAAATATTTCTAAAAATCATTAATTATAATGAGAATGTACCTACCAATTTATTTTTCAACTATCCACTGTGCATTTGTTTTTGTTTTATTACGTATAAATTTTACTATTTTATAGAATTTTTAAAATTATTTTAAATGTTATTAAGTAGGTTTGTAACCACAGAAATAATATTGATAATCTTACATAACTTTTTATACATCTAGCAGTTACCTTTTTAATTTTTTAAATTAAAATTGTCTCTAAGCAATTTAAATAAAATCAAGTTGGTATATTTAAGATATATTTATTAATACTTCAAAATAAAAATAGGGTTTCACTTATAGATTACTCATAATCTTTAATCGGGTGACAAATATTTCTCATTGTTGTTATCCGCTCACGAAAATAGGGTTATTTACAGATTCCATGTTGGAAAGTTTATATATTTTACATTTCATTTAAAAATTTTACAAGAATTATGTTCAAAATTTTTAAATATATACATACATATCTTATATTGAGGTTGGTACCTACATACTTATATTCTATGAAATTAGTTTAATAGCTATTTTTTAATTTTTCTTTTTGTAGATGGACACGGAGTTCGACAAACTGATAGTATGTCGAATATAAGTGATATATCCGCACAGACAGTTCAGACAAATCGCCCAAAAATGGATGTGGCTTGTGTTATGGATATAACGCAATCAGAAAACTTGAATGAACGGAAATCTGCGTTAGAAGACATTAAACAGGCTTGTTTTTCTGTTAACGCAAATTTTCAATATGTCCAGGTAATTATGTAATTTTTGTAATATTTTCGAAAAATAATTTATATTTGTATATTCTTAGTTTGACAAGTTAGATTTTGGAGAAACAAATGTCTTAGAAACTTTCTATAATGCAGATGTCGTGATAATTGATTTAAGTGTTTTGGTTCAACAAAGTTCCTTGTTTTATCATTTGGGAGTGCGTGAAAGTTTTGGTATGAAAGAAAACATCTTACTATATAATGATAATGATACTCAGCATACTTTGCGACTCAAAGTAAATTTTTTTCCGATTGTTTTACAAATTCGAAATTTATTTCGCGTTTTTTTTTGTAGATATCTTGTGAAAATTATACATTTTTACCGTATAAAAGGCAAGAATGTGGGACAGTAATGATTACAACTAAAGAACAAACAGAAGCTAAAACAACATCACTCATCCATAAAATAAAGAAACTTCTTCAGGATGTTGAAATAACCTCGAAGTATAAATTGGTTTCTAATTTTGTTCGAATATAAATGTTTTCCAATTTTAGAGCTCACATGCGCGAAAAATTCTTACAAGATTTGCGTGCAGCTAGAGAAGAACATGCTGGTAATTCAGAAGAATTATCGAGAATATTACAAAAACTTAGAAAACGTCTTGATGATCCTCATGTGCTTTCTGGAGAAGTAGTTCACAGTTATATGTGCTCCCTGAGAGATGTTCAAGATTATGACTCTATGGTACATTTAGTTAATGAACTAAAAACTATACCGCATAAACGAAAATATGTGGAAACAGGAAATATGTGTTTTTTGTATGCGTTTGCTTTAAATAGAAGAAATAATGAAGGAGATCGACAAAAAGCACTTGAATCTTGTACAAAAGCTTTAGAAAAAAAAGAAAATCGTTTTCCAGATATGCTGTGCCTTTGTGGTCGAATTTATAAAGATCTGTTTGCAGAATCTGATTACACCGATAAGAATTGCCTTGATAGTGCCATAAAATGGTATAGAAAAAGTTTTGAGGTTCAACCGAACGAATACGCTGGTGTTAATTTGGCAACACTGTTAGTTATTGACGGTAAAAGTTTTTCTGATACAGCAGAGCTTCAACATATAGCAATGGTTTTAAATAATCTTATTGGGAAAAAAGGAAGTTTGTCATCATTAACGGAATATTGGGATGTTGCAACTTTTTTTGAAATTTCTGTTTTAGCTGAAGATTACTCGAAGGCCATTCAAGCTGCAGAGTGCATGTTTAAGTTAAAACCACCGAATTGGTATTTAAAATCTACTGTTGGTAATATTACTTTGATTGAAAGATTTAGAAAACGTTCTGAAGATCAAATTCAAACCCCTGAGGAGCAAATATTTCAGTTTTGGATGGATTTTTTTTTGGAAGCCATTGACGATACTGATGCGTACAGTATACGTTATCCTATATTGGTAAATATTTTTATGCCTTGTAGTTCTTACAAACAGATATATTGGTAAATTTCAAATTTGTAGATATATGAACCACAAAAAATATATATGCCTAGTTACGTTAACGTAAATATAGATGCAGACGAAAAAAGTATTCAAATTATTAATATGTGTGCTCAACATTCAAAAGGAGTTTGCAAAAAAGTTCATGACTTTTTATTTATGGCTGATCAAATTAAATCCGTCAGTTTATACAAACGTGATGAAAGATGCGCTTATCTTTACGTTCACCATAATTCTGATGATTTTCAAATGTACTTTCCGTCTGTTCAATGTCGCCAACGATTCTATGATCTTATTTTGAAAATGACAGCTGACCAAAAAGTTTTTGTTGATTTGTCAATAGATGAAACTCAAATACAATATGAGTATGATTTCGATGATCAAAATAGAAAAGTCATATTAGGGAAAGGGTCATATGGGGTTGTATATGCTGCCAGAGATTTAAATACACAGGTACGAATCGCAATAAAAGAAGTGCCAGAAAAGATTACGCATGATGTCCAACCTTTACATGAAGAAATCAAATTACACTCTCAATTACGGCATAGAAATATAGTTCAGGTTTTAAAGTGTTTAAATTTTATAAGAATTTGAAAAACAATTTTCAATATTTCTTTTAGTATCTCGGATCTGTTTCTGAAGATGGATTCTTTAAAATTTTCATGGAGCAAGTACCTGGAGGCTCTTTATCAGCCTTATTAAGAGAAAAATGGGGACCATTAAAGGATAATGAGTCAACTATTGTGTTTTATTCTAGACAAATTCTAGAAGGATTGAAATATTTGCACGACCAAAAGATAGTACACCGCGATATAAAAGGGGATAACGTTCTTGTTAACACTTATAGTGGCGTCGTGAAAATATCTGATTTCGGAACTTCCAAGCGATTAGCTGGTATAAATCCAATTACAGAAACTTTTACAGGCACGCTTCAATATATGGCACCAGAAGTTATAGATCAAGGTGTAAGAGGTTATGGTCCTGCCGCCGATGTTTGGTCCTTTGGGTGAAAAAATAACTTAATCTTAAGTTTGAATTTTATGAATTAATTTCCATTTTTTCCTGTAGCTGTACTAATGTTGAAATGGCTACCGGAAATCCTCCATTTATAGAACTAGGTTCTGCTCAAGCAGCTATGTTTAAAGTTGGTTATTATAAAAAGCATCCGGAGATTCCTTTTGAACTCTCTCCTTTAGCAAGAAATTTCATATTAAGATGTTTTGAAGTGGACGTCAACAAAAGGGCTACGGCAAGTCAACTTCTAGAAGATCATTTTTTGTCAGAGTAACTAAAAATTGAATTTGTCAATATTACATAAATTATTTTAATTTTTGTTGCAGTAGACACAGAAAAGCTCGCCCATCAGTTGCTGGAAGTAATCCAGAATTATCAAGAAGTACTTCTGTACCAATGGATCGTTTAATACATAAGAATATCAGTTCCGCAATGTCGTCAACGAACATTTCATCACCTTCAACACCAGATGTGGAGTAAGTAATTAATAAAATTAAGCAATTTTTGGATTCTGAGAATTTTTGTTTTATTCGTACTTGTTTTTTAAATGCTTTATTAATTTTTGTAAAGTGAAAATGTTTGTATGCAAATCTTGTTTCGTAGCATAACATTTATGTCATCTTCAACAAATTCATCCCTATTTAATAAAACTAAAACCAGAGGATATAGCACGGGGCTACCACCAATCCAAATACCAAAGTTGGCTTCTAATACAAGGTAAAATAATAAACATATTAAAAATGGTTTAATACATTTCGTTTGCTGCTTTGTTTAAATTTTAAAAGAAAGATATTTGAAAAGAATTGTTTTCCCGAAAATATTTCCGTTTTTACAATTTATATCTAAATCGGTGTCAACTTAAGCAATTTAAATTAGCATTCTATTTTGTAAAATGTTGACATTGATTAGGCGACTTAGTTAAAAGTGCTAACAATGCATAATTATTGCTGCAGATAAAATGAAATAGGTTTTTACAAAAATTTACAAATTTTTTCGCAAGTTCAGTTAGTGTTTATAGTATTTACAGAAGTATATGTATATGTCAAATGAAATATAATTATACGTACTTATGTCTATATAGAAATTACTTACTATTTTTCTTATATTTTTTATTGTGTAATGTTTAAAACAATATTTTCAATTAGTTTCTTAGTTATTATCATAAGATATATAAATATTTTTTCTTATGTTACAAGCTTTTATTTTATAGTGGTGACTAACATTTATTTTCGTATTGTATGCTTTTTATCATGTAATATTAAAATGCATTTGAAGACAAATATAAGTCTCCAGTAAGGCATATGTAAATGCATAATTAAAAGTGTAAATGAAAAATAAATTGAGTTTCAAGCCAAACCAATAACCTATTATACAAAGTATTTCACTAAGAATTAACTTTATTATGTATATTTGTGTAAGGTCTTGATGGTTTCATAAATTTTTATGTTTTATTATAAAGTAAAAATGCTTTGAGGGTTTTTTAAATAAATTTATTTTAAATTATCTTCATATGAAAAAGTTATTTTCAACAATAAACAGTCAGCATAATTTTATTTTTTTATTATTTCTAGTCTGATAAATACCCCAAGTATAGAAGCTGAGTCAGAAACAACCGCAAGTTATACAAGGCGAAACTCTTCTGGAGTAATGTTGTCACCTGAAGTTGAATTAACTGGAACGTCTTCCTCAAAATCTAATTTAACTGATACCAGTGAAAGTGATGGGTTTTATTTACTCAAAAAGGATTCCCAAAGACGTACTACTCTATCTAAAGTGTTAGCTTTAGATGAAATAAAAATTTGTGATGTTTGGATGGAAAAGATTGAAAATAATCATAATCCAGTTGTGATTTCAAAGGAACATTTGGAAATTATAGTACGTGCATTACGGGAATACATAATTGAACAAAATGAAAGATTATTAGAAGCAGCCATGAGCGATTTAAAAAAAAATTTAGATTTCGATTCTACTGCTATTGATCATGTTCATCTGGCGCTTTATTCATTTCAAGATGCAGTTGTTACCGTTTTAAGATCACATAGTATCAAACCACATTGGATGTTTGCATTAGATAATTTGGTAAAAAGTGCTGTACAAGCTGGTATAAATGTTTTATCACCGGAATTAGGAGCAAATCTTGCCGGTGAAGAAATTATAGGTTCAGCTGAAGATGACGAAAATGAAGAAATGTCAACATCTGGCGTTAGTACTGTAAACTCAAAAAGACTGCAACCGAAACTAATGGAGGCAAAAAAATATTTAGTAACAGAGGAATTAAGTCACCTAAGATTAGAAAACGCTCGATTATTACAGGATTTAATACAATGTCAAAAGACTTATCAAAATTTATTAAAATCAACAATTGAAGAGCAAAATTTAAATTTACTTGTGCTGAAAAATTTTACGCAGCAAATGTCGTATTTATCTGATTCAAAGAATCGGAATTCATCTATAGGGTAAAATTATTATTAACATTTTTTTGAAACTTGAAATTTATTTCAAATATTTTTTTTAAAGGTATCATAGTCAAGAGTCTAACGATTTATTAAAAGCACCGGAAAATGCTAATAATGTTTCAACTAGTCCCGGTGAAATATCTGCTACATCTTCGACAGCCTCATATAATGAAGTTGATGGACGTATAGCGACTTCAAATAATTTAAATTTTACTAATACAGCACAAAATCCTCAACATTTATGTATAAAGCCTTGTGTAAATCAGTCTGAATTATTTAAAAATGACCAAGAATTAATTGAATGGCTAAAGAGACATTATTTTAATACGTATGTTATTAATAAAATTCTTCAAGCAGATTTTACATACGAAAATTTTATATGGTACACTGAGAGGGATGATTTAAAGAGATTTGGATTAAGGTAAGTGCATTTGTTAATACTGAATGAACTTTATTGAAAATGAAATACTACGTTCACCACACTTTAAACGTCCTAAAGTAAAAATTGATGAAAATGATATATACCTTAATTATGACGACTCCACATTAAACTAATAAGATACTATCAACATTGTATTTATTAATTTGTAGCAATACTATAATACTTTCTGAGAATTATATAATGCCGTAACAATTGTGTGCATTTACGCATTTACAGTTATACTTGGAAGACTAATTATTATAATCCTATAAGACTTGCAATTAGCTAATTCTAAATTTTGCTACAGATTTAGTATTTTAAGTTGCCTAGACAGATATATTTTACTTCAACGTATTCATCAATTCCATGATGTGATCCTTCCCTTCCAATACCAGATTCTTTTACTCCGCCAAAAGGAGCTTCTGCTGTTGAAATTAGTCCTTCATTAATTCCAACCATACCGACTTGAAGTGCTTTGGCGACTCTAAAAATTTGAGATAAATCTTGGCTATAGAAATACCCGGCTAACCCTCGTCGTGTATCATTGGCTTTTATTACAGCTTCCTCTTCCGTTTTAAATTTGATGACAGAAATGACTGGGCCGAAAACTTCATCTGTGTATAATTTCATGTTTTGATTTATATTGGTAACTATTGTCGGCTCATAAAATAGATTTCCGATATCTTTTCTTGCCCTACCACCATGCAAAATTTTCGCACTTTTGGATGAAGCGTCGTCAACAAAGGATTTTACTTTATCAAATTGATTTTTGTTTATTAACGGTCCAATTTGTGTATCAGTATTCAGCCCAGGCCCGATTTTTAATTTTCCAACTCGTTCAATAAGGGCTTTCATAAATGAATCATAAATGCCATCTTGAACGAAAAATCGATTTGCTGAAACGCATGTTTGCCCACAATTTCTGAATTTTGATACGATCGAGCCTTCAACTGCTTTTTCCACATCAGCGGAATTGAAGACTATAAATGGAGCATTACCTCCAAGTTCTAGCGAAATTCGTTTAACATTTGCGGAGCTATCTCTATAAAGTATTTTTCCAACTTCTGTTGATCCCGTAAATGAAATTGTATCAACGTCTGGACTAGAGCAAAATAATTTTCCAAAATTCGCCGCTTTTGTTGTCGTAAGGATATTGATTGTTCCGTTAGGGAAACCAGCTTCTTCGGATAATTTTGCCAATGCCAAGGCCGTTAAGGGCGTGTCTTCGGATGGTTTTATTATAACTGTGCAGCCTAAAATTTTAACAACTAATATAATTTCTACTATATAGCTTTATTTACTAAAAGTATATTTATTACACGCTTAAAAGAGACTCTACTTTCACATTAACTTTTTATAGCCGAAATTTGCTTTTGCAAGAGCTTCTTTTAAATGGGTAATTTGCTTTGCAAGCTAATTTGTTTAAAAATTACCAGCAGCAAGAGCTGCAGCCGCTTTTCTAGTAATCATAGCAAGAGGGAAATTCCAAGGTGTTATTAGTGCTGCCACCCCAATCGGTTGTTTTAAAACAAAAAGTTCTCTATTAGGGCCAGGTGGGGGTATAACCTCACCGTAAATTCTCCTTGCCTCTTCCGCAAACCACTCTGTAAACGAATTTCCATATGTGATTTCTCCGTGTGATTCACTAATAGGTTTTCCAGATTCCTGTGTCATGATATCAGCTATTTCGTTACGATTTTCTTCTATCAATGTGTGCCATTTCTGTGTTCAATTTATTTTAATTTAAATCTATTAAGCTTATTAAACGCTTAATAAATTATACATACTTTTAATAAAGATGACCTTTCCTTTCCGGTCAATTTCGACCAACGTGCAGAGGCAAATGCTGTTTTTGCTTCCCGTATTGCTTTTTCAGCTTCTGTTACAGTCATGTCAGGAACCGAACCTATTATATTGCCGGTTGCTGGGTTGGTCACATCAAATGTTTCACCAGTACCGGAAGTTATCCAATTACCACCCACAAAATTTTTTGACTGTATTAATGAGGAAATGCTTCTTTTCCAATTAGTAGAAGTGAACTTTTTTAAGTGTATTTTGTGAAAATGATAAAATTTTATCATGATTCGAAACGTAATTATCTGATATGCAAAATTCTAAATAATTCCAAATTTTTGAATTACACTATTACAATTCAATGCAGTTAATCGATTTTCTTTTACAAGGTCAATTGTATTAAAAATTCTACATACTTAATAAACAAAAATCTACATACTTATGTTAGATTAATTGAGAAATTAGGTGTTATATGTATGTACATTTGCATATACAAATGAAAACAGTAAAGTAAAATAGTGATAAGAAACAGTTGTCAAAATTTTATAAAAACTTCAAATTCATATGTCAATTTTTTTAAATGTATTACAGCGTTTTAAAAATTTTAACTCTTGCAGGCGTGGATGCGAATACATTAAAAAAATGTATTATGAACTTGATATGAAAAAATTTTGGAATTTGAGAGCTCTTATCTTAAAAACCAATACGATAGAGCTTATTCTGCTATTTAAAAATTTTTCAAATTTGAACTACAATATAGTACACGTGAGAAATTTTGGAATTTTTCCAGTAAAGTAGCACTCTTATTGTAAATCTCACATGTAGGACTGAAATTCGCAGAAATTACGAATTTCATATTATGAATTCCGAAGTAGTATAAACGTATTACGAAATTCGTAATAGAGTAATTACGAATCTCTGGGATAAAACTTGCAAAAACTTAAAAAAGAAAAACAATGACGAAATTTCTCTCAAAAAAACAAAAAAAAACCCTTAAAAAATAAATCAGGCAGAAAACGTGAAAAAACTTTAAAAAACTTTATAAATATATAGGTGATAAACGTCAAATTTCAAAGTAATTTTCATACATAAACAAATTTTTTTTGGTTATGCCAAAAACCGAAAATTTTGATTTTGGGTTATAAAAGTGTAAAACATAGAAAAAACCACTTATGAACCCATTTTGGCTATTTTATTTTATTTTAATTGAAAAGTTTTGAAAAAAAAAGTTATTGTTATCTTCAGACAATTCCAATAAAAACATATGTTTGGACAGCTGTAAGATTTGAAATGTTTTTAAAACACTGAATTTTATTTTACAAAATTAGAAAAAACTTTAATCATTGAAAAATGAGAATGTCATCATTTTCTCTTCTATAAATGTCAAAATTCTACTAATGAAATTTTCAGACATAGAAAGCAATGTTGACAATAGTGTTGATATCGGAAATTTCCATTATCCTGTAGAATATGCTTTTGTATGTTTTGAATCTGTTACATGAAATTTTCCTGTAAAAAACTGTAAAGAGGATAAATATAAAAATATTATTGAATTTCCCTCAATTGCAATTATTTTCGTGGAATACAAAAATGTTAAAATCTTTACATATTTTTCACATTACATTGATGTTCAAAATTTCTAGAAAATTTTGTAAAACTTTGTAACATTTGAATTTGACTTTTAAGAAATGGCTAGTAATAGGTACTATCTTGCCATGAATTTCATTCTTATCCCTTAAATTAGGAAAATCGCAAATATCATATTGCCAATTTCGAATTAATATTAGCTCTATCATGAATTTCGTTCGTAGCTTTGAAATTCAGAAAATAGCGAATTTCAGATTGTTAATTTTGAATTACTAAAATATTATTATAAATTATGTTCGTAATAGAAATAACCCTTAACTGTCTACGAAAGAATTAATTACATATTGTAACGAGCAATTTAACACAGTGGTTGTTTAAATTTTTAAGTAAAGTTTTGTAATAAAAGGATAATAAACTTGCTATATTTACCTTATGAATTTTTCAATTTGAAATTAGTTTTGATTTTTTTTCGTAATTTAACTTAGTACTTTTTTTAATGGCAATGAGAAAGCTGTACGTCGATTAAACTTCTATCAATTTTTGGAAATATGTTTTTCTAAAATTTATTTTATTTTTTCAATTTCCTTCTTTTGGCGATTGTTTTTTTTTTTGCAAATATGAAATTAAAACTCCCAAAATTTATTTATATAAGACTTTAAACAAAAGGACGGTGAAATTTTTTTTTCCTTCATACAAACTTTATACAATTTAAAAAAAAAAAGGAAAATGAAAATTGCTCTCTCTGCGCGGTGGCCTTTTACTAGAGCAGTGAGTCCATGGCTTATAAAAGTTCTAAAACCTTTCTATCCAAAAATCAGCAATATTTTGGAGGAATCGCTAACCGAGGTGATCTCTTGGGCCGAAGAATGTGAACTAGAAATGAATCCAAAGAAAACTGAGCTAGTGATTTTTACGAATGCGCTTGCTAGCTGTAGCTCAGCCATGGACAAAGGTTTTCTTTTAATTTTTTTTACATTATATATGTATAAATGAAGTAAGGAACATATAAGTAGCTAAAAACTTCGTCATAGAAAATCTGAAATGTGTCAATTCTGGCACGCGTACCATTGAATTGCCACCTTAAGTAATAGATAAAACAAAATTTACCATTAAAATTTTTTAAGATTCAAGTTCTTCAAGTAGCGAATTTCTTTTAAATGTTTGGGATTTAGTGAATATTATTTTAATTTTCTATTCACAACAATCTTATCTTCTAAAAATATAAGAAAAGAAATGATGTTCTACGCGTATACAAATATTTTATTTATGCTAACACTTATGTATGAAAAAAAATTTCATTCTTTACAGAAGTTTTTAAATAATATTACTGAAATATTATGTAGTAGGATTGATTTTTTTTAAATAGTTTTTATATTTCTCTTTAAAAAAAAACGTTTTACTTTTGTTAATTAAATTAAAATATGAAATTAATTAAACATTTCTAAAAATTAAAGATTTATGTATGAACAAAAATGAATTCATATGTAGGTGTTTATAATGTGTGGAAATTTTATATTTAAAAAAAATGAATCGATTTATATTTCTTAAAAAATATGGTATCATATAACAGGCAGGCAAATTTTTCATTTTTGAGTGAACTACTTTTATTTTGCCAAATATATATTGTATGTATCTACTAGCTAGACCGTCAGGCTCAGAGAGTAAATCAAAATTAATTTCCAAATTTGTATGACAATCTTAATCGCTTCATATATACGCTATAAAAATTCTTTAAAAAAAAATAATTGTAAACTTACGCATTCTACTTTTCTTGTCTTGTATTTATAGAATTTCAACAAAAAACAATAGTAAGATATAATAACAAATTGTAGTACAAAGTTTTCTAGATTAATCTGATGATTTTTTAAAATTTTATGCACTGCTGAAAAAAAAATCAAGAAATTTGCATGTGTCCGAAGTATTCTGTTCTATTTAAGGAATAGAGTAAGAATAGAAAGTATCATTTAAGGTATTAAGGACAATATAATAAAAATGATAAAAGTGTCGTTGGTTAGAGAAAAGTATTAAGTTGACGAAGAAAATAATACGAACAATACGTAGATTCATAAATTTATTCCGATTTGTTTGCAAAACTTTACAGAGAATTATAAAGTTTTTGATGAACGGTAACCAACAAAAATAGAATACTTTATTTGTTTTAATGTTGTTATTTAATCGAACTTTACGAGGGTTTAAATAAATTTTGTTTTTATACGAATATTCAACACCTACCTACTATAAAAGCAAAACGCAAAAACATAACACGGTAAATATTCAATATATTTTTAACTATTCTATAAAATCAAAACAGTTAAAAATTTACATTATATTTTGAAAATTTAAGTTGTATATAAATATGATAATGATACGCTATATGGGTGCGCTCATGAAAAGGCCTTTCAGTTTTACTACTTTGTTTGCTTCTCAAATGAATGCCCATTCTTTGGTACCAAAATGAAAGCTAGAATATCAGTTTTCACTTAAAATAAAATAACGCCGTATTATATTAAAAGGTAAGTAATGCCCACGTTAATTATGAGAAATATTTCTAAGAACTTTTCTAAAAACAAAAGTTCTTAGAAATATTTTTTAAAAATTTAGACTTTGCACTTATATACGTCGTTTGTTTCTTCTACAAGGAGGATTTTATAAGCATTAAAATGATTTCTTCAAGTTTGCTTTATTTATCATATTTTCTGAGTTATAAACCAACTATGTCCCAAAGCTCGGAAAGGAGTGCGAAAGTAGGAAAAGGTTCACTATTATTTTTTATTTGTCTGTACTAGTTTCGAGAGCAGAATTGATTCTCGGACATTGTGTGTAGTAGGATTTTTATTCGTACAACATGCATACAATAAATGAAATTTAATTTCCGAAGATAATGCCAAAAAGAGCATAAGTAAATTCATTAGTATATAAGCAAATTAATTTAAATTTTCATAAACAAAATGGCTTAATTTCTTGTGGGAAAGCTTAAGAATATTTTTAGTCACACGTTCTAAATTTTTAAGAAATACATCTAATTAATATAGGTTTGTAATGTATAATTTTAGGCTTGGTGACGAAATTAACCTTTGGAGGAGAATAAAAGAGGAGCGTTGCGGCAAAAAGCATAAAATCAAAGATAATAATGATCAAGTCAAAGTAATGAAAATTGACAAATCAACTAGTCATGACAACACTAATGACATTCAAAAATCATCCAGTTTTACATCTAATTATGCAAGTGTAGATTCGTCAGATGAAGTTGCTGGTAGCGATTACGAATCATGTAATGGATTAGAAGAAAAATAAAATATTCAAATCAATTTTGCTAAATATAGTAGATATATAATTTTTATAATAAAAAAAATTAACAATAACGTATATTAGTACATATTCAAATATATGAATAGTATTTGTGCCCATATTATTTAAGCCTCGTTATGTGAGGCTTCAATGTAATTCATGACTTCCAACATCACAGTTATTTTATACACAAAAAAAAGAATGTTCATAATTTAAGTTAAATTTTATTCATATTTCAAAAATGTTAATGATAAAAGCCTGTACAAAATAATTTTATAGCTAAATAATTTAAACGAAAGTTCATGAGGAAATATTTTGCAAAAGAGTATCCGTATACATACATACATGTACTGTAATCAATATTGAAATCATATATAAATATTAACTTATTTTCCAAGGATAATTTTTCTTGATGCACCAAAATTTTGACCGGACTGTGACGCTCCTCTATTTGTTCCAGCTTGGAGTCCAATTATGGCTTCACTTGACCGTAGTTGCTCTTCAGTAAAGTCACGCCTATTTTCTTCCGCAGGACGTGGTCCCAGAAATGGTCCTTTCCATTCAGGGTGTTTGTAGCACTGGAATTGCCAAAATTATAGTCAAAAGGTTGTATTTTATTGAAAGTAGCTTACCGCGCGTCCAAGGGCAAAAATTGTTTGTGTTACAAGTGCAATATTTTTTTGATCCCATAGATCTGTAGTTTGAAATAAATCAACATCGGGAACTCCATATTTTGTACAGGCTTTTTGGAATCTAATAACATACATATTTAATTTAAGATAACATTTATGATTCATAGTAAATTAAGAAAATATAGAAAGAAACAAAACCACGCATATTAAAATGTTTAAATTTTTCTAAAAATTTAAGCAAACAAGTGGTTAAGATTTTTAAAACTCTGTTTTTTGTTAAAGTTATATTTATTAAATATATATTTTTGTCCATTGATTATGTGGTTTTTGTTTAAATTGATTTGAAAAAAAGTTTAAAATATGTATGAACCTACAGGCATAAGTTTAAACAGCTAAAAATAATACAAGTACCTACTATTGATGTACTAATGTTAAGCAATTACGAATAAGTTAAATATAATTACAAAAATCCTTTGACAGCTTAATATTGAAATAGGATTGAGCATCAACACGATTTGTCAGCATTACAAAAAGTTGGTTTAATTTGAGTTCCAATGATCACGTATACAAATAATATGTTTAAGTGACAAAAAGTCAGTGTGCATAGAAAGTATGAATAATTCTTTTAGTAAGATAACTAATATCTACATAAAAAATTTATAGAGTGCATGACGCGACTCCGGAGATCTTGGAAATTCTGTTCTGAAAACCATCACGAATTTCAACTGACATTTAAAATCGAGAAAGAAATTCAGTTTTATTCCTACTTTCAAACAGCATTTTATTTGAAAATATTGATCGATTTGTACTTTTAATTTCGTGCAGATTTTCAATAGTGCATGGAAAATAATGACGAATTTGTAAGTTTGATCGTGGCATTGAAGCACGAATTTTTCAAAAGTTTTTCGAAAATTTTAGATTTTATATTTTGTGAGTTTGATTGTTATATTAGATTTTGTAAATATATTCAAAACAACGAACTAATTATTATTTTAATATTATATTTACTGAATAATTTTTAGTTATTTTGACACAATTTAAAAAACGTTAAGTTTTATGTCAAACTTAAAAATGTTTTTGATTAATTGATTAAAAAGAAAGTGAAATGATACAATATGGTTCTGGTGAAATGATTGATACAATTAAACGACTGCTTTTTATTCTAAAATTGTAAACTTTGGAAAACTTGGAATTATATATGTAAATTATTGAATGATTAATGTTCGGTTTTTGTATCGTAAATATGAAACTTAAAGAATAAGTAAGTAATACAGGGTTTCTGATGCAGCATGGTAGGTTATAGGTTTTCAAGCAATAATTTTTCTAATGCAGCATAAAACTTTAGAATGCATTACATATTATTCACACGAAAACACATCGATACCAGAATAAAGGTAACAATTAGCATTATAAAATATTTTAAACATTTACTGTCCAATATTATCCATCATCTTGTAATCTCCACCGGATGTATTAATTTTTGGTATAATACCAGGTACCAAACGATTCATCAACTTGCATAAAATAATACCATTACGAAGGGCTTCTTCGAACGGCAAAGGAGGAAAACGTTCATTAATTACAGCTTCAACCCAGGCTTGAGCTTCAGCTTCTTCTTCTGGAATACGTTTACCGCAAACCTGAAATTAATTTTGAGAAAAGTTTCAAATGTTAAAAGACTATTTTTCATGTAATTTTAAACATATGCAGTTACATATGTGTATATGGATGTGTTTATACAATTAAATATTTACGACAAAACGATGTTTTATTTAATTTAAATATAATGCTGGCTAAAAGCATAAACTCTTGTAAAAATGTATATAAAGATGTCTATGTTAAAAGTAATCGAGCTTATACATACATATTTATAAATAAAAATAAAACACATTTTATAGGAAAACAAAATCGTGATGACAAAACTGTGCTACATTTTAAAAGTCGTTACATCTTCGAAACTGTTTAACGAATCCTGTTGATTGATAGAAACACGAAAAATAACTTTAAAAGTTTTTTGTTTTGACCTTTGCTCAACCTTGACAACTTCATTGGTTTAAGAAATATAAGTTTTTAAAGACTTTAAAATTTTTCTCCTTTATTATGAGAAAATGGAATAATACGCAAGCTAATGTTCAAGTGAAACAAACAATTCAAAATCATGTAATTAAAATTTTAAAATAAAATGTTCTTTAATATGTAAACAAATTTTTCCAAAATAATTTCTTGTCTTTGAATAAAAAACATTTAAACATTTTTTTTTCATTAAAATTTTCCATTGGGTATAATTTTTCTAGTATCGATATGTTTCGTTTTGATATTATAGCGAAAAATTCCGGTCACAAACAACATCTGTAAGTCGAGGGATTCCTATATATCGTCCCATCACGGACCATGACGTCACAGAGTATGAAGTCATTATCGGGATTTTACCTTGTCACTACAAAAGCCTATGTAATTATTAATTTGGTATTGATTCAATGCTTAAAAATGTAAAGCAAATTTATATTGTGTACATATTTTAAACATTAATTTAAACTTTCAGAAATTTTAAACATTAGGAATGTTATTTTCAGCACATGTTGCACAATGTATCTCATGTTCATGTAAATGCAACTTGTATCATATGTTCAAGAAGTATCACATGTACAATATCTAAAATATTCATTACTAGCAGCGTTATTCTTTCAAAATAAGAGAAGCCCCATGATCACTTTGGGTATTTAGGACTTTTTAAGTTTTAAATTATATACTTACATAATATGTATGTATGGATACATATGTATGTATGTATGTATATAAATACAAAAAAGATTAATGGAATCAAAAAGTTGCTACATTAAAGCATCTTTTAACTTAAAACAAATTATTTATGTTTTTTTCAATGTGTTATTCTCGAAGATTTTTCCATTTTGAAAAAACTCATTAAAAAAAAATGCACAAAACTTTTCTTTATTGAAAAATTTTAATAATTTAAAAGCTTTTTGGCGGGTGGCTAAAAACGCTTTACTGATAAATTCAAAAAAATAAACAATTTTTTCTTTATACATTATTATACATACATACATACATATATGTATTGTATATATTGATATAAGTATGTATGTAAACTTAAATTTTAATTAAGATACATACATACATAATATGTACAGGGTTAACAAAATTTGAGTTTTTTTATAGCCCACTTTTATCATTTTACTTTTTTAGTTTATTCTTAGTCCTACGAAAATTCTGCGACTTTTGTACATAGCTTAATTAAAATATTTTAATCTTGACACAAATAATGATGGCTCTGGAAGATAAACAATATAAAATTACTTAAAAATTCTTTAACGAGACAAAAAATAAATAATAACTCAGTTAAATTTCTGCTAATCAGCTGTTTTTTCATTCAATTAATTTTTAAACCTGAGAATGCTATACACTCCAACCCAATAAAAAAAAAAATACAAAAACAAATTTTATACTGTTTCATACAAATGAAATAAAAGATAAAATTAGAGGTTAATTTTAAAATAACTTACAAAAAATTTTTTTGGAATACGTTTTTGTAACGTCAATCAAATAACGTCAAAGAATATGTTAAAATTCAAAAATTATCAAAACTACTGAAAGAAAAACACATTCACGCGACAAAGTACATTTTTAATAAAATAACTGAGTTAAAATTAAATTCATTCAGCCTCGCGAATAGAACTCAAGTTCTTGTTGTTGTATTATTATGATATTTAATAACACTAGTTAGATAAGTTAAATTTTGAGGTTAATTGAAAATTTAGATAGTTTATGACAATTTTACCAAATATTAGTTTGTATTGGCAGTACCACTGTCAATATGCTTTTAAATTAACCCAACATTGTTTTTAAATTAAGCATCATCATCATAACATAACATCAAGTTTAAATTTGTATGCATAATATTCTTCTTAACGCAAAGTGTATGTAAGTACAATATTATGTATGTATGCACATATCTAGCTTTAAATTAAAGTATCCGTATATCGCATTATGAATTTTGTTTAAAAATTTTTGTGAAACTCTTTGAAATTTTTATGGAACATTTAATTAAACTTTTATCTAAAAAAACTAAATTTTCTATTTTTTTTTTAAATATTCCATAAATATATTTAAATGTTTCCTCTAATTTGAATCTATAAACTTTTTCAAAATAAAATTTTTAAATAGTATTAAAACAAAATTAATCAGTTTTATGTGTGTGTCTTATTTTACCTAATTTTAAATGTTTTGTGCAAAAAAATTTATACTTTCTCTAAAAAAGAAAAAAAACATAAAACTAAAAGAAAATTGTTTTCTGCTTTTTCTTGTTTGACCTTTTAGAAAACTTTAGTATTGGCGCAAGATGCTAATTTATATTGCAAAATTTATATTCACCCTGTATACAAAATCTACAACAAAATAGCAATAAATTTGACCGAAAACAACTAAATAGAATTTAAATAAAAATAAATAAGAAGAGAAAAAAAAATGTTTTTTTTTTTTTTAATTTTATGAAATTTTCTTAAATTTTTTATATCATTAAATATTTTATATTTTAGTCCATATTTACTTTTAGGTGGTGAAAGGCCTCAACGAATCTCTAAAAAATCAAAATTTAATTTATTTGGTTTTTTAACACTTATAATTAAAACAAACACTAAATTTCAGTATATAAAATGGCTGTAAGTTACACAAACATTTATACAAAATTAATTACAAATTATTTAACATTAATTTAATTCTTGTTTTTATTATTAAAATTAAAATTTTTATAATTATGACAAATCTAACCAAAGTTTTAAAGAATTTTTTTAATATCGTAGTAAAAATTAATTATTTTTGTTTAACTTAATGCAGGACCTTGTCATAGTTTCTTAATTTTTTTTTTTAATATATTTCGGTAAAAATTTTAAATAAATTTTATTTAAAAATACAATTACATTAAAATTTTTGACACAATGAGTTTATTAGTTTTGTGATTCGGCAAACGAAATCTTAAGATTAAGAAAAAACAATTGATTTCATAATATTGTATACGTTATCATAATGTTATGCACGTTTGTATCTATAGTAAAAAGTTTTTATTACAATATTAAAAATTTCATTTGCAAGCATTTATTTTTTATATTTTTTTAAAATACATTAGTATTATCACATTATCAAATTAAACCTTAATTAAATAAAAATTACATATTTTGTTATATTGTTAGAGTTATAACACCCACATGTTTTCTATTATTGTTAAATATTTATTAAAAAATATCCTTGCAACTTTCAATAAAGATTTTGAATTTCAAACTACTTATTTTTATTTTTAGTAAAGATATGCGTTAAAGCTAGTTTTTATAACAAAACATTAAAATATCTTATAAATGACAATGTTAAATTTATGCACATAAAATTTTATGAGGGTACTCTTTTTCATATGTTATTATTTTTTAGCAAGATATTTAAATTTTTTGTCATGATATTAAAAGAACATAATAAAAATTGAACTATATTTATTGAGTAGCTTTTTAAAATTTTTAACAGAAAAAGTATAATAAATTATAAAAAAATTGTAATTAATCAATTAAATAAAGTAATTGCATTAAAAATAAAAAAGTTTCAATTGAACACAATTTCATTTCAAAAAAAAATTCCTTAAACATGTAAAAATTTTTAAGAAACTGTTTTTTAAACAATTGCAGAATTATACAAATAAATTTAAAAATTTTTCGCTGTTACACGGAATAAATGCATTTTATATACGAAAAATACTTTTGAACTTTATGAATTGCAATATTATAGGTACAATTTATAAATTTATTAAATTTATTCTAAAAGTAATTTTCCCTGACATCCAAAATGCAGTATTACTGTGGTATCTGTGATCCATATGGTATAGAATAAAAAATTTATACAATGTACGAGTAACTGATATAAAATTTATAACTACACCATAAGAAAGCAAACAAATTAAGACAACAATTTAGTTGTTTTTACGTTTTACTACGATATTAATACTGCAGTTGAAATGTAGTTTTTTTAATGCATTTTGGGTTATTAAAACAAAATATTATATATTTTGATTTTGTTTTATTTCTAACGGGGTAGTTATATTAATAATATACATAATTTTCATAATTTGTAACAAAGAAAAAAAAATCTAATGCTACCTACATAATATCGGAGGAAAAATTTAATTTATTCAGACTCTGAATCAAACAAACAGCATTATGTATAGCATAATTTTTATAAAAATATACTATATGACGAAAATTTATTTTTATAAAATATTATGAATTTTACTTTATAATTTTTTTCAAAATAAAAAAAAAAAACATTTAAATTTATTTTTATTGGCAGATTAACAAAAATATCATTAAAAAATCCCGTTTACAAATTAACAATATGCGAACGGAACGGAAGTATTCAAGTAAAATTTTCAAAATATTTAGAGGAAGAGAAAAAAAAATTTAATTTTTAAATTTTATAAATAAATTTTAATTGGATTTATTAAAAAAAATTAAAGGCATTATTGGTTAAAAATATGCGTAATTAAATGTTAGATGCAATGAATTACAGTAATATAATGTTGGGTATAGAGCCAATAAAAAGTGATTGCGTAATTAGCAGGGTGCATTATATATGTAGATTGTATAGATATGTATGTACAAATCAATTTAGGATTAATTCTCTTATGAATCTACCCGTTAATACGAGTATAAGTTAACAGTAAATGAAACTATTAAAAAAATCCTTAAATTATATACATAGGTCTTATCTTATATATATCTTATATATCTTGTAGATCTCTTATCTTATATATCTCGTAGCCTATCCGGAAATGAAAATAGTTTACTATAGTTGAATATATGTTAAATTATGGGCTAGTGAGTTTAAAAGCATTTTTTGTGATATATACTTGCATATTTAAATTTTATATTTCAATTTACATTGACATGTTTACCTACATAAACCTATTATATAATGTATATGTATAATATAATATGTATATATATAATATTATTATATATACATTATATATATATATATATATATATATATATGTATATATCGAACTTTGTGAAAAGAACTGAAGAATTAAAGACATTGTCCTTAAAAATTATTTGTTCCTTTAAAACTTGTAAAATTTAACCATCTGGAATTACTCCATACTATTTTATAATTAAACATATCTTATTTATCATAATAATTTAATTAATAAATAATATTATTATTTCTTTTATAATTTTCCCTATTTATAATTTAATAATTTTTATTTATAGTTATAAAATTTTCATCATAAAATTTTAGCTATATATACGTATGTACATATTTATCTGTGAGTAGGAATGTTAAGTCATTTAAACCAATATAAAAATTTATTATAGAATATTCTTAGCACTATGATCTTTAAAACCGCCTACTTTTTAGTTATAGATACTGTTTTCATAATTATATATATTTTAGGATAAATAAAAGAAATTACATATGCGCTTTTCATGGTATACTATATATTATGTGTATTAGATGTATACAAATATATATAAGTATACGTAGCATGTATGTGTGTTCGATTTATGTAATAAATAATATAATTACGTTTAAATAATGTGTATCTACATACATATAAAGTTTTTATTATATTGCCAACAAGTGGCTAACGTCAATCAATTTCTTTTTTGTTTTGGGATGCATATGTACATACAAACATACATTCCATATACATACATTTATATATTTGAAGAAAATTTTCTCCATAATTTTTATCATTTTAAAAATGTTGAAAGCTTTCTGGAAAATTTTTTTTATTCTATTTTTTTTTTTGTTTTACATGAAATAAAAAATCACAGAATTGGTACATCGATATATTTAGCTTATAATTGGTATATACACATATTCGAACATAAATATTTATCATAAAATAAATATTTATATTTAGAAAATTATACACTTTTCGGTTCATGGAAATTTCTGCATTTCTTTTTTTAGCGAAATTAATTTTATAATTAAATGATGATATCAAACAAATTATAATGCATGTATATGTGTAAGTATGTGAATATTGAAATAAAAAATTCATTAATTTAATACCGCTATACAGCTTTGATTTTAGAAAAGTAGAGCATTTTGAACTAGATATACGGTGTGTATTTATGTATGTATACACAAGTTTAATTTTTTCAGTTATATTTGAATTGACTTATAGGTTATATACATATGTACATATATATATATATATATATATATTTTCCTTGTACTCGTATATTGTAAACTTATAGAGATATGTATATGTGCTTTTAAAAATGTTATTTATATTTTGAATGCTAATGTAGAAAAAATTCTTTAAAATTGCTTACCAATTATCTATAAAAAATTAAAATAAAATTAAAATTATGTTAATATTTATTTTTTACACATTAGCCAAGAAATAAGGAACAAGAAGCTGAAGTTTTACAATGGATTTTTGATGTACTTGGCGAAAAAGTACCAAGTGGAAACTATGAAGATATTTTACGTGATGGCGTTGTTTTATGTAAATTAGCAAATAAATTAACACCAGGTTCGGTGAAAAAAATTCAAGAAAAAGGTACAAATTTTCAATTAATGGAAAATGTTCAAAGATTTCAAGCAGCAATTAAAAAATATGGTGTACCAGAAGAAGAAATTTTCCAAACAGCTGATCTTTTTGAAAGAAGGTGAAAAAGAATATAAAGTCTTATTTTTTAATCACAATTATTATGCATATGTATACCTAAGTTTTATGGCTTTAATTAATTAACAATAAATTATTTCAGAAATATACCACAAGTTACATTATGCCTTTATGCTCTTGGTCGTATTGTAAGTATATTTCACAGATACATATGTATAAAGAATTTTGAAAAAATTTTTGTAAATTTCAAATTAAGACACAAAAACATCCAGAATTCAATGGACCGACCTTAGGACCAAAAATGGCTGAAAAGAATGAAAGAACTTTCACTGAAGAACAATTACGGGCTCATGAAGGTGAACTTAATCTTCAAATGGGATTCAATAAGGGTGCATCACAATCAGGCCACGGTGGTTTTGGTAATACTCGTCATATGTAGCCTGTATATTTCTTTTTATAACATTTACGAATTTTTGTTTTACTACATATTATATGCATGTATGTACATATTTGTACAATTGCTTTAAATTTTCTTATATATAATATGCAAGTATAAATTATATGTAAAAACATTGTGGAAACTAAATAAAATATGGGAAAATTTCTATTTTAAGGACAACAAATAAAAACAAAATTATGTAACTGATTTATATAACCAATACAACTTGATAATTTTTAAATTTCTGTATTATTAATATAAAATGCAAAAGGTATAAATATGTTTTGTAAATGTTTTCATAAAGATAAAAAATTAATACATAAAAAATGGAAATTATGTTAAGTATTTGGTGTTTTATTTTACTTATCCGTGCTATAAACTATTGGAGAATTATTAAAAATTAATTACGAAGAACTAATTTCGCTACTGATGAATTAAAATAATAATTTGAAAAATTTCGAATATAAAAACATTTATTATATAATTTATATATATAAATATTAAAAAAATGTTCTATTTTGATTTTTTATAATTTTGAAGCAATTTACCGGCCAAAAATTAACATTTTTTAAAGTTTTAGAAGATGAGAGTTCGAAAATAGGAAGAAGGTACAGAAAAATTTTGTGTCCTAATATAATAAAACAATCTTATAACAAATTATTGATGTCTTCAAATGGTTAACCTTGTAAATTGCAATTTAATTAGAAAAGTCAATTTGACCCATTCTCAAAATTTTTTAAAAGTATTTTTAAATAAGGTTTTTTTATTGTATTTACATAAAATCAAAAAAATAACATTCATCATTCGCTTTTGCAACAAATATATGTACCTATTTGATACTTTGTTACTATATAAATTTCCAAATAACAAAAATTTTTCTATTATAAAGTAAAAATATTTTACAAAAAAAACTATAAATTTTTTTTGAAACGCTACACTCCACTGTCTACATACTTCAATCTACATTCAAAACGTTAAAAATTAGTTAGAAATTTATAACAAAGTAAATTGCTGGAAAACATTTCTGGAAACTTTGTAACATTAAGTAACCCATGACGACGAATCGAATATTTGTTAAACGAACTGAAGGGTATCAAAATAGAGCAACAGTAAATACAATAAATAAATAAAATACAATAAATAATACAATGAATAAAGCAATAAATAGAGCAACGTTACAACAAATGAATTAATTTTATATAAGTACATACATATAAATGATATCTATATAAAATGATGCAACATGTATGATGATCAAGTTAGTGGTTTTAAAATGTTTTCATATAAATTATCTCAAGTTTTCCAAACATTTCCATTTGTTAAAAGGCTCTTTAAAAAATAAAACAAGTAAAAACGTTTCAATCGGTATAAACCGATTGAATTATACCCTGCACCTTTCGTTATTGTCTATAGCAATTACTCGAACCTGTGAAATGATTCTATAGAAACTTCACGGACATGTCTGACCTGGACATTCTGGCTATAATTGAACATCCGACTGCCAAGTTTCATGAATCTGACCTTATAATTTTTCCAAATATTTAAAATTAGCTTTTGAAGTTGTATGGCAAGTACCTGAATCTGCCAAGCAATTCCATCAAAACTTCACAAATATATCTGATCTATAATCGGACACACAACTGCCAAGTTTAATGAATCTGACTTTATTATTTTTCCAAATATTAAGAATAAGCTTTTAGACTTGTATGGGAGCTACTCGAACCTGTCAAGCAATTCCACCAAAACACTAGAAATATGTCTGACCTATAATTGGACACACGACTGCCAATTCTCCTGAATTTGACTTTATTATTTTTCCAAATATTTAAAATAAGCTTTTAGATTTGTATGGGAGCTACTCGAACCTGTCAAGCAATTCCACCAAAACTTCAGAAATATATTTGACCTATAACTCGATACACAACTGCCAAGTTTCATGAATCTGACTTTATTATTTTTCTAAATATTTAAAATTAGCTTCTGGAGTTGTATGGCAGGTACCCGAACCTGTCAAGCAATTTCTCTAAAACTTCAGAAATATATTTGACCTATAATTGGACAGATGACTGCCAAGTTTCATGAATCTGACTTTATTATTTTGCCGAATATAAAAAATTTGCTGTTGGAGTTGTATGGCAGCCACCCGAACCGGTGCAGCTATCCCATTATAATTTTTAGAGCATGTGTAGAATATAATTGGACACATGTATACAAAATTTTGTATTTATAGCTTTATTAGTTTTTGAAATATTTAAAATAAACTCTTTGAGTTGTATGGCAGCTACCCGAACCCGTTGTCCGACTTAATATAACAATAGGGTTCGTCCTTGGCACAAAAAAAAAACTTGTGAAAGTTTGGTGTCAATTGCATTATTCGTTTTTGAGTTATCGTGCGATCGGACGGACCGACGGACGGACGGACATGTCTAAATCGACGCAGAATTTTACGCTGAGCAAGAATATATATATATGTCCATACCGCAGATGACTCTTTCAAGTAGTTACAAACTCCATACCAAAGTTAATATACCCTTCACGAAGTGCAGGGTATAAAAAGTTATACACAAATATCTAAATCGTTTTCTTTAATTTTTTTTCTATTTCATATTTTCGGGATCAAAACACAAATTAAAACAAATAAAGTTGATTAAAACAATGGTTTAACAAATTAAACAAATAAGGATCAAAACAATGGTTTGTAATGTAGCATTTTTCCCTTCAACAAGTAAAAAATAATGCTTTTATAAAAAATTTAGCTATTTTACAAACAATCTAGCAATTAATTTCACTCACAGACGGAAAAATTTCACATACTGCATATATTAAGATTCATAAGATAAAAAATTGAAGGAGGCTAAGATTCATAAGATAAAAAATTGAAGGAGGCGTTAACACATTGCTCGAATTTAAAAATCTTTTTATTTTTTAATCCATTTACCGTTGCCTTTTAAGGTACCAAAAATTTCTAATTTTCCAAATTGAGGTAGAAAAATAACTTGAGGTAGAAAAAAATTTTTCTAATGAAATAAAATACTTATTAGTGTCTAAAAGCTGCTAATGTTTCAGACTCCTACAACCTGAGGTTTATAATAAAAACGATATCAAATTAAAAAAAAAAACTGGATTTTGAATAACGATAAGTTTTAACAGCCATTTTGTTTTTTTTAAAGTTCAAAATTAAAAATATTTATGGTTTCGCTGAAATGAATTGATAAAAAATTGCATTTTTAGGGTGTTAGGAGCTGTAACTTTTGGAGGGAGGTTGAGGGGAAATAGGTAAAAATTTTCTTTTAGGGAAACAACTTTTTAGTAAAGATTTGTGTATATATGATTAAGTCAGTTAGTGTAAAATGCTCGTAAATATCAGTGGTTTTTCTTTTCTGTCAGAGATGATTCTATATTTCCGGAATTTAAAAAATTGCTGTACGTTCCAATAGCATAAGAAAATAAAAAATCATTTTTAGACATTTGAGGGCTATAACTTTTTGAGGGAGGAGAAATTTGTTTACAAAAATAAACTTTCTTAACCCATTTTATTGGAAATGCTTTAAAAATACGGTAACATTGCTTTCACATTTTAATTTTAAACAGTTTTTTTTGTGCAGCATATTTTTCCAACATATTTAAAGTGTAGATGTTAATGAATCATGCCGCATTTTTTTCTTTTTGCAGTTAGATATCTTAATATCTAGGTATTTATTAATTTGTACTGAAATGTATTTAAATGTACTGCACAAATTTGGCATCATTTATTAATGAAAATTATTTTATTAATATTTGTAAATGATTCAATTAAATTATTTATTATTGATGTTTACTTAAACTATGCGGTATTCAATTTCAAGCAAAAAAAAAAATTATGTATATACAAAAAAAATTATATATATTATAAAACTTATAATTTATTTTAATGGTCCGTATTATGTATGTAGGCGTATTTGAGTTACGTTCTATTTGAGAATACAAGTACATTCACTACGTTATATGTCACAAATTCTAAACATTAATCGTACTTTAACAAAATTTGTTATCAAATATTGCAATATTAATTTTATTTTAATTATTGTTATTCTTATTTATTGTAATAATTTTATTATTTTATTTAATTATAAAAAGCAGTTTTCTCAAGTAGCTCATTTGAAGAGATATGAAATAAAATTATGTTTCTGCGATCGTTAGCAAGATATAGTTTTTCAAACTAATAAATTTACACAAAAAAATCAACCTTTCACTATCAGTATATTTTTGCAACTTTTGGTAAGAATTATTAATTTATTTAATAAATAATTTGCCTTATATAATTATGTTGCGTTAACATTCGTATAAAGCATACAGTTATACGTATAGAGGTTATAATTTAATATTCTTATGGCTCATCAGTATATGAAACAAGAGTGAAGGCGTGGTACGAAGTGAACCTCAAATTTAAGTGAGTTATAGTCATAATGTAATTTAATCTAAATAATATAAGGAATTTGTAAAATTTCATGAAATATAGGTATATAAAATGTATAAAATTCTCACATACATTGTGTATATGAAATTAATGAAAACTGAAATATAAACTGAAATTTATGTTCGAAGACTATGTTTGTTATATAATATCCACAAATAATAATTTAATTTGCTAAAATCATTTAGTTAAGAAGATTGTGTTCGTTTAAATAATTTTTTTAAAAGTAAAGAGAGGCTTGTTTTAAAAGTAATAAAAGATTAAAATTAAAAGCAATGTGTACATGTGTCACACATACATGTACATATGTACTTTCTTTTAAAAAAATTTTATGCAGCAAACCCTGGTATTTCACATATTTCATATGGGCTTTAAAAACAGTGTAATATCATTTTAATCTTTAATAAAAGAATAAAGTCTAGTTTCAATCTTAAAATTATTTTAATATTTTAAAGTTCGTTAAGAAAGTACTGGTTCACTAAACCTCATTTAATAATATTTAGAATTCATTAAAATACTACCCACAAATTATTTTTATAAGTTCTCACAAGAGCAAGTTTTCAGGATTTTGTTTTCGGGATAATTTCGTGATATGTTTTTCTTGCAATAGGTTTTATGCCATATATAAATTGTCGAAAAAAAGTTTATTATTGTTTATAAGTTAATTATAGTTTTCAATAATTTAGAACGCAAGTCTTAGACAATGCACCTCCACCAAATAAATTAATTTATTGTGCCGGCCAATCCAATTATTATGCTTAGAGCGAATAAAATTATCCGTTTTATATTTGTAAGTATCTATTATGTTGAGTATCTAATATTATTTGTGAGTATCTAATTGCTTATTTGCAGCTATTTTGTTTTTCTCCACATTTCCTGAGAAGGCGCAGAGAGTATATTTAAATCGTTAAATTCCCAAAAAATATACCTTTAAATCTAAATATTCTGACGAAATAATTTAAATATTAATTCTTTACTAATACTTTCTTATTCACTAAATATCGAAAACACACAATGCAATTTGATTTTAATTCTAAAAACAACTGGTATGAGTGCTGTGATTAGTAATAAATTCCCATATATTTATACTAGTACGAACGGATGTTCGAAAGGTATACCAAGTTTGCTTTACCGTTTGTAACGCTAAGAAGTAATGGTCTGAAATAAAGGCTCAAGTATGTTTTTGATCACCTTCGAATTCTGAGTCCTTTGTCTACGTCTTTGTCTTCTGGATGTACCTTTGTCTGTCCGTCCGTCCATCTTGAGCTAAGTTTACCAAATTTTCACAAATGATTTATTATAGTAAATATTAGAACCCTATTTAAATTGGTTATGATCGTAGTACTTGTTAGGGTACTTGCCATACAACTTCCAAATTTATTAAGCAATATCTCACAAACCATAAAAGCCAATGTGTTTGAGAAAAGTCGTTGAAATTGCTCGGCTACTTCTGGTAGCCACCATACAATTTCAAAAGTTATTTGGAATTATCTCAGAAATTATTAGAGTTATAATATAGAAATTTCGTGAAAACAAGTGTATTATTAGGGCTGTTATGTGTGATAATATCGTTGAAATTTCTTGACTCCTTGTCGTGGCTATACCGTAGGACTTCAATAGTAGTTTGGCGATATTTTAGAAAATATTGAAAAGTACTGAAATTTTGTACACAAAAAGTACACAGTAATTAAATTTTGCATAAATTAATATGGTATTATGGAAACTTAAAGTCATAGTCTGTTCCTTAGTAAGCTATGGGATATTCACAACTCGCATATGGGATAACAAATGACACGGTCAACTCTTTTTTTGTCTTGTTTTGATTAATTCCCGTTCCCCTTTTTTAATTTTTTTTTGCTTTAAATTTCAATAATATAGGAAAAATTATGAAAGGTTTATTCACTTGGTAAAATATTTTATTATTTTGTTCATAATCACCTAGAAACCCTTTGGAATGCCGTAGTTCAGATGGTCTTCCATAACTACGATCTCACCCACCCATTTAATCAAGGAACTGAGGATTCCTCTCCCAACGACGCCTGGTAACCAGCACAGCGTAACCAAGCTTTTGCTCTAGGTTCATTAAAACTAGTAAGTCTCCAAAGTAATGATTAAAATTTCTTCAAATCAGTTTGCCAAACCAATAAAAATCTGTCAAACCAAAAAATCTGTTATTTTCTGTCAAACATGATATTAATCGAAAGCGTTCAATAAACCATGAAAATATTTCTTAAAAATATAAACATTTATGCGCGTTCTGATTCCTCTTTCACTACAGCTTTCCGTTTTCACATACTTAGATTGTGTATGCTTATGTTATATAAAAATATAAAGTTATAAGTTCTGTGTAAATAGTTAATGTCATTTCCTTAACTTAACTAAACTACGCAATGCATATCTGTAATATCTGTTAAATTATGAGTTGTAAAACAAGTTATGCCATGCGCTTTTTGTTTGATTTTTACAATTTCTTAATAAACATTGTACGAGTATTTAGTACTGGTTGTATGAGTCTGTAACCAATATTTCGTAAAAAATGAGATTAAAAGCATGAAGGTAAATTACTTACAAATTTTTATTTTGAGTAACTGTAATATCATTTGTAACTTATTTTTTTTCCTTAATTTAAGTAAGTAGTTTAAAATAACATAATAAAAAATTGAACAGTAATAGTATTGAATTACGATTCACGAGTTCAAGGTTTATTATAAAGACATCTTGTAGCTTGTCGTAGACTTCTAGTGAAGTAGAAGCTCAGAATTTATTGTTTTCTACAGCTACATCATTCAATCAGTTATTTATTTGTGTTAAAGTAGATTGGAATATTATTTCAAAATTTGGTCTTGGTTTTAGTATTCGAATCAAAATGCTTATAGATTGATACTATAGATTTGTTTACGGATAAAAAAGCAAAAAATCTTATGTGGCGAGCACATAAGCGAACAGAAACTTTATACTCGTATTTTCTGATTTCTATTTGCAAATTTCAAAAAATCTGTTTTTACTAGTTTAATGATAGCGAAAATTAAGATTTTACAGAAATTAGACACATTTTTATAATAAAAATATTTTCCAAAACATGGATTTTTTTATACTGGAAAAGTTTTTTAGTTAGTTTATGTTGTTAAACTAGACTCATACATTAAATTTTTATCCTAAAGTATAAAATTGGTTCGTAGTAAAATTAAATTGCATTCAAATTTAAATATTGAGAAGTCTTGCCAATTGTCATAGGAAGCTAAAACATAGTTGAACATATGAATGTACGTATAAGGAGTGGAAATATTTTAATTTTAAATATTTGAAAAAATAAATTGTATGATTTATTTGATATGTAGGTAGATGTATGTGTACGAATATATTCATACATATATGAAGATTCGAAAAAAAAATCAATGAATAATTTCTTATTGTAGATAATTTAAATTTTTTATTATAAATAATTTAAATTATAGATATTTAAAATATTTTTAAATTTAATAGTATAAATCAAAAATATTATCTACTATTAAAATTAGTTTTATTTTACTATTTCATGCGAATTTGAACTTTTTTAAATAAGGTATCTCCGGCTGATAAGGCCTGGCAGATAATAAGGACTAATTGTCAAAAAACAGACAAACATTTTAACAGTAAAATTTTTTTCAGAGTTACTAATGAATAGACGGATGATATGAAAAGAATAATATGAATAGACAGAAAATTGTAAGTTTCAATAAAGGTTAAGTGTAATAATTACATTCTTGATATTTTTTACATTATTTGAGATATTGTTAAGCTTTTAAAAAATCAAATTTGTTAGATTTTAATGAAAAGTGTATTTAATGTTATAAAAAAGAAATCATCTCTTGAGTTTAATAAGGTATGACTAAAAAATTTCCTATTCCCTACAACATTCGTTAACTATTAAAACGAAATCGAAAAAGTACATTAATTTTTTATTCGCTCCCTTTGCTCGAAATTTAACAGAATCTTTTAGAATTCAACAAACTTTCATGGATCTTTTTTAGAAGAGCCTTATGGCAAGAAATGGTAAATTCCGAAAAAAATATTTGAATATTTTTTGAACAAAATCATTCTCTTTTCAAGTTTCATGTTTAGCTACAATACTTTTTAGTCTTTAAATTCAATCTGCACACTATAATTTTAATAACGCCTATTTTATAAATTTTCGTCAAAGTTGAATATTTTTATTTTAATGAACTGAATTACCTTGTTTTGTGATGATTTGTTGAAAATATATTTACGTTCAAAAATTAATTGGATATTTTTTTTAATTGTAATGGTTTTCTTTAGCTAAACCTTATTACCCCGTGATATCTTATTTAAGTTTCATGTTAAGTTTGTATAGGTAAGTCATCGCTTTATAATAATAAAAAGCTCTCTGTTTTTTTAAAGTAATTATTAAAAAACTAAACATAAAACTTGTATAACATCATGATAGAATTAAAAAATATTTAAATGATAAAAGTCGTTCGTCTTGAAGACATTAAGAACAGAAGTTTTTAAATCGTAATCGGTTAAACGCGAATGATAAGAGAAAAAAAAATTAAATTTTTTAAATTAATCGGACTTTTTGATAATTTGTATTGAATTTTAATTATTTTGTAAATTTATATATTGTAATCAGGAGCTTAAATAATTGTGTATATCAGAATGTTAAAAACAAATTTTTTAATTCTATTATTTATTTTTGAGATTTATTTAATAAAAATTATTGTAGCCGCAGATTTTTTAAGTGAAAAACGTAAGTTTAAAATATTTTAATATCTTTCGATGTTTAAGGTGTCGAAAATGTAAATTTTATTGTAGAGAGTTTAGAATTTAAAGTAGTACTCGTAATCAATTATAAATTAAAATTTTGTTTATATATTTTTCAACATCTTTCTTTTTATAAATTTCTAAAATGAATTGTTATAATTAAATTCTCCTACGATTAACAAATCATACTTGGTATCCGTGTAATTGTTATTAATTAATTTCAATTAAATAATTGAAAACATTTATAAATATTTAGTTTAACCGAAACTACTTAAGGATAATTAAATAATCTAATGTGTTATATGTAATTCTATTAGATGATAATTTAATTATAGTTGACAATATAATTATATATAATATATATATTTACATATTATGTACATAAATATATACATTACATATGCCAGAATATACGGGAATTTCGTATTTTTATATTCCTCGCATGTAACACAAATTAGCGACTAGTTACCACCCCTGTGAAATATATGAATATTATTATGTATATTATTACAGTCAGAATCATTTATTAAAGCTTGTGCAACCGGCCTTCGTTTACTTATGTGTACGGTTTACGTCTGTTGTTGACTCGCTTATTTGAGAATTGAAGTAGCTATATTGAGATTTGAAATTCGCAAGATCGGTATTGCAAATTAGCAAGAGGGCGGTCGTAGATCGGGTGTCCTTCTAACATATGTTTTGCGGCATATTTTTGAAAACTTCTCCATGACATTCAAGTTTTCGAAAAAAAGATTCTTAAATCTCTAAAGTATTTTATTTTGAGAAAATTGTTTCGATTTACTTTATTTGCAATTTTTTTTAATTCTTAAAAATTATTCTAATTTTTATTCGCAAATTTTCAAATAAAATAAAATGAACCAGTTTTTAAATGCTTGTTTTTATTAACAAATTCTATTTCTTGTTATTTTTCAATATTTTCTAAATGATTATATTCTGTTGAAATTAAGAATGCTCGGCTGCTATGGGACTTAAGAAAAACACAAAACTGGTATTATCACCTTCTTTGTTTATTTTTTTTTTCTTTCTTTTTATTTTCCTTTTAAAAATCGCGTTATTTTATCTTTATTTTTATCTCATGTTCAAGTTCAAAGTTAAAAACTAGTATCAATCTAGTATACTTATCCGATATGCTAGCTAGTGCATAAATTTCAACATGATTTCATCGTAGTCTTAAACTGTAAAATTACATATTCAAGATATTTAAAATTAATAAAGTTCGGTGTACAATATTGTCCACTTCAAAAGAGTGTGAATATGTGGAATAAATTTAGTATTGGAATAACATACTTCTAAATAAATAATTAACAAACAACGTATGTATGTATATTGTACATGTTATAAAATATTGTGCAACATTAATTACTTAATACAGATTAAGCAAATGTGAAGCTACCGATACAAAAAGTGTGTTAAAATCACATTTTAATTAAAATATTACTAGTGCTTTTCAGCTTTAAACTTAACTAAAATTTTTAAACAATTTTTACTTAAACAATACTTATAATAATTACAATACCATTTTTTGACATCGCAGTATAATTTGCACCTTAACAACAATATTGAAATATTTCGAAATTAAAAGTTTTGAGTACTAGCAAATAAATTAATTTTTGTGGTACATTGAAGTTTTGACCTAATTTTTTTTTTAATTAATATTATGCAGTATTAATTTAAAAATATCAATAATTCATGAAAAAGAAAAAAATGAGAAAATTCAGGAATAGCTTGTAAAGTAGCACTTTTCCCTTGAACAAGTGAAAATACTCCTCTTAAAACCTATTATTGCAATTTAAATTACTTTCATTCATATATCAAAACCTTTCAAATGATTACATATATTTAAGATGAGTTAAAAAAAAATTTAAAAATTCGTTAACGTAATGGCCGGAGTCAAAGATTAATTACGTGAGATAAATAATTATATTTTTTGATGGTATGGCATTTACCGTCAGCTTTCTGCATTTATAGAAATTTGGAAAAGCTTTCAGTTTCGGGAATATAAGGTACTGCAAATTCAAAATTTACAAATTTCGGGAGGCAATAATTTGAGAGGGAATCGAGATGAAAAAAATTTGGAAACGGGCTCGGGGACGAACGGAGAGAGTGAACTAAAAAGCACTGTTTTCAAAAAATTATTTTGAAAAGGGCTAAAAATGAAGGATTTGCTTATGATTTTTGAGATTTGAAACGCTAATTAGACTAGAATAAAGAGAATGAATTTACGCTTTTAACAGTATGCTTTAATGAGAAATTCGCTTCTTTTACTTGTAGTCTTATATAGCTATTTTCTTTCACAAAATAGCTATAAAAACTCAGTCTTTCGCCATGACAATAGGGAAGTATACTACTTGGAGAGACACTTGCCTTCACAATTATTTTTAATAAAATAAATCTATTAAAAATTTTACTATCCGTTTAAGAAATAAAATTGTGATATTTAATTGAACTTTTAATTATAATGATGTTTTTATCGCACAAACCCAAATGAAAGTGTGTGCTTTTTATGAAAACAAAATATAAAAATGCTGTTATTTAATTTTTATAGATTTGTAATTTAATTAAACATTTTTTATAGATTATTTAAAGAACAAGGGTTTTTGTATAAACAACTCTAATTTAAAAATTATTGTGTAATTGCTTGTATAAATCAGATATTTTTAATAATAATTTGATGTCATCAAGTTATTTGCGCAAAGATTTATGATTATAAACTATAGAAAATTTATGAGTTGTTCAGAACGATTATAAGGTCTTATTTTAATGAATGATTATTATTAAGAAATAATACGGGATAATAATGAATTTGAAAATTATATAAGAAGTAATTTTATTTTTTGAATTTTTGAAAAAATAATTTATGCTCGGCCATTATAATATTATTATAATTTATTATATAATGTTCTATAAATAAATAAAAAAATAAGTCATTAATTAAGATCGTACAGATCTTAAATTTTAAAATTTTTTCTTTTGATTTATATTACAGAAAGTCAAAATTTTAATTAAATTAAAATATATTTTTATTTTTTCTATTCTTCTTCTTTTATTTACCAGCTGATTTTTTAAAATCATGTGAAATCAAGAAGCCCCAGTTTACAAAATGTTCAACTGAAAGTATACAAGGACTTTTCAATAATATTGAAAATGGTTAGATTAAAGGTTTTTTTAATATAAAATCATTATAAACATTTTATTTAATTATATTAATATATATACATATATTAGGTATACCAGGGTTTACAGCTATAAAGAGCTTTGAACCGTTTACATTAAATAAAATCAGAATTGCACAAGGAAATTCGGAAGCTGTTAATATAAATGTTGATTTATCAAAACTGAAATTGTATGGATTAACCAAAATTATTGTCAAAGAGAGCAAGTAATGCACATAACTATTTTTTAACTTAACTTTCAAATAATTAGCTTTTGACAAAATTTAATTTACTTTTAACAAAATAATAATTTATCGAACAAATATTTTTGATTATATTAAATAGAGTAAGTTCTAAAGATTTTTCATGGAAAACTACATTATTGTTACCTAAGATGAAAATAGAAAGTGACTACGGCTTACAAGGACGTATTTTATTAATACCATTGAATGGAAATGGGAAAATGATTTTACATATATGTAAGTATTAACTGACCAACTTAACAACTTTTTTATTAGAATACTTTTAACACTTTTGTAAAAAATTCGAAAAAACAATGCAAGAAGGCAATATGTTTTTAATTAATTTTTTGCAAAAAAATTTAGCTGACTTAAATGTCGTTTTGTACACAAAAACCAAGTTATATGAAAAAGGTGGATTCACATTTTATAATGTTACCGATACAAAAATCGATTATAATTTAAATGGTTTCCAGTCATATTTTACAAATTTGTTTGGCGGAAATAAAGATTTAGGTATAAAGCTGATTGAGTAATTTAATATAGAAGAAAAATTTAAAAAATAATTTACTTTCAAATTAATTTTCCAGAGGAGAGTACAAACTTATTTTTCAATGAAAATTGGATGATGCTAGCTGAAGCACTAAGGCCAGTTCTTACTCAGGCCATTCAAGATGTTTTATTGGATATGCTACAAAAAATATTTCACTATATACCAGCTCAATTTTTTGTCTCAGACATTCCAACACCAAAGGAATTGTATGGGAACTAAAATCTAAAAAAAAACTAATTTTTTTTTAATGTGATTAATGATTACCTAATTGTAAAATATGTAGTATTTGTAGTCTTATAGTATAATTAGTAAATATTTTTGTTCATAATGTAAATACAGGATATTGTTACATGACACCTGGTTTTACATTGTTCGTCAAATAATTTCAGGGATGATTCTATGATCAATTTCAAGAAAGAAATTGTATTCTGTTGGGGAGGAGCAGAACTACTTTTTCGAGCTACAGCCCGTTGAAAAAAAAAGTTACCAGATTATACATGCATATAAACTAATGCAATTTTTATCCAAATAATGATATCCAAAATTTAAATATTCTTTCCACTCAAGGTTTTTACAGCACTTATAATAAATAAAATTTGAAAATGGTGACAAATTTTGTCTGTAAAAAATTTTTTATAACTAGAGGACTTGAATTAAAGCTTATGAAAATGGCCAAAATTCTGTAATAAAAAAACTTTAAAGTTTCTGAAACTTTCACGAAAAATTGTAGGGATAAAAAAAATAAAAAAATACAAAATGGAAAAAATTGGTGTTTTTCCAAAATTCGAATACATGGTATTCCGAAAGTACATAAAATACAAAATCAGGTTTTTTACAAAATCGTGTAATTTATTGCTTTCAAGCTCTTTAATAGCCCTTTCAGAAACTGTTAATTTGAAGAGTTTATCTTTTTCGGAAGGGAAGTTATAAGAAAAAAAGCTTAAGCAAGTAAATATTTCGTGAAAATTCGTTAAAATCCCTGTATCTCGGAAACCGTTTAGTTTTGACAATTAGTTCCAAACAAAAATTTTACCCATTTTTGATGCCCGAAACCGATTCATGATATCTATATATCGTACCTCAGTTTTATCCCGTTCTTAGCAAAAATCTATTTTTACACAAATTTTTTTTGTAAAAGATATAAAAGTTTTAGAACCCCGAACAGACGGAGAAGAACTTTTTCCAACACGTGTAAAGTTTTTACTTAAAATAAATTATTAAATAAATTATGCTCTATATAATACTTACAATGCATACTTATAGTTTATCCCACATTTCTGTACATATTTACATTTATAAATTTGTTCATTAAGATTCTTTTAATTTCGGTACGCCAATTTGTGTAAACAATTAATTTAATGTTAAATGTATATGTATGTATATACATATAAGAAATCATATTGTTGAATAGAAATGAAGCGTAAACAATCACAACACTATTCAATTTTGTTACAAATCGTTATTCACATATTTTTTTCCTAACAAGTAGAAAAAACGCATGTCTATGTCTTTTCCTTTACTAGTAAACTAATAATAGTAATGAAAATAACAAAGTAATCTTGTAAAACTTAACATAGTTTTGCAATGAAAGTATGTATTTGAAAAACTGCACGTAATTTACTTAATTCTGCACAACAGTTTTTTATTTTTCATATTTTGTGTCTTTTTGCTTTTTTTTAATTTTTTTATACATATTCTCTCACATTTAATGTACAAAAAAAAAGAGAAACTCTATCTATACGAGTATCTAAAAGCAGGAAAAACTCTCATACAATGGCAACAATCACTGAAACCAAGAATAAATGAAAGCTTAAAAATGGAAGAAAAATGTCAATTTTTAGCACTTCTCAAAAAGAAAATTCAAAAAAAAAATTTATTTTACTCTTTGTCTAATTACTGTTGTTTTACTTTGTAGTTTTACTGTGTTTACAAAACCTCTAGATTCTCTAGATACACAAATACATCTTGGCTACAAACTTATTTCTGTAGAATCTATGTCCCCATTTTAAAAGTTGCAGTCCTTCAAAATCCTAAAATTCCATTTTTGACCATTTATTGTACCGAAACTACCAAACGCAGAAGATTAGCGACTTGTATCCTAAACCATCATGCAGTACAGTCAAATATAACATATGCTTCTTCGTTCTGTATGATACATAGTTGAATTACGATATTACAACATATTACTCTATTCAATTATGCTGTATCGTAATATTACGACATATTACGATACAGAATAGTTAAACATTAAAATGACAAAATTGTATTTAAAATTAGCAGTTATTTGAATTTTCGGCGCCTTTTATTTCTGAAACTGCAACCCTTTCTCAGTTTCTTTAAAAACAAAAAGTTAATAGGAAGTGCCATGCCATCCAAAAATATATTAAATACTTATCATTAATCATTTACTTAACCCCCGAATTCGACCATTATGTTTACGTTTTTTTCAATTGATTTTTTTGTTTTTGTCAAAGGGTTTTTTGATCATCCGAAATGTATGCAATAATTTAATATACATATTTCGGTGTCGTATGAAAGTAATTTAAATGTAAAAAATCGCTTTTAGAAACGGTATTTTAAGATGTTTAAGGGCAAAACGACTATTTTAAAACAAAAAAACTACTACCAAAAACCTAACTAAACTCTGCGTCTAACATTTTTGTGAAACTATAAATATAATACATCTAAATTATCTTTATGAGGGCGTCAATAAAGGAGTAGTTACGTACATTTGTTTTGTTAGATAACATTTTGTAATTCTCAATGCTTAAATTTATAAGTTAGTTTGTACTCCTATTTAATATGATTTCTATGCCAAAAAAACGTTTATACCTTTTTACGAGTAGGAATGGTTCAGAAGTAGTATGTAATCAATACAATATTGTCAGTTTTGCAAAAAAAAAATATAAAAGCACGTTTTTTTCTCGCTGCAGTATTTATCAATTTTGAATTGACTACATTACTGATATCTCTTGATATAAAAAGTTTTTCTTTAAAATCATTTATGCAATTACAGAAATTATCCAAATTTCAAAAGACTCATACTATTAGCTCATATCATACCAGCAAAATTAGGCAGAAAAAAGAAGAAAATGTATATAAATATATGCACATACATGTATATGTATATATAATTAAATATGTATGCAAAAATGTAAATCATTTTTGCATATATACGAGTATTTAATAAGAAAGTTAAGAAAATTTGAAGCTTTTCTTATATACATACAAACTTAATAAAAAATACTTTTGAGAAAATGTTACAAACTTTAATTTTTCTCATTTTAAATTACAATTTGCTTTTTCAGAAATGAAAAATGAAAAGAAAAAAAAACCCAACATCGTTATTAGAAAAAAAAAGTTATAAAAGTGCAAGTAAAATTTTGAGACTTTTCAGTTCAACACCGAAATTAAACCTTACAAAGATAAAAAGTACGCGTACGTATTATTTGAATTCAATCAGAATTTATAATTATTTTATTTAATTTATGCAATTTAACAAATAAATTTTACTATAAAAAGCAAAATAATATATAATCGATTTAATTTGAATAGGTTTTAAATTTGGATTTTAATTAATTTTGAGTTTATTTGTTATGCAAAATTCTTCTTACAAAAATTTTCCATATTGAACTGAAAAGGAGAGTAAAAAATTTTCTACGACTTGTTTTTGCATTTTTTATTTGATTTTTTTTTTCTGTGGCACTCTAATATTTTATAAACGTGCATTTGTTTCAAAATATTTCGTAAGGATCCGACTGATCTATATTTGTAGTTTTGTTTTTATGTTTCGTTTCGGCATAACTTTTATAATAATATTTTTACTTCTACCGCATGATGGCATAACCAGTGATTTTATGACTGAAAAACGTAAGTACAAGAGTATAAGAGTAAAGTAGAAAACTTGAATAGAAGGAAAAACACATAAACAATGAAAATAAAAAAAAACATTTTGTGACATAAAAGCACATAGAAATATAAGTTGTTAAATGCAGTTTGTTTATAGTAACGCTTGTACCTAGTATATTACTGCGATAGTGGCAATAACGGTACATGTGTTGCTTTTATGTTAAGTCCAGTAATTCAATTGCATAATGAAAAAATTCAATTGCATATGGAAAAAAATATGTTTTGATATTGCGAAATAATCAGTAATTTTTTCTTATGTTTGTTTTTATTACTTCTTGTCATATTTTATTTAAGATTTGTGGGAATATAGACAAGTTGTATATAAAATACAAAAAATATTTAATTTTTAGTTATAAATAGCGTATTAAGCATCCATTGTATTTAATTATGTATATACATATGTATGCTAAATTTCATTCTACATGAATATTCATATAATTATGGATAAAAGTTAAAGTGGGTCAAATATTAAATATTTAAAAAATATATAAAAATGGGGTATTAAGTTGTGCTAATACCATGTTTATTTGTAATTTAACTAATTTAATTAATCAACATTCTTGTACATACTAGATCTGAATATTTTTTAAGTTCATAACAATCCTTAATATGTATAATTTTATATTGCTGGGAAAATTTTTATATAAAAAAATTAAGTACAATACATAGCTATAGTATATATAGTTATTAATTGGTTTATCGTGATCTGTTGCACCTATTTCGTGAAAAGTTGAAATTAAATTAAAATCTTACTAACTATTACTACTTCCTAGTTATTATTACTATCTTACTTACTACTAAAAGTTTGAAAATTAAAGATTATGGGCCACGTTTTTAAAGATCAAAAACTTGGGCCATATGTTGTAAACATTACAAACGGAATAGCAAATGATCACTTCATTATTATAATGTATGCACATAAGTTGAAATGCGCATATATGATTGCTAGTCTTTTGAGTATACACTTATTTTTTAGAGATATTGAGTGCACGCATGTACTTTTGTCTCTTGTCCTTAAATTTGCTTACAGTTTCTTATATTACACTTACAGTTTCTTATATTCTCAAATTTTTTGCATTCGCTCTTGAGAGTTGAAATTAAACTAATTAGATAATTTACAAACGATTTCATTTTTAAAATATTATTGGACAAAAGTGGAGCATGTGTGCACTCAAAAGACCAGCCTGCAAATGGTCAAACGTACTTAAAAAAATTAACATTTAATGAATTTTTTTTGGTGAAAATAAAATATTTTATAAAATTTATCAAACTTACAAATTTTTTCTTTTCGAAAAAATTATGTGATTCATGAATAACATTAATGAGAAAACAGCTATATGACAAATGCCAGAATTCTTTCAAAAATTTAAAAAAAGTAGCTTACAAATTTCGTATTTTTATACAGGAACATACATTAAACAAAAAACATGGCACTTACACCATTTAATTATTGTGAAATAATTTGAATTGAACTTTTTTATAAACTAAAATATTAATGAAAATTTAAATTTTAGCTGATGATATACAAGCATGTCAATTTTCCGATCCCGAATTCACAAAATGCTCAACAAAAACAGTACAAGAACTATTTGGTAAATTAATTACAGGTATTTAAAAATTATGCATATACTAATTCAAATTCTAATGTAAAAATTATTATACTTTCGTTAAATGTAGGGATCGATGGACTTGAAAATATGCCTGCTATTGATCCTATGAAAATTAATAAATTAAGAATTTTTCAAGGTGCTGGTCCTGTAAATGTTAATGCTTCTTTGGTAAAGGTTTCAATTAAAGGTTTTAAAAATGTCAAAGTATTAGAAAGTCGGTAATTATATAATTTATTTTTCGTATAAAAAATTGAATGGAAAAAATTAAAAATTGAATATAAAATTTCTAAAAATGTCTATCTTTAGGGTAAATTCAACAGATTTTAGCTGGAAAACCAAATTCATTTTACCAAAAATGAGATTAGATGGAAATTACGATTTAAATGGAAGAATTTTAATAATACCATTAAGAGGACATGGGAAATTATGGATTGAAGCCAGTATTTTTTAATATTATTTAAATTAAAATATATTTATAACAAACTATTGTACATAATTATAATTTAAATTACTGTTTTATAGCAAATATGAGCGTCATTCTCAAAACAAAAACTAAATTATATGAAAAAGGTGGTCATGTTTTTTATAATGTAACATCAACTCATGTCGATTATGATATTAGTGGCCTGAGATTACATTTAGATAATTTATTTGATGGAATCAAGTCTTTAGGTATATATGAAATTGCTTATTCACATATATTCATATATTTTAATAATTTTTATATTATTCTCTTTATTATTTAGAGGATAGTACAAATCTTTATTTAAATCAAAATTGGCGACCAGCTTCGGATGCATTAAAACCAGTTGTTGCTAAAACAATTGAGGATATTTTATTAGATATAATGAAAAAAATTTTCCATTTTGTTCCAGCTGATTTTATTGTAACCGACATCCCGAAACCATCAGATTTAAAGAAAAGTGGTTAAAATTTAATATAATCATAATTTTTATTTTTGTTTCTTTGGATTATTATAATTAAATTTAAGTTTTCTAAAATGTTGTTGACGTTTTATTTTCAATTTGTTTTTTTATATAATTCGAGTGGGTCTTTATAAACCAAATCTTCCAAAAATTTTTCTAGCGAACCTTATTTCGCAGTAGAAAGTCATACAAAAATACAAAATTTTCATTTATACAAAATCAAAACTTATGGGAATTTTCTGATGGAAAGTTTTGTTTTGAAGGTGCTGTTATTTTTAAAATTAATTTTTGGTTAGCTACATTTAATAATAATCACATATAGTTGGTATATTGAATAAGTAATTTTTATATTGATACCTATTATGCAGTTAAAAAAAAATTACATGTGATTTCCCCCAAAAGTATGCAAAATATCAGTTAAAAACAAAAATGATTTACGTTTTTTTAGTAATGCGTTAACCAAATGCATAGTTAACTGTATATTTAAAAATGAACATTACATTTAAAAATGAAAAATACATTTAAAAATGAAAAATACATTGAAAAATGTGAAATTGAAACTCAAACTTCAAATGCCAAAAAATCATACATGTGTGGGATCGCTGCTTTATATTGAGTACAAATTTTTACATTTCACATAATTAAAAATTTATGTATACACACATAAAGAAACATTTTGTAAATATTAAGAATTATTATGATTAAATTTTCTTTATTCTTTTTTTAAAAAGATATTTTTAGTTTCATTAGCACTTAATCATACGTCAGTCACACTTGAACGACTTAGAAGCTTCAAATTATTAAAAACTCAGGCAAAAAATGCGTGGTTATCGTATGAATAATATTTAAAAATTTTTATTGTTAGTTATTTATTTTGGAAAATAATCAAATCAACGACTTCTAATTATAATTTTCAAGTTGTTTTCCTGGAAAATCTATATAGAGTAAATATATATACATATATGTATAACAAACGCATAACATAATGAAGTATATGGCAAATGAAACCATTATCATAACATTGTGAGCAGTTTGAATTGTTTCAGTTTGAATTTGAGAATGTTTTCCATAAATTGAAAATATTCTCTTCCGAGTTCTTATATACATAAAAATTAATATGGAATTACAAGAAATAAATATTAAACTTAAAGTACAGTTATCATTTTCGAACATGCACTTTTCCAGATTTTGCAGTTTAGATTTATCAAACAAGTCAAAAATAAATTATCAGAAATATAATATTGCGTGTTTACAAATAAAAATCTTGCATCTTGAATTTTAATAAACTTTTGGTATAATTTAAATTAAATTTACACGACACACTATTTCATTTTTTTTAAAGACAACAATGATATGATGATTTTGGAATATATATAAGCCTACAATGTTTCGAAGACCATCTCTATATTTTGTAACTGAATCAAAGCAACAGTTACATTAAAAACTTCCATATTCTCCATATTCCTTTTTAATTTACATCTTTGCAATATTAGTTTTTAAGCGAAACATTAGAATTTCAATTTTGTATTCATCGAGTTCAAATGTTTTTTACACTTCAGTTGTGAGAAATCGTAATACATTTTGATATATTTGGAGAAATACCGCAATGACAATGTACTTATTTTAAATAATTTATTAAAATTATAATTTTCTTTCTAATAAATAATTAAAAAACCATTTACCGTTGACATAGTCAAACTCTCGCTATTAATTTTCAACATACATACATCAAGTCTTCTTATTAGTAAAATATTTGTGTAAACAAATTTTCCCATTCAAATTGTTTTCTACACCTACGAGTGGCAAAATCTTTTCAATCAACTACACTTGTTAATGAACTTTAAGTGAATCATATGGAAACTTTTTATATATGTAGATACTATATACATTCGTATATATACAAATATATATATATTTTTTTTTTAAATAAACAACTTTGAAATTAAAAATATTTTGAAGGACATTCAAATAATTTTTGGTTTTTATTTTTCTAAATAAGTTTTTATTTTTGCACTAAATATTAATTTTAGAGTCATTTGGACGAAAACATGAAATTTATTCTAGATTTGCACATTACAAATTACAATATTACCATTACCAAGTTTACCGTTATATGAAGTACTAACCTGCCATACTGGACGTCCTGGACCTGGCATCTTTATTTTGAATTTTTTAATTAAAAAATAACAATCGATACAATATTAGTTATATTTTGTTTAATTTCTTTTTTTAATTTAATTTAATTAAATTTATTTATTTTATGAAGAGATCACTTTTTAAATATGCAACACTATGTTTTTATTTTGGTTGATTTAGCTTTGAGAGTTGAAAACGAAATACCTGTAATCTAGCTAATACAACGCTTTTATATTAATATTTCATTTTTTTATTCTTCAATGAAAAGAATTTTAATTTTATTTTTTTTTAAAGTATGTATAACAAAAGTTATTTCATTTCCAAATCATCCATATTTTATATGTATTTTGGTCCAGGTACATAAATATATTACAATATAGATATATAATATTTTATATTAAAATATATGTTTAAAAAGATATGTATATACACACATATATAATACCGAAAAAAAAATTTGGTTTTATTACGAAATTTTTTTTTCTCATATTCGATAAATTTCTTCATACACATTATGCACATTATGTATATAACGTACATACATGTATGTTTTTATAAAGAGTATACATACTCGTATATACATACATACATAGTTTTACAGGCAAAACGTATTTGATGAGTAATAAATGCTTAAAAATTTTCACAAAAATAATTTTCATTCCATAAACATTGATCTTATTTTTTCCTGACGTGAAAAGAAAAACGATAATCAGAATAATTTTCAAGGCTATTCTTGTACCTGTATCTTTGATTATATATATTATATTTATATTACGTATGTAGGTAAGCGTATAACAAAATATATTTACATACATATGAATTGGAGCAATGATACACCGATTTATAATACTATTATTATGAAGAAGATCCGACTTTTTTTAATAAAGTGAAATAATAATTTTATTAAAATAATTTCTTAATTTAAATATAAAGTGCGTACTTTGTAAATAAATCTATGAGAATGTCTAGATACGAGTATGTATAAATAAAATTTGAAAAAACACTAACAGATTATACATAGCAAAAGAAATTTAGAATTTCGTTGTAATGTAACAATAGAAACAACCTTAAAAACTTCGTAAAAATTATAGTAAGTGACTTTTGCAAGTCTAAAAGTTTTACGAAAAAGAAAAGAAGAACCGCTGTTTTGTTTTGCCCTAAAAAGAGAATACTATTCCAATACTCTTATGCATCATAATTTTATAAAACTTGAAACAATGATATTTTGTACAAGATAACATTATTGAAATGAGAAATTTAGAATTTAATAATAAACTCCTTGTCTGTAAAACTCAAATTATTTTTTTAAATATTTTTATATGTATATTTTTTTTACTACAATCAAGAATAAAGACTATAAAAACTTTTCAGTATGGAAGCCTTTTTTATAAAAATATGGCGCTTTTTAAACTTTTTAGTTTTAAAATTAAACTTTTGAAGAATATATAAAAAGGTAAAATGTGAAAAATGGAAATCAATAATGAAAAATGGAATCTTATTGGAATAACGCATAAAAATAAAACAAACGCTTAATAAAACATTGCGAAAAATATACTAAATTTTTTTCGAAATCGAAATATTATTAGTTTATTTTACAAGCTAGATTATTTTTTAAGGAATATAAATATAAGCCAATATAAAATATAGATAATTATAGAATCTATAAATAGATTCATGAAACAAGATACAAATTCCTTTAAAACAATGTATGTATAATTATGTATGTTCTAAAAGCCAGAATTCATTAATTAGAGATCATTTTAGGGCCTGATCGTTTATCTCGCTAATTTAACGGGAAAGTGAGAAGAAAGTGAATAACTATTATATATTTGTATTATGTAATTTTCGAGTGAGAAAAATTACTCGGTACTGTATATCTTCTTTTTTCACAAAATGTATACGAAATTTATTCACTTTGTCCAACTTAAAAAAATGAGTAATCTTATTGGAAAAATTAAATATCCATTAGAAAAATGGAGAATTCTGATTTGAAAGTGAGTTAAATACACGATTAGATTGTTAAATAAGATGTCCTGATTTAATTATACTAACTAACTGAAAACATTCTTGATCTGTTTTGAAAAATAATTTTGATTGCAATTAAACACCTAAGAATAAATTTATCCTGAATCAAATATTGGCAGACCTTGGAATATTTTTTTTAAATTTTTTTGTTATTAATTTTGTTAAATTTTGGAATAATATATGCACAATATGTGTCAATATATGTGCGTACCTACTTGCAAACACAATATGTAGATATATACATATATGTATAAATAGAGGTAGGTATGTTTATACGTATTTATTTACTATGCTTGGTAATTTTAAACCAAATTGTACATTAGATACGAGTATATATCAGCTATGTATTTATATTTGCGTACATTTAACACAGTTTTATAAATAGTTACAAAACTATCTACACATGAGAGTTTAGATAGTTTTTAGCACGTTTCCAAAAAATTAAAAAAAAATGCTTACTAGTTTCAGCCTGTCTGTGGACACTTTTACAAAACTGCTACACCCATATGAAGGTAGAAAACTCAAACTTCATATATACATATGTACATAGAAATTTAATAGAAACTTATTTTCGTAGAAAATTTTTACCTATACCCCCCTCCCCTTCTAAAAATCATAGCTCTCCAAAAATGCCATTCCTTAAGTATTAATTGCAGAGAAATCGTAAGCATTTTTTTGAAATTTTGCAAACAGAGAAAAGTAGTGGCTGCCTTCTTCTACCGCGGCACATCATATTTAAATTTTAGAAAAACAAAATGGCGGTTAAAATTAACAGTTATATAAAATTCCTTTTTCCAAATTTTTGATATATGTATGTAATTTTTCCTCTAGACCTCAGATTGCAGGAGTCTGAAATTTTAGTAGCCTTTAGACACTAATAAATACATATGTAGTTCATTTCGTTAGATGAAGATTTTTCCCCACCCTCACCCCCTCTTAAGTTTTCGTCTCTTGAAGTTTGTAAAATTTGAATTTTTGGCACCTTATATTTCTTAAACTGCAACCTTTTCCAAATTTCTATAAATGCAAAAAGCTTTCTCATTTCACGCAATTAACTCTTAAATTCGAGCATTATGTTAGCGCTTCCTTCAATTTTTTTGTATTTTATTTCAAAGATTGCACACATTGTTCATTCTTAAAAGCAGTATTTTCTATTGTTGAATTGAAAAGTGTTACATTACAAACCATTGATTTCAATTGACCCCAATTTATTTAAATATCTTATATGAAATAATAAAAAGTATTTCGACCATAAGAGTATTAACCACAAAAATATTTCACTGAACAATGAAATATTTTTCATTGAATTGATCAATTCAAATGAAATGTCAAACAAATGTACTGTTAAATTAATGCTATATATATACATACATATCTATCAAGCCCAGACAACAAATTAACAATAAATTCCAAATTTATTTTTGGATTTATTTGTGTGAAGGAAATTGGTCAATATTTTTGGCTCTACTGATTCAACATATTTTTTGAAATTTAAAATTTAAATTTCAAATAAATCGGTTGGTAAATTACACCTGAAAAATGCGTTTAAAAAAATTTTAATTTTTAGCACAGAAAACCTTTCTTGTCTTCTAAATGGAAGGTTACTGAATTGCAGAGTAAAATTTTTGAATAAGAAATAAAAATTAAAAATAAATTGAAGAAAAAAGCAAAAATATAATAATTATAATCTAGATGGCTTTTAAAACTATACTAAATAAAATGAGATTCATAAAGAATACTCAAAAATTTCACAAAAAAAAAATAAAAAAATATTTCAATCGGCATGCTTCGAAAACATAAAACATTAAGAATTGTTTTTTAATTCATCAGTTTCTCCGAATCAAAATTTCGGAGAATAATCTCAGCTTGGTGGCCTGATAGATACTCGTATATATATGGTATTATGTTAAATAATGCGATTGTGAATATATCACAATTATGTACACGATTCATTACCATTGTGAACATAGCATGATTGTGTATTTGTTTGTTTTTTTATAACGCATGTAACTTTATATTGCATTTTATTAAATTATTTTATATTTGTGACGGTTATTTTTACATATTTAATTTATTTTTACATAATAGGTTTGTCTGGAATAAAACTTGCAAAACTTTAAAAAGAGAAACAATGACGAAATTTCTCTCAAAAAGAAAAAAAAATTTTACTTAAAAAAAAAATAAAGCAGATAGAAAACTTGAAAAAACTTTTAAAAACTTTATAAATAAAGGATAAACATCAAATTTCAAGGTGTTTATCAAATATGAACAAATATTTTTTGGTTATACCAAAAATCGAAAACTTTGGTTTTGGGTTATAACATAAAAGTGTGAAACTTAAAAAAAAACAATTTCTGAAATCATTTTGTTTATTTAATTTTTAATTAAAAAATTTTGAAAAAAATGTTATTCTTGATGAAAACTTTTTTTTGAAAAATGAAACCTTTTGACATAACCAAGAAAAACATATGTTTCGACAGCTGTAAGATTTTTAAAAGTTTTTAAAAGCTTTCTTATACCAAACAGACCTATTATATACATATATTAAGAACTATTAATCAAACTAATGTCTTTATATCTAATAAGTCCCAATGCTCAGAGAGAAACTTGAAAGCACGACCTTATTTTATATGGGTTTTTTTAAAACAAAATGGCTATTTTTTGAGAAGAAATATTAAAATAAATTCACACTTATTATAAAGCAGGTAAAATTTAGAAAATATATTTGAAAAATCAAAAATATATATTAATATTTTCATTCATAATTATTTTAAATTTCTTGAAATAGCGAAAAAACAACAACCACAACCTTCGCCTTCAACGTTTTATATGTTACTGAAAGCATTTCATTATTTTTAAGTGACCAGCTTTTTTCTCTCATAGGGTAAGTTAACTCAAGATATGGGAAGTAACTTTGGTGTCAAGTTGAAAATATAATTAATGAAAGATAATTATTAAATATTGATATAAATACGTAGTATAGAAAAAATTTTTAGAGGGAATTAGAAAATAATATCTAAAATACAATCAAATATTATTTTTTAAATACAAATTTTATATACACTTCTAAATTTTACCTCTATTTGTGAGAAAAATTTTTAAAACTTAATATATTACCTGAGTAAAAAAATATTTAAAAGGTTTTGAAAAAGACAATAATATATTTTATGACCGGATTCGAATATCTTTTTTATTTTTGAAATAAATAGTATCTTACGAGTAGCAAATGACTCAAAAACTACGATTGTACAATGACAGGTAGTAGGTACTGATGTAAATTTTTGTCCGTGTGCGTTTACTTTTAAGACTCATACACAGGCAGGGCCATTTTATAAATAGATTGCTCTTGTTTACCTGCTAATAAAATATGAAAGAAGTGCACAACAAAATTTTTGAAGCACTCAATATAACATGTTTGAAATAGTTTTAAAATAATTATTCAAAAAAAAATTGATTGGAATTAGGTACATACATATTTATTTTTAATAACTTAAAAACTAACTGAAATTATTTGAAACAATTTTATAAGTAACGTATAAATAACCGAAATGAGATAATTCAAATTGTTGAAATGTGTCAACCTATATTACTTTTATTAACATTTTTGTTAGCCGACACTACTCAACTTACCTTATTGGGAAATACAAAATGTGCATGAAAAATCATACATCCTTCCTCATTAACATTTGAAACCATACTGAAATATGAATTTCAATTTTTTTTTTCATTTTTTCTTTCCTCCTGCCTTTCTTTCTTTTTCGTGCAATAGAATTTAAACGGGAAGCTTTTTAAAAAATGTGTATAATATCCTGAGATTTTTTAAAATATTAAACTCTTTTTTACGTAAAAGAAAGAAAAAAATAATAAGAAATATGACACGATCAGTATTCAGTAGCATTTAAAGAAAAAAACAGGAACGAAGCCAAAAATTCGTAATATTTCGTAAAAAAAATTGAGTATTGGGACTTGTTAGATATAAAGACATTAATCAAACAATAAAGAATGAAGGTCTTTAGTGTTTGTTAAAAGTGTATTCGCTGTGTTGTTTAATATAATTAAAATCCGAGAAGGAACTGAGGTCAAACTCCACAATTACTACGGCCATCTTTTCTCTTGTAATTAACTCACTGGGATTCTGTTGATGACCTCGGCATAGATCTTGATAACATTTCACTACATGGAAGCGAAAATTAATTGCATTTTATATAACTCATTTCAATCACCGTACAGAGGTGATATTAACAACAATTGGACTGTTATTTAGCTAACAGATCTTTAAAATTATATAGGTAACTTGTTTAAATATATGGTTTATTTCCGAAATATCTACTACAAAATCTTCGTTATGTTCATGGATATTAGATTGCGAAACACTGTTTATTACAGGCTTCTACTATATAGCCAAACCAGAATACAGTTTATTACATATAAATAAGGATATGCAACTATTTCCACTTATCTGGGTGCATCAATTCCCATGCTTTAATGTAGTGTTTCCAAAATGCACATTCCAATGGCCACCTTTTCCCAATGGCCACCAAATATTAATTAATATACAAAACAATACAAAAATTAAAGTGCTAGCAACGGCTCGACAAAAGAAACCAAAACCATCAGCAGTAAGAAATAGGATAACATCTACAAGACGAATGGAACCACTGGTGGTGGATCAAAAGATCAATCAAACTTCTTGACGCTAACAGCAACCAAAATACTACTATCACTCCGAGCTAAAAGACCGCCTGAATTAGAAAAAACAAAACAGCAGGGAAATGAGACCAATATAAAATCCGGATCTTTGTTTTCGATAGCCACCACGTGGATCAGTTTCATTACTTCCATTTTAGATCATCAACGTTACAGCGAGGTCATTTCTCTCAATGATAATGATGCAGGTTTATTATACAAGTGGTTTTGAAAATAATATGCTTTCTGCGAGTGTCTATTTCAAACAGACAGTAACACCCTCATTGCGCACACATCAAAACTTGCGAGATAGTTGATGTCGCAGGTACCTTGTAGATTTCGTCGAATATTTAAGTAGTAAGTAATAGAAATTACTCTTATTTCATGAGTTGTACTGTTAGCTTATTCGAAAGTAACATAATGCTGACAATAAATTTTTTGTGAAAGTTTGGAACAATGATCAGCTGATATTTATTTGGGCTATGATTTTCATATTGAAATTATTAAATTCTGACGTAAGTACCATCAGATAATTTTAGCCCAATATGTATCAGGTGGCGTACTAAATATGTGTGTAAAAATGCGACAGTCACAAATTTGCGTAAGTTGCTTTGCAATTCACAAGTGGTTTGGTACTATGTAACGAAATTGCATCGCAATATATTAAATCTGGCAGCATTTTCCAAAATTTTTTGTTTTTGACATTTCTGACAGTTTTTTCAAAGTAAACATTTGAATTATTTTAAAATACTCATACATTTAAATGTAACGTATGTATATTAATATCAGACATCCATTGCTTAGATCAAGGCATTAAGCATGTCGCCTACAGGCGCAAATAAAAACATCATTTAGTCGCAACTATGCAACTATCAGTTATCAAGCAACAACGTCATCATTTAAAGAAATGGGAGGGAAAAAGAGGGGAATATGTAGGAAAAAAGAGGGAAGAGCAAAAGGGCAAGTAAAATAAAATGACGAGCACAACTTGAAAATAATAATAACAAAAAATAGATAATATAGATAAATAAAGACGAGAGAGAAAGACAAGGAGAAACGAAAATATTACTACAAATTTAAGTTAGACCAAAGGCTAGATCTAAGAGTATACTTACTAATAGCAGAATCAAATGCCAAATAATCAGAATTAACAGAACGCAACATTCTAGTGACATGGCGGGCAACAGAATCATGGCGGACAACAGAAGACTCCCTCCTCCGCGAAAAACTCATGACCCGACACTTAACAATGTTAAGTTCCAAGCCATTTTTGGGACCTGATACCAGTCTCAAAAACAATCCAAATCGCTCTGCAACTCTAGACAATCAACCTCTGACCAAACCGTCCTCACAATCTTGGAGTCATCTGCAAAATTATAAAGCGCGGAACCCACAACAGAACCAAAAGCGTCGTTGGTCGCAACTAAAAAAATTATGAGACCCAAATGGCTACTCCACAGAACAGCCGACCCGGCACAGTTGACATCAAACAGAGCAAAACGGAAAGAAACCTGATAAAATCTACAAGACAAATATGCAGAGCAGAATAGAGACCTTACTACTAGCATCTGTTAAAATAACATCGACCTGACCACCCCCCTCCATAATATTAATAGTATCCGAGGCGGTATTGTTAATATGAAAGAGGCGAGTATTGTTAATTTTTTAAAAAAGCGATTATTGTTAATTTTTGCACAAACAAGTAAATGAAAATATGCGAAAGAAGTATTCAGTAGTACCACTTTTGCTATTTTCACATACGAAAATTTGCGATATTTACATAGTGTCAAGATTGAAAACGCGAAAATAGGTTAGCGAAAGTAACACTACATAATAGGTCACTAGGGTTTTCATATACGTTTTTCATCAAACTTAGATTAAATCGTAAATTTTGTTTTAGGTGTTGTAAACAGCATTTAAGAAAAATGTAAACTAAAAGGTGCCAATGAGCCTTCAATTAATACGAGTACATAGAAAAATATAAATTTGACTCCCAACTTAAATTCACCTTATATAATCGGATAAGCCTGAAAAGATCATCATTTTGTTGAAAATAAAATTGAAGATTTTTTTTTTGGTGTATGAAAAAACTCCCTTTTATTTTATATTATACGATTAACTTAAAATTGGGATAAATGGGAAAGTTTTTTTTCAGCCGCAGGTGAATTTACATAAATTTTGACAAACAAAACTTGAAATTATTTTGAATGAAACAACACTTTTTTCTGTTTTCAAATAAGTAGGTAAAAATATATGGCAAAATCTAAGATTTAACCTGAATCTGATGATGTAAATCTTGTTTGACATCAAGCGTAGTAAATAATGAAAATTAATTTCTGTATATATAAAAGACAAAATTTGCTGATAAAGAAAACTTTGGTTGACATCAGAGTTTGTCTGATGGCAGATAATAGAAATTACCCTATTTTCATCCGGCTTACTCTCAGTTTTTTTAGAGTTCATTCGAATTTTAAAATATATGTCGTATATTTATTTTAAATCGTCTTTTTGGATTGAAAATACCCTCGTAAAAATTAGCTGGTGTATAGCTGGACCAACAAATGTCAACGAAATTGATTTGACAACTGACATTAAAAAAGTCGAGAAATTTTTATGTACGTCGTGTTTTACTTCAAAATTATTCCGAAATAAGTCGGAGAAATCGATGACCAAATGTAAAATTTTAATTAATTAAAAAGATTTTTGAAAAATAGGAAATAAAGTTTATGAAAAAAGTACATTTAAAAGGTTTAGATACATTGAATTCAAAAGAACATTTTTGAATTCAGAACCATGTCTAAAAATGATGTCGCAAATGGAAATGTGAATGCCAGTGATTTTAGTAATGTGAATTGTGATACCAAAGAAAGTAAAGTAAACTTCCAGGACGGGCAACCGGAGAAAGAAAATGTGCAAGAACAGAAATCACGACCTCAACAAAATGTGAGACAAATTCCGATTTATGTTGAAGGTCGTGATGAACCATTAATGAATAATGTTGATTTAGGTGCGTCTTTTGGTGGAGCACCAAAACCAACTGGCTCCACTCCTGAAATACCACGACCGTCATCTTCTATTTTTAGTCGAGTTAAAGACATTCCTGTTAAAGTTATTCCGAATTTCGATGCAGGGAGACGCTCAGCATCTCCAGCTACTGCAAGGAACATTCCTATACATGTACAACATTCAGCTTCAAAACAAAGCCAACACAAACATACCCAGCAGCAGCGACATAATATTTCTCAAGACGAAGAGATACGCAAGAGTCCATCGCCATGTCCACAGGATCCAATAACCAAAATTCAACTGATTCAAAAAGAGATAATACATCTTATGGAAAAAGTTGAAGCTTTTGAGGGAACAAAAGAAAGTAAGGAATATGTTTACTTGGATGAGATGTTAACTCAAAATCTTCTAAAATTGGATACGATCGACACAGATGGAAAAGATAACATTAAAGCAGCTAGAAAAGAGGTAATAAATTGTATTAATAAATGTATTACCGCATTGGAAACTAAAGCAGGTGCTAGTGCTACTGAACCTAAAACAGCGGAAACGTAATTTCATCAATAAAATATACACAAAACAGGTATATTTTATTGATGAAATTACCTCATAAATTAAGAAAAATGGATAATAGTCAAAGTTTTTAAATTAAAATAAATTAGCTGCTTATCATGGTAAATAATGAAATTATTATTTTTATATCTAAACAACTAAGAGAGGCTTAGTAAGATTATTTTACTTTTTAGTGAAATGTCAATCAATTTCTAAATTAGAAATTTTTACCTAAAAATCACTTGTTTCACTTTATTTAAATGTAATATAATATGTAAGAACTGATTTATATTATAATTTAATTGGGAAATTGTCTTATACTTTTCGAAAATATTATACAAAAAATGTTCTAAAATGCACTCAGCACGGTGATCTTATGTTTTATTCTGCAATAGCAATTTCCTAATTAAATTTAACTATAATAAGCGTGGTATCAATATATCTAAGTAGAATCTTTAATTTGAAATTTTTTTCTTTTTTATTTTATTCTCATTTTATTACTTTTAAATAATACTGAATCGTCCAACATAAATTTTGCGTTAAATATATACATATAATATAAATCTACAAATTTATCCACAATAATGAATTACTTTCGTTAATTATTAATTACTCTTAGCATAATAATATATTGAATTAAATAATTTATTAAATTATTAATTTAAACATATGGAAGTAAAAATAAAAAATTGAAAAAATTCTTAGTTTTATTTATTAAAGAATATATATTATTATTGTATAAAGCTTTAAAATTTTAAAAAAGTTTTGCAAAATGATTGCAATGAGTTTGCTAACTGACTCAAAAAATATTCATATATATCCGGTTACGAGACATCTAATAATTATATTCGACTTCGTTAACTAAGTTTAACTCAATTTTAACGCTCGCAAATTATTTCAACCGCATTTGGTTCCATTAAAACCGGTTCTAAGCAACGGTAAACCGTAGATCCAAGAATTTCATCCAGTAAAAAATTGACTAAACTAAAATAATTTCAAATAACTTAAAGTTTGGGTATGTTATATAAAAAAAAATTATTACTTTTCATCAGAAACAAACCGCCACAAATTCATTTGTAAGAAATGTGTATCAACCTGAATTTGTTGTAGACCAAATTTACTAAAAGTTTTTAATCGAACACATTCCAAAAATGTTTTTAAACTTATTTTTATGATTCCAGTTATAATTGAAACTTTAGAAAACTCTACTGAAGTAAAAATTTCAATTCGTTCGGAAAACAATTTGTGAATATTAGAAACATAGCTAGAATCCAATTGAGAAGAGCTATAATTAGACCAATTGGAACGGTATTGCTGTTTAGAATTTGTTAAATTACTAAAATGTGTTTTTCTACTAGAATCACTGCTTGGAGCTGATATTCCTAAATTCCCAGACTCATATAAATTTGCAACAACATTCTCAATAGCAGTTAGTTCCTGAGGAATAAAATTAATCCTTTAAATTATAAATGAAAAAAATTAATAGCAATTACTTACTTCCACTACTCTTTTCATTACAGCACGTACTGTTCTTGGTTCGAGACAATTTAACCAATCACGGGTCTCAATACTTTTGCGTAGCATCTATTATTTAAAATCGTGCATTACTTAAATTTTATTATGTATTTAATGTTGTGAGCTACCTGCGATATATTTATTCCTTGAACACGCACGTAAGAATCTAGTAAATTTTGGGCAACTTCCCGCATTTCTCCTATTACTTCGGTTTCATGCGACAATGTTGTGCTAAGCTCAGAATCTATATCATAAAGCTCATCAACCAAAGATATCTAAAACAGTAAACATCATAAAATTTTTTCAATTCTTTTTTAATTTATTTACAAGTATATGAACTCCGTTTTGTTCCATTTCTGTACATGTTTTCGAAAGAACCAAGAGAAGACTGGGAGGACTAGTTGAATTTAAGTCACTAAAAGAGTTCATCGTTTTCGAAATGTACCTCAAAAAATCTGAAATACAAAATGTTATTTTGAAAATTATTTAAAGAATTTCCATTCAATAAGAAACCTATCAATAAATTTTCCCTTATTCCTTCAACACACAAACTTCCTTTCAAATCAGCCTTGATATTAAATGACCAATTTGTTTTCAAAAATATATGCAAATCTTGCAATACCCCCTTAACTTTTTCAATAGTTGAAATGTATAGTGACGTTATAAGTTCATTTAAATTTGAAACACAATTATCAGTTTTTGCTGAAACTAATGATAAACGCACAGAGCTTAAATTGTCTGTAAAGTGATCTTTTAAAGTTTTAGAATGGGATTGACAAATATGCTGTGCAGCGCTCACAATTATATCAATCGCAGATCTATTGAGTTCAACACCAAATCCTGCTATATTTCGCATAGCTAAGAGCCGTCTATGCAATCTATCTAAGCCCCGAAGCATAAGCTCTGTATTGCCAAAATCAGTTTCAGACTCAACCCTGTCTTGAACTAAGGATAAGTATTTATCTATGTTTTTGTTCATAAATGAATTTAAGTCTTTCATGGCTGTTTCCTTAAAGTCGTCTCTGAAGATTTTAAGAAATTAAATAACATTTAAATTACTTATTACATTCTCTTTTTACCTTTCATTTTCGATATCCTTATTCAAAAACATATCGTAGAAGGCAGTTACAACTAGAGTCATATCATTTAAAAAACTTTCTATTCCTAAGTCCACAAATTCAATCATGTCCAAATCTGTTTGATCTTGCAGCATTATAATTTGTTCATGTAATCTTTTCGTCGCACATTGAAGCATTTCCGATGCAAGCTCACACGGATTTTCATTTAACTGTAACAAAATCTCCCCAGTCTCTGTCAGTGATTGTGCTGAAGAACCGCGCTGGAAGTCTGTCCTTAGTTTTTGTTTTAAATTTTCCATAATACTGTCGCCTTCATTTTGTATACCTCGAAACGAAGGTTGTTGCCCATATTGCTGGAATACCTTCTGAGCATGTTTATAATCTTGAACAGCTTGAGCATATTTGCCATTCTCTATTAAACTCTCAAGTTTTGACGGAAGGGAAGACAAAAATTGAAGACGTTTTAACAAAGAATGTTTCTCGGATAACTTAACCAATTGACTGCGTGACCCTTCAAGGGTATTTGTAATTTGTCCACTAAAAGTTGTTATTGCGTTCATTTTTTCTTTTAAAAGTTTCATATCCACTTCCATTTTTTTGAAATCATTTTTCATTTTTCGTATTGTATCTGTAGCAGATATAAATTTATTATAATTCTCATACACTAAAGTTTGCATTTCGCTGTGTAAGGTTTGTGTGTCTTTTACAATAAGTGCTTCTGTATCCATTATTTCTTTTAAACTACATTCCTTAAAAATAAATAAAACAAATAAGATAGGTATTAAAAGCTCATCTTGTTGAAATCAACGTTGTTTGATTTACCTTTAACAATTTTTCTAAATATTTTTCTGAGTCAAAATCAGTTCCATCCATATTATACGGATTAATATTTTGCTCCTCCATTTAAAAAAATTTTTCTCTCAATTTTTTTAATCTTAAAACACTTTTAACAATGATTTCAATGATTACGATTTCTAGTAGCTTTTTGTTATTTAGAAACATGCAGTGCATACTAGACATGTACTTACATATAAAATTTGAGTTATGCATTTCATATAGTTCAACGTCAGTGAAAGAACCGAATAAAAAATAAGAATTCAAGAAGGTTGTGCAAAGCTGCCAGTTGTTATTAAAATTTATTGAAAATACTGACAGCAATCAATTAAAAATATATAGCGATAATTCGAATTTATCTTTCAAATCTGAAAAGTACTTTTCAAACATGCTTTACAAGAGAAAAAGAAAAGTTTATTTTTTCGTTCTAAAACGTTGGGCGCTATCATGTGATGGTGGATGTTTCTTGTATGTATTTAATTTATTCAGGAAATTTTTGCGATTTGCTTTGTGCAGTTTCGGCTAGTTTAATCCTTTTATGTCTGAGCCGTCTTATGAGGCTAGGTTGGTGTGGATTGATTTGCAGTGTCATTAAAAGAGTTGTTATTGAAGAAGTTGTCACTGACATCCAGCAGTTTGTGTCGGGCCCATTATGGCACGTTTACAAAACGGATTTATGTTAGAATTGATGTAATAAAACTTAGGTGTGGTAATAATGATACAAAGCTATCATTCCAGTGGTTATAGGAGAAATGTGGAATCTAGGCTTATTTGTAATTTAAATTTACCGTTATATTGCTTTTTTCTTGTTCTACTTTTATTAATTTAATTACTTTTTTATCGCTTTTTCTAGTATTGTTCTTACTTTCTCACTGTCTGATGCTTTGTATATTGTTAGTGTTAAATTATTTTGTGCTTGTCATGACGTTTATTGCGCCTTTTGGCGATATGTTCAATGCATGATCTAAGCAACGATTGTTTGATGTTATTCAACGAATCATTAGAGTTTTCATATATGCTTCTCAGATAAATTTTTCCTTTTTTTTATTAGTTTCAGGTTTTTCAATATCTTGAAGATCCGGATTATAAAAATCATATTTTCATAATTGTTATAATTTTAATGACATTTGCGATTAAAAATTAGGACTTTTTTATTCAGGGGGAAAAGTTTTTAGTATATTTCTTCATGAGACAAAAATTAAAAAATAACCCAGTTCGGTTATAAAGCTACATATTTGCAAATAATCAGAGAATTACACTTTCCTGCAAATAAAAAAAAAACTTTCATACAAATGTAATAAAATGGGCCCATTTATTAGCTAACAATAAGTGAATAATAGCTCAATTTCAGCCAATAATTTAAAAAAAAATTGATCCAAATTGAAACAAATTTGAAAAATAAAAAAGCTGCGAATGTAAAGGTATTTTTGCTGTATAAAATGGGATATTTATTCTAGGTAAAGAGAAATTATATGAGAATATAAAAATAATTCCAGTGGAATTATTCCACATAGAGTAAATTCTCAAGACAAATAAGAGAAACAAGATTTGTTTCTCTTGCGTTTCAAGAAGGGATGTCGAAGATTTTTCTTTTTGCCTTTTGCACGATATTTAAAAAATATTTATAGAGCGCGGTTTTTAAAACGTCAAAGTACGTATCAAGATTATTCCTTTTTTAAAAAATGTTAATTATGCAATAACACGTTAGGTGTTTTTTTTTTGCGATAGAACTTGCAAAAACTTTAAGAGAAACATTGACGAAATTTCCTTCAAAAAGAAAAAAATTTCTCACTTAAAAAAGCAAATAAACCAGACAGAAAACTTGAAAAAACTTTTAAAAATAGGTGATAAATGCCAAATTTGAAAGTATTCATCAAACATAAAGAAATATTTTTTGCTTATTCCAAAAACCGCAAATTTTGAATTATAAAAGTGTGAAACTTAGAAAAAACTATTTTGTAAATCAATTTTGTTTTTTTTATTTTTTTTTAATTGAAAAGTTTTAAAAAAAAATGTTATTGTTGACGAGAAATTTTTTTTTCAAAAATAAAACCTTCTGACATAACCAAGAAAAACATGTTTCGACAGCTGTAAGATTTGAAAAGTTTTTAAAACACTGAATTTTACTTTACAAAACTTGCAAAAACTTGAGAAAATGAGAATGTCATTATTTTCTCTCATTTTTGTTCAAAAAGTGTTATCCTAGACACTTTGCGTGCAAAAACTTTATAAAGTTTTTAAACACTTTCTTATACCAGACAAACCTTTTTATTATTCTTTTTTCATTTTGTTCATTTATAAAATTGTAAAATTTCCGAATGAAATAAGAGAACGCATGTTAATTCACTTATTTAAGTAAAAAATAATAAAACCCGAGGCTAGTTTTAGAAAAGTCAAGGTATTTAGGTTCGTTCATGGGGTTGTATTAAATTTTAACTTATCTTAATTCTTAATACAACATAATAAGCTTTATCACAAAAGTATGTTTTTTTTCACCAAGAAATAATAGTTTTTTTTTTACAAGTCGTATTAAGTGTAAGCTGCCTTTTGCAATACGACAAAATTTAAGATTAAAACATAGTTAAATTGAAATGAGTGTTTACTTATCGCACTGAAATTATCTGACAGTGCTCAGACTATACATAAAAATTTAACAATTTGCTATGAAAATTCTAACCATGTCGCAAGTCATCTGCTCGCTGTTCTAAACTATCACAAAAAATTCATTGTTAGTTTGCTTTTAAAAAATTTAACAGAAGATCTGACGAGTATAGATTAAAATATTTTCTATTACGTATTTCACACAAAGTCTAATGTCAAACGGGGTTTACTTTCCTCAAAGTCATATCAAATCGTAGACTTTATCATGTATTTAAACATCGTATATTACCCAGCATTTACACATACAAGTTACTTGCAAGCAAGTTTATATAATATTAATTGTCAATTAGTTTTTCGAAATGTCAAATTACTTACTATTATGACGTAGGCGTTTAGCAAGTTAATTTTTGAAAATGTCTTTGAGAAGAAAACAACTAGCAATATATATAATTGTTTATAAATTTTAGAAACCATAAGTTTGCTAAGTTTAATTTTTTCAAAAGAAAATTCAAAAATTTTAAATTAAAAAAAAAAAAAAATCAAAACAAAAAATTTTTTTTTGTGAATTTCTCAATATGACAAATTACTTGCTCAAATTACTGGCAGCAAAATTTTCGTGCAAGTTGAACTGCAAGTAAACAAGCAAGTAGAAATATTTCAATGTGTTAGTAAAATTTTTGTATGTATTGCAACTTTCTTGCAAGTAACTTGTACGTGTAAATGCTGGTTTAAGCAACATATACCATGTAAACGTTTTAACCTAAAAATTTTAATTAAATCTGATCTGATGTCTGATGGCATACCTTATAGATTTCAAATATTTAAAACATTGCTGCCAAAGTTTGGCATTAAGGTGCCGTAATACACTTTTCAAATTAAATTGAATCTTAAATACGAGTATTACAATCTGGTGGAAAACTTCCAAAAATTTTTAGCGGAGTTACAAATTAGGCCGTTTTCAAGTTCAAGAAAATTTGGCAATGCCCAAACTGCTTAAAGTGGACTGGTTGAGTTGGCTTGTTGTTTGATTTGATAAGGGAAAGCCTTTACACGTTGGAGGTTGTGTGAAAAGTGTATATGTAATTTAATTTTACGTAAAGACAAGAGTTATAATAAACTTTCATTTTAGTATATAATCACAAATTGGTTTGAAATAATTGCAGAAAAATGGTGTCTAAATCAATTATTGTAGCGATTTTATTAAATATTATTTCAAATGTATTTGCAGGATGTGCAAATCCTCAAATTTGTAAGTGCATACTTGTCTGCTTTTTTTAATCTAATTTATATATGTATGTATATTTAATGGACAACAATTTATTTATAGCACTTGTTAAATTTTTTTTTTAGCAAATATTAACTCATTTAACACGGGTGATGCCACAATTGTAACTAAAATTGCATATATCGCTGAATTTTATGTTGGTTGTGAGAATGAGGAAACACCACAACTTTTTGTAGAATTGGAAAATAAAATAATTCCACTTGCTAGGGTTGGAGACAATACTTATCAAGTAAGTGTTAAATCTAATTGTAGCCGTTATGCGTTTTCCACAACACGTATTTGTTTTTTTTATTGTAGATAAGTTGGATTGAAGATATTAAAAAAGCCCGCAGTGGTGATTTCAATGTCCGTTTATTTGATGAAGAAGGATATTCCAATTTACGTAAGGCACAACGCATAGGAGAAGATTTATCTACAGTTAAATCATTATCTGAGTTTGTAATAAACGCCACTGGTGCTTACAAAGGGCCGTGGGTGAATTCAGAATTATTAGCTATTCTAATTGCGGGTATTACTTCATATTTCGCTCTAACTACGAGAAGCAAATTAGTTTCTTAAATTATGGGAATTAACTAAATTAGCAGAACAAAGTTCCATATTGAGAACATAATAAAACTAAATTTTAACTTATTAAATTTTTGATCAAAAAATTTTTTGTTTGGAAAAAAAATTTATTAATAAGCTACATTTTAAATTTACGTTAGTCCAGGAATATACTTCCATGTGCTTTTTTGTGCCTACTTGTTTTACACAGCAAAAGTATGTTTCATAGATTTTTACAAAATTAGCTATATATTTATTTCATTCTACATTTGGCGCACCGTCTATCAATTGTTCGTCATCAGAAGAAGTGATTTCAATCATAGCTTCAACGTTTGATGGTGACATCTCGTAAGTGAAATGTTCGGAATTTTCCATTGACTTTTTTAGTTTGCCTTTTGCATCTGTTCTTTTATTACAGTAATCTTTTGAACTTTCTAAATTTACTTCCATTTCATTTACAAGTTGGAGACATTGAACCTTTAATCTTGCTTGACATTTAGTGGGCATTTTACGAACTGACTTTGCCAAACTTAAAAAAAATAGACTAGTAGAATCTAAATCAGTTGCTTTTACAGCAAATTTTTTGTTGGATTGCGTTAAAGTATTTTCAGTTTCTTTGTTATAAGCTCCTCTTTTGTCTTCACTTTCTGATATATCTTTATGACGATTTTGATATTCTAAATTTTCAAAAGAAGAATCGTATTGTTGCTCATCCATATTATGATTCAAATTGTAAACAGAATTTTGATGGTCGAAAGTGTTGTTTTGAACTTCATTTCCATTTAAATTTGCTTTATCAAATGACCTTGAATTAAAGCTGTAAGATTGATCATCATTACCATAAGTCATGGATTCAAATTCATTTGCATTTACGATTGGAAAATTATCAAAATACTCTTTTCTCCTTGACCTAAATTTTAAAAAATATTTTAATGTTTTAGTAGATAACTAAACTTAACTTTTAAATAGCAATCTTACCTTGACGGTCCTTGAAACGGTTTCAAAAAATCCATTGTTTGAGCGTGTGCCCAAAATTGATATTTCTTTGAGTCTTGAGTTCGGGCAGCTTTTAAATATTTTGTGTAACTATCTCTTAAATTTTTCCATCTACGTTTGGCTGCCTCTATGAAATTCGAATATACATACATATGAACAAAGAAAACTTGGGTCAAGTATAATTAAAGTGAATCAAGGATAGTGTAAATTAAATTGTAGCTAATTGTATATAGCTACATATAATTATACAACCCTACATATTAGGTACATACATATGTGTGTACATTAATTTGAGATGCAAAAAGAATTTGCGACCAGTTTCAATATAACATTAATCCTTCCAAGTCAATGGTAAAAATTAAATACAATACATTTCATTGCATCTTAATTTTTAATTAGTTGTACCTTTATAAGTTACGTATTGGCCACCTACATACAGAGAAGACAAGATATAATGTATGTACATATTTCTGTACATATGTTCCTTTGTGTGTAATAGGTACAAGACGTAATGTACGAACCGATTAGTATTTTTAATATAATAGAATAGGTTGCACACACGTCAATGTATGTATAAATATTACATACCACTTTAAACTTTTATGTATTAAAAATACATAAATGCATGTTTGTAATTACATATATACATATGTTTATATGTACTTACACCCATATGTAAGTACAAATCTATTAAGCGGCTGTAAAATTCCTTGTTACAAACTAATAATTCAATATTTTTTTAAATATGTAAGTATGTATGTATGTATTTAATCAGACATAACAAAATTATGTTCCGTGATGTGTATACATAATATGTAATATATATACATACACATCACTCATCCTGACATGGACGTGTGTGATGTATTTATTCTTATACACTATAAGTATAGTTGCCTATATATTTCATACGTATAAATATATTATATGTAGCTGCTTCAGTTAATATAAAATGAAATTGAAGTTATCTTACCTACAGTCATATCTGAATTTTGAGCTACTCTTTGCCAAGCTAATGCTTTGTTATCAGCATTTTTGTAATCAGGATCTGTAAAATCATAAATTCCTCTTTCTTCTTTCACAATTAGAATGAAATCTGATGTAGATTGTAATTTTTCTAAATCCTTATCCATATTGCACTAACTTAATTAAGTGGCAAAAATTTAATTAGAGCTACATACATATACGTATGAATGTAGGTACCTTCCAAATAGTTTTCTTTTTATGTTTTATTTAAAAATATTTAGATATGTAAATATATTTCATTTAGAATATGAAAACAACACTATTTAAATTTTATATTTGAAAAAGGATGATAGCGTTTGAATAACAACACTCAAATCAAATAGAAATATTTATTTCGCAGGATTTGCTAGCGGTGCACAAAAAAGGAACGAATACTACTGAACTGAAATGAAAAAATCAATATCGCTTTTTTTCTACTGACTGGTTATAATAATCATGTATTAAAAGCGAAACGATAAACGATGAACGACGCAGGCGGCATGATACCGCCGAAGTACATATTATATGTTATCGTTGTTGTTATAATTTTTATTTCGTTTTTGTTTTTATTTTATAAAATGCCGACTGCGGTCATAAATTTATTTCATTCCCCATTTTATTCCACCCCATTCAATTATAAATAATATAATCGACCCAGTATGTATGATTTATAATTAAAAATTTCTTAAAACAATATCAATGCACACAAAATTCAATAAAAGTCCAAATCAATATATGTATGTAAACATTTTAAAAACTTAAAAACTACGTTTTTCCCAATTTCATTTCATTATTTTCGACCCACATTCATACATATGTATTCTATAATATTTACTTGGTTTTTATACATATGTCCAAGGATATTTTTTTTACATAATTTTGCAATTAGATTTACATTTAAACAAAAAATTTAAATGAATAATCCTTGTAAATTTTTTCACTTTCTTTTATTGGAAGATATTTTTTGTATTGCGAAAAGACTATGCGCTTCAAAATTGCTAGATGAAAGGAAGACATAAAAATTTGGGAATGATCAATTTTCGTTTATACATACATATATATACTTGTGCACGTACATAGTTTAGATTATTATAATTATCGCAATTTTTGTTTAATATTTTGCAAACATAAGAGGAAGGAAGAAACACAAATATTTTTTTTAATGTCCATGTGTTGTGTTTGTACGCAAACTTGTATCCGAATAAATTTTTTGTAGGATTTGTTGTATTTTACACTAGAAACGTATATGTAAATACATACATACATATCTACATATTACTATACATATTTTCTAAAATTGAAATCTAACTGTTCTTCGAAAATACTACCGTTTCTTTATCTGGTGAATAACTTATTTGAAGATTTTATTATTGCTTTTCTTGACTTTATTTTTGTTGTAAGTGTATGATTAAGAAAGAACCAATAAAAATCTCAAATAATGCAAAAAGTAATAAATATATTGGATAAATAACAGCAAAAACAATAGTGTAAATGGTACAATACTAAAATATATAATTTAAATAAAAAGCTTGCTCAATGCAAAGGGAATATTTAGTGTTTTGCTAAATATGTGGAATTTATATAGCAATTACGATTTCTATAATGTCATATAGTAAGGATAACATCATAGAAATCATTCGGAATAATAGATGTTTAATTTGGTAAACATGTACTCAGTGCATTTATTTGTTCATCTATAACAATAAAAGACTCATTCGAGATTTTTTCAAAGTAATTTATTTTTAGTAATTGATTAACCAAATATTATTGATTAATTAAAGAAATTTATGCGGAACATTTTTAAATTAAGAAGTTAATTGCAAAAATATTAAAAAAAATATCAAAACTTGTTTTTCCAAACTTAAGATAAAGAAGCGAAAATATATAGGCAGACGAAATATAAAATGTTTGACCTACATTTTGATCACACACAAACATGTACTATGATAAAATTTCTTCACAAAAGTTTTATTATGTGATAATCTTAGTATTCGAGTTAAAGAAAAACGAAAATGAAATAGAAAGTAGGGTCGTGAATACTTGCATGTTTTTACACCTGCCTTGTCAATATTATTCACTTTCAGTTCTTCTAATAATTTATTAGGAAGGTAGATAAATTCTGAATCTTTTCAATCACAAAAGAATTTTTAATTTAATTTTTAGATCTTCGTTTTATTATTTTTATAAAAATCAGCTAAAGTTAGCTGCACTGCTGTATTGCAGGTAAACAAATTTTCAATATATATATGTATGTACGTGTCGTAGATATCATTATTAATCGATCATTATTAATTGACTTAGTGGGCGAAGTAAATCGGTTTATTCTCTTTATTGTGCTAAGTAACTTACATACAACATACCTACATATACATACACTCATATATGTTATTTTCAAGAAAAACTGCATTTTTCCTATACTCAAACAAAGTAAAGATAATTAAAATGTGGAGATCAACTACAATACAAACAGATTTTTCAGAAAATTTCAATTAAGAAATTAATAAATACATCATGATGATAGAACTTGTCTTTTAGATCTATAACGGAATAATATAAAAGTACGAAAATCTTTCCCTAATAAAACTTTAGAAAAATTTGGTGATGTTGAATAGAGTCTACATTGGGTCCAACAATTTTATGTGGGAATGCGTACTCATAGAAAATTGCTCTTATTTTATTGATTGGCTACATTTTCTTGTACTTTAAAATTATTATACAAAATACATTTTCATATTTGAATTTGGAAATATAATGAGAAGACATAATACAATTAGCTTTGTATTGATCAAGTTAAATATGCAAAAAGCAAAGGTTTTTTAATAAAAATCATTTTTTAAAATACACATTTTATTTCAAATAACATAATTTAAAAATTTTTTCTTAAAGATTCTGTTTTTTTTTAACTAATGGAGGTATTTATTATTATTTTAAAAACGTTTATCATTTTTGTAAACATATACATATAATTGATACTTCATTTCATTAAATATATTATATACATTTTCTGATAATCAACTGAGATTTATGGAGTGAGTTTTTTAGAAGTTTTTCTGTAAATAAGCTGATCATCATAGGAGACGTGTCTATTCCTCAATACTGAATTGGAAGCAGAAATCCAAAAATGCTTAAAAACAAAGCAAAATAATTTACTTATATTTTACCCTATATTTTTACTTTCTATAATAAATCTTCTCTAAAGTATAATAAGAATCCGCATGAACTAATTAAATTACCAAAAAAAAAACAGTAATAAAAAAAATTTAACAGAAAATTTGTACTGTGTATTCCTAAGCAGAAGAACCAAAAATGAAATATAAGTAAAGAAAATATTAAAAAATACTTGTATTTCAGGCTCTACTCTATCTAAATGAACGACATCACTTCTACGTACATATATTCATACCATAAAATCCGAAAGTTATAATAATAATAAAATATACTTTCACTAAATTAACATAAAGCTTGAAATTTCTTGCTTAATGTACATATGTACACATATATATATAGTTTATCAAACAAAATAAAATTAGTAAGCATATTGTAATCAAGACCACAACAAAATTATAAATATATTATATACAAATTAAGAATATGGTTACATTTGTACGAATATGTGTGTATGTATACTATATATATGCATCAAGTACTACGTATTTTCAAATTAATATATATTGTAGTTTTGTTAATAATATTTTACTGATACAAAATTCTAAAAATCCAAAACACAACTTTAACCAAAAATTAAGATCCTTTTCAATAACTTTCTTAAAACAAAAAGCAACTTTTCTTCTATGTGCTGCTTATTGTAATATAATTGTCACAATATCTCCGTAGACGTATAATAACATGAATACCTATAATAACATGTAACAGCTAATATTCTCTTATATATATATACACATATCTATGTAAATTGTTTGCAATCTACATAATATTAACAACAAGTCATTTCCCAAATTTCCCAAATATTTCCCAAATATGTATAAAAAACTACTTAATCCATACATAACATTATATACATTAGTATGTATTGTATAAGAGTTTTATTTAAAAAAAATTGGTTGGAAAATAAGAAATATTGTTGTATAGACTCAAAAACCAATCTATATACATTTGTGTTGATATATGTGTAAGTATTGGTGTTCAACGGTAAGATCTACGGTTAAATTTATGTACACATACAATTTTTATTAAAGAAAAATCTTAACAGTTAACAGAAACTTTTATCAACGATATTAAAAATGTAAAAAATATAGAGAAATGTTGGTATGTATATGTATATAAAATTACATTATTCCACACTAAACCAATTTTTTTATTCTTAATACACGTGTATAAATGTGCAGTAAAATGTTTGAAATTTTATTTTCATGTAATGTAACAATGTTAACCGAAACTGCAAGAAAAGAAAGCGTATAAATGTTTTTAAGATCTTCTTTTCTTTTTGTAGTATTGTGTACTTCTTATGTCGTTATTATACCATGCATATATGGGCACAAGTACATTATGTATATACCTTTACCTTACTGCTGATCATTCAATTTTAAACCTATAGTTATGCTTATATAAAAGAAATTTACAAATATGTATTTTTTGTAACAAATTATACATAGTGTGTTCAAGTAATTGTAAGTGGAAAGGTGAATTATATATTGTAAACTAATGCTATGTGTGTGTGTTTATGTATTTATGCAAACAAATTTCGAGAAAAGTAAAAACACTGGCTTTCAAAATGCTATTAAAGTAATAAAGTAATACTAAAAATAAAAAAAGAAATTTAGTTAGACAGGTAGGTTTTTTTTATTATTTTTTTTATATCAATATTTGAGTGTGATAAAATAAATGATTTCAAGTTAATAATATATGTTTCCAGTTAATGCAGAATTTTATGAAAACATTAAAAAGTAAGTTATTAAAAATTATTATTTAATTAATAAGTCATTATCCAAAGAATAAATAGGAAAGGATTTGTAAACTGACAAATACGGATTTTTTTCAAAAAATTTTAAGAGAGAGATCAATGTTAGAGTTCATATGTTATACAGGAGGAAGTGAATATACAAAAAATATTAATATAAGTAGTTTGTGTTTGGTGTGGGATTTATTTTGCATTATTATTTCTTTAAATTGGATAGAAACAATACTATTGAACACTTTTCGTTTGTTCAAATACTAACCCTCTTCTTTTTTTAATTTTTTAATTAACTAAAATTAAGTAAATTTAGTAAAAGCATTAGGTACATAACTTACATTTTCGGTTTTCTTCATTTCTCAATGTTTTCAATGTTTAAACTTTTTGCTAGATTACTTTTCATAGTACGAACCAGTCCTAATAAAATTTTTATTTCTCGTTTGTACATTTTAATTTGTTATGTTTTCTATGAAAAGTACAACATATCATAGTTATAGCATCAGAATAGCTATATGAATTGTATCGTATATAGAATATTATTTGATTAGTCATATATTTTAATATTTATAATGTTTTATCAAAAAATGTGTTAATGCATTAACTTTATTTCATTTGTTTTCTTTTCTTAAAAACAGAAATAGCTATTCTGAAAAAGCGGACATCTCAAGAATCTAATAAATATTTTGAATACAGTTGAACCTCCATAAAGTGACGACAAAAGGGCGAAGGTGATCGCTGTATAGAGTTGCTTTAAGCATGAGAAAAAACATTACTACATGCTGAAAAGTTTTTACTTAACTTAACCTTATCGATATGAATTCTGATATACTCGTAATACGATTTTTAAAGTTTGTTTTATTCAAATGGTAAAAGAAATAACATAAGTTTTTTTAATGGTCTATATGCATTTTAATACTCAAATGGCAGAAAATATTTGCTAACATATGGAATTTTGAGGTTGGTCCAATTAAAAAGGAACTTTCTTATGGAAAAACATGACAAGACCAGCAACAAATCTTCTGAAATTTATGTAGGTATTACCGTAATTAAATGCGCAAAGTTCTATTAATAATAATTTCAACTTTTAAATTTGAAAGAAAAAATTGAATCCCTAGACAAAATCTTTTACGGCTCTGCCGACACAAGTTGATACATTTAATATTCATAGTAGACAGTAAACACCAAAAAATATTTTCAAAAAATATTTTACTCTATTTTTATTGTTAAGCTTTATCAAGTATACACAATTAAATATACAGTCATCAGGTAAGAAAGTACTTGATACTCGTCGTTTTATAACGAAAGTATATCGCGCATTTTTATTCGATTCGTTTTATTACTACGGAACATTTCTCATTGCAAACGCAGATTTTGATAAACTTTTTTTTTCGTTTTTTTTTTACATTTTAAATAAGTGAAGCATTTCTCTTCTTATTTTTTGTTTCTACTTCTTTTAAAGTTTCAAAACATTTTTGAGCACTATTCATAAGTTTATATATATACGTAGTTACATACAGATTTTGTGTACGTTATTTTTATTTTTGATTAAATTTCATTCCACTTAACTTCTATTTTCTTTTTCAAAAAATTTTTTTCTTTTCTTTTTTTTGAATTTTCTAAGTAAAGAGCAAAGCAGAAAAAAAAACAGAAAAAAGAAAGATCTTTAATGTTGATCTACCTTACTATATCTCACCTTTTTGCTAATATCTTGCATACACATACGTAAACGAAAACTTACCTTATTAAAGTATCCATTGAAAAGCAGCACAAGCATTATTAAAGTATTTTTTTTTTCATGTTTTCTTTGTTTTTTTTTTGTTTATGGTTTTTGAAGAGACCAGACCATAAGCAGACTTTTCATTGACGGTTAAGAAACAGACGGTTAACGTATGTTGAAGCGATCGTTACAATAAATGCTGTAAGAATTTTTTCTTAAGAAAACGCAAAAATAAAATAAAAAACACAAGATCAAATAAAAAGTAAAGAAATTTCACTTTAGAATATTTTACGGAACGGATATTAAAAAGCAAATTATAATAAATAAAAAAGAAAATAAAATTACATAAGGAAGCAAAAGTTCAAAAAGTCAAGTGAAATCGAATTAGAAATTTATTTTTCACCTTTAAACAATCATAGAAAATAGAACAAGGATATTTGCAAAAAAAATTGAAATCTTATTTGGAATTATTTTTTTATTAATAAACAAAAATTAAAAAATATATTATTGTTATTTTTTTTTATAAAATTAACAATTTTTAAACAAAATGAAGATCAAAAATGGATATAAAAAAACAAAAAATAAATAAAATATAATATTAAATTAAATTGATATGAGAAAGTTCTTTGAAAGGTTTTTGAAATTTTAAATATAAAACAAAAAAAAAAAAAATATAATTGAAAATATTAAAAAAATCAAAAATTTATAAAAAACGGAATTATAAAAGAAAGAACAAAATCATTTTTAACAAACTGTTGTAAAAACTTTTGTGTAACAAAAAAATAAAAGTTCTCTTTTAGTTTACATTCAATAAGGACCAAGGATTACCTTATTTTTTTTAAAAATTATTTTTCAAATTTTAACTGCAGGCCAACTATACATACATGTGCCAATAGTAGTATATATGCGATATAAAAAATATATACATATATATATATATATATGTATGTATACATATATATGCCTACTAAAAAAGGATATTTACAATATTTACAGTAATTGAAAAAGTTAAAATAAAAAATTTTGAATATTTATTTGAATTTGAATAACACAAATATATACATATATATATAAAAGAAAAATATAATACAAGATAGAAAATTTATATAAATGGAGTTTCCAAATCCAGAAATGACTAATGTTTTTATTAAAAAAATGGCACAAACTACAAATTGTCAATATACTACAAGATATTGCTGTAAGTATTTAAGTTTAAATTTTATTTTACTTTAAATTTTTTTTATTTTTAGTGCTTCATTCAATAAAAATATTTTATTAAAATTTATTATAATTTACTAATTAATAATTTCTTATTTAATTAAAAAAAAAAAAAAAGAACATGAATAAATTTTGTGGTCAATTACAGAACTTAATGAAGAACTAATATTTGTTAAAAAATATTGAGAAGTTCTTAGGCATTCAAATTTTATTCCTTAAACTTAATTTATTCTACGAGTAATTTAGCTAGAATATGAAATCAAAGTATTAAAAAGGATACATTTAATTATCTTCACCAGGACTACATCATTTCTTGGCATATCCTGTATATTGTTAAAAAATTGTAGTGTTTTTGAAATGAATTTAATTAAGTTGAAAATCTCAATAATTTTGAAATTACTTCCCATAACTACAAGTGATTACATATTAGAGAATATGGATATGTTTAAATTTCTTTTACAGATATAAATTGAAAAAAAATTGAAATTTGGGTTTTTTCAGTCATTTTAAGCTCTTACCATATTATTGAGAATTTCGTCAAACCAAACATGAATTTAAAATTGTCAAAAAAAAAAATTTTTTTTTCGAAAAATTTTGAAATTTTTAATTAAAAACTTATTTAAAATTTTTTAAATCAAATTCATTTGTACTGTTAATTGTTTTTTTTTTTTAATTTTCGTTATTACTTACTGCTGTTGATATTATCGTTGTTTTAATATTGTGCTCTACTTTCTTTTTCAAAATAAAAAATAATAAAAACAAAATTGAAATAAAAGTATACTCTTTAACATTACTCTTTCTTAGTTAGTATGCATATATGTACATATTTGTAATTAACACTACTACTATTAAATGACTCATATTTTATACTACATATATCTAAATTACAATGATATTAAATTTTTGTGCAGAGAAATTTAGGAACATAATACGTAATTCTTATGCTTACTGCAATAACATTTAACAGATTAACATTTACAGTACTTATTTCTTAAATAAATAAAATTTGTTTTAAAATGTTATGCGTTTATGTTTTCTGTTATTGTTATTACAAAATATTTGTACAGTTAAAAAACTTTAGTAATATTACGTTATGACTTATGAAGTTACGACTTAACGAGTAGAAAATAAGGCATGTTATTATAATATAACATTAACATAACATTGACAATGTAAATTTTTTTTTTTTATCATAAGTTATGTGTTAGGACCAATTTAATATTTTGTAATAAAATTTATGTATGTGTGTATGCTTTGTAATTTTCTTTTTATTTGAATTTGTGTTCGCTGTAAGTTGGAAAACGATGTTGTAAAATATTTTTTATTAACAAATTTCTTAATTTATGACAAAGTTAATATCTTTTTTTTAATTATTTCTGTTTTTCTAATGTGATAGACTTAAAAAATATTCAATTTTAACGCTTTCTCAGCATATTTTTTCCCAAAATATGAAAATTACTACAAAATATATGTATGGCATTGAGTTATTGCAATTATTATGAGCGGTCTGCTATATTTTCCAATAAGAATATGTACATATGGACATCTTATGGTTACAGGCTCCTTAATTTCATTTTCAATGTGTTTTTATTCAAGGTTCTTTTAACATAACATTATAAAAAAAGTATACATATACATTTCTGTAATTGTTTCTTTAAATTTTTGTGTATAGATTTGTTTGTTTAAATAATTTTAATGGGAAAATGCCAGGTAAATTTTCACATCTCAGAAGGGAATGAGAAAATAAAACATAAAATAAAATCAAAGAGATTTTTAATTTTTTTTTTTCTTTTTAAATTAAAGCGAGTGAAATTTTTAAATGCTGGTTCATCTTTTACTTTTTATATTGTGTGTACTTTTATAATATTGTGAAAGTTTCTCCGATAATTTTTATGAAAAGCAGCAACAAAAACAAAACTCCAGTAATATTAAAGAATCGGTTTTAATACAAATACATACACACATACATAAACATATAAAGTATATGTTTTTTCAAGGATCCAGGATTTTATATACATATGATGAAAATTTTATTGAACTTTTATTTTTTAAATAAAATTATAAGAAATTATTATTAAAAAATTAAAAAAAAATTAGAAATTATTAGAAAAATTAAGGTTAAACAATGAAAGTGCTAATTTTCGTATTTTATTCGAGCTCTTGGGGTTTTTCAGAAATTAAATTTTTTTTAAATTTTTTGTAAATTAAAAGTTATAATATTTTAAAATCATAATCCATAATTCCAGTAAAACTGTTTTCTGTTGAAATCTTAATTTTTATTTTTTTTAATTTCTTAATTTAATATTCATACGAGTATAAAACTAAAGCTCTTAACATATATTTAATTCGAAGAAAACTCTGTAACTTTGAAGTGATCCCCACTATTTTTTATCAATATAAATGTACATACATGCATATAGTCTTTGATTGTATGTAGACGTGTTCGAATATTAAAGTTGTTGACTTTTTATTATACTTTTAAATCTATTAATTTACGAGTATATAATTTTAAAAAAAATATTTCGCCCTGCCTCAAAAAACAAAAACTATTTTTCTCTCCCCGTTGTTTTAACTTTGTTTTAACTATTTTGAAATATAATATACAAATATATTGGACTAAAGTGTGCGATAAGTTAAATGAACTTCACTTTTCAACACATACTCGTATCGAAAATTTCACTTCGTAATACTTCGTTTTTACTGTTATATTGCAGTGAGTTGAAAAACGACTAACTATAATTATTGTCTTTGTTTTTTTTTTTGCATTTCTTTATAAGAGCTTTTGCTTTTGCTGCCAATGAACTAATCTCGAAAATTCTTCGAATATCTAGTAAAAATGAAAAAATAAAAAAAAAATAATGGAAAAAATTTAATAAAGTCTTGAAATCATCAAGGCTACTCTTATTGTAATTGTGTTATCTTCATATATGTAGATTTACGCGTAAATTTCATAAAATTCATACATTGTTCCTTTTAAAGTGCTTCCCTTTTTACGATATTACTCATGTGGTTATGCAATTTGATATATGCAAGTGCTTACAAGGTAGATCGGAAGATAGAAATATTTAGAAGCAACTTCAATGAATACTTAAGTTAGTTCAGTCATTAAATGATTCTATTAGCCATAAGGTGTCAATTTGTTATATATGCTAACAAATAATCTTGTAATACACTGACTCCATAAAAAAAAATCATGTAGTTTTTGTAATTAAAATAAAGTATACAAGCAGTGTAGAAAATTGTAATGTAAATTTGGGAATAAAAATCTGTTATCGAATTTTAATGATTAAGTAAGTGTTTTATATGGAAATGCATCAATTACAATAAATACTTTGAATAAACAAGTAGTTAGAAATTGAAATAAATAACTAGAAACGAAATAGAAGAAAAAGTTTTTAAAAAATAAGAAAGAAAATACATATCAACAACTTTTCGATGACATATTATATAAGATAACTATATATTTTAGATTCATATTACAGCGACACGGTTCAAAAATTAATTTAAAACCTAAATTGTTGCAGCTAAAATATTAGTATGAGTTATCTTAATAATTACCCAAATTAATTAAGATAAGGGTTGAATGATTAAAATATCCAGACTTTTACAGTTAAAAATTTCTTATATTTATTCTTTACATTTGTGTTATACATACCTGTGTGTATACGTACATATTTTATACAATATGCATATTTTAAACTTAGATTTTCTTTAGACTAAACTTGTTTAAGTTTTAGGTATTCGTATTTCATTTAAATACAAATTATATTTTATACCCTATATACCTTATATTACCATGTTAAATAAATTATTTTGAAAATTCCCACTTGAAATATACAACAAACGTTATATATAAAATCATTTGAGTTAAAGAAATTCAAACATGTGAAATCAAAAAAGTTTTTAATGCAACAAAAAATATAAAATCGAGAGATGCAACTATATGCTGACATACTTATATGAATATGTGCACCTACATACTACATGTTAACATATTTACATATATTTATAAATAAACATATAAAATATTTAATGTTCTTTTTCTTTTATAACTGTTAAATTATTATTAACAATCTTTTTATTTAAATTTGAACCTAAATTCTCCTCATAATTATTTTATTTTTTTTTTATATCTTGAAAAAATATACGATATGTGTTTTTATACGTTCAATATACGTACATATGTATACCTATCGACATCTACCTAACACATAATTTCTAAATCTTTAACTCAACCATTTTTACTTCTTATGCTCATACATATATATAGACTTATCTACATATAATTATTTAGTAAAAATTTACTTACATACATAGATATACTAAATATATGTACATATTTTTGTTTATATAACCTGATTTCCATCATAAGAAAATTCTCATTTCAACATATAATACGTGTATTTGTTTCCATAAATTTATATATGTACATACATATATGTTTATATTTACCTTATAATATTTACCTAAGTTCATATTTATATACGAACCTTTTCTTTATCATTTTTTTCCATTATTTTATTGTTACATTATTGCTGTTATTATTTTCATTATAAATATGTATATACATATATGTATATATTATCAAATTTCGAATTGGCACGCCTTCACTTATTCTTCATCATCAAATCATTTAAATTAATTCTAGATAAAAAAAAAATTGTATCTTTTTCTAAATCATAAAAAAGATGAAAATAGAAGACAATCTAAAAGAAATAATTTAGCGTATTTATTTTTCAGTTTCTTATTTCTTTTATTCTTATTTAAATCCACCATATAGTATTTATGGCGAAAGATGCATAAACATGATGATGAGTCCCATTAATACCTGCAACTTTGTCCTATTTTAATAACCAGAAAGAAAAAGAGTAAAAAAATTGAAGTCTTATAAAATTGAATGTATGAAAGAAAATTTTGATTTTTCTTTTGCTACTTTGCTTTTCTCATTCTTTTTCTTTCGTTTGACATTCTTAATGTCGG